GGACAGTGGAGTGGCGTGCAACCAACGGGGCCCCCAGAGGGGTCCGCCAGTGAGACTGGGACTGGTGTAGTGAGTGGGGTGACAGTGGTGTTGTCGCGAAAGAAGCAACGTGACGCACCAGAGTCAAGTGTGAAAGTGTGCAAGACCTCAGCAGTACCAGCAAACTCACTAGCACCTGGGTCAGTAGCGACACTAGCACCTAGGGCGGCAACAGGCTCACTAGTACCTGGGGGAGGAGCATCACCACCAGCATCGCATGGCACACACGAGTAACACGCACCCTCAACACTATAATCAGCAACATACATAGCATAGAGAGCAGCATTGATCTTAGCAAAGTCAAGAGCAAACACATCTACCCCCTTCCCCATCAGGTGCAGCCAGTTCGGCACCTGCTGGTCCTCGGTGTACTCAGTCACCCAGGCGTCCTCAAGACGGCCGAAGCACTTGTACTCATTGTGCGGCTTCCCGCAGACTGTGCCCTTTAGAGGCCCCGTACGCCGGACATAAGGGCAGCGACCAGAGCCCCCAGAGCCCCCACGCTGGAGAACCCACTCACGGAGCTGCTGGTCGGTGGGGTTGTCCGGGAGGCGCGGCAGCTGCTGGCCACTCCCGTAGCCACGGGAGGGTCCACGAGCGCCACCACCACTGCTAGACCCACCCCGACCTCCTCCACCTCCCCCACTACCCCAACCGCCTCCCCCACCACCGCCGCCTCCTCCACCCTGTCCGCCTCCTCCACTGCCGCCACCCCCAGAGCCACCCCCAGAGCCTCCACCACCCCCGCCACCACCCCCGCCACCACCCCCGCCACCCCCTCCGCTGCTGCCACCACCACCACCCCTGCTCCCTCTGCCCTTGCTGTTGTTGCGCCTTCCACTGGGAGCAGACGCAGCGCCAACGTCCTCAGCACTAAGGAGGTCGACTGCAGCAGCGGTAGCAACTGAGGGGAGGAGAGCGGTACACCCTTCAAAGAAGGGGGAGCGGGGGGTGCCACGAGAGGCAGCGACAGCGGCAGTGCTCTTCTCAACCTCGAGAAGGGCCTTCTCAAGCAAGTCAAGTGTGAGCTCAGTGGGGTCCATGGCTAGGAACTGGTCCCTGACAGTGCGAAGGGAGTCAGGGAGGCGAGTGATACGAAAGTACTGGGTGAAGTACTACAGGGAGGGGGTTCTTAGCGAGAAAGGCCGGCTTGAGAGCGGCACGGAAGCGATCCTCACTAGAGCGGAGGTAGGTAAAGAGGTCATAGACAATGCGAAACTCAGCTAGATCGGGATGCAGGTACGGCAGCATGAGACGGCCTACAGCAGCAGTAGCTGGGGAGGAGTAGCGAGAAACGACAGCGTCATAGAGATCCTTGGCCGTTTTCTGCCGGCTAAAGTGCGCGCGCTCAGTCACGGGCAGGTGGTTGCGGACAGCAAGGCGGGTAGCTGTATCACGCATGAGCCACTTAGACATATCCTTTACAGTGTCGGCAGCAGGGGCTGGGAGCTTTCCCTCAGTGTGCAAAAACAGGGAAATACCATCCTTAGACTCGCTCTGCAGGAACAGCTGGAGATCGTCGAGCCAGACATCAAAGGTAATCGCGCGGCCCTCAGTATCGAACGTAAGAATTGACAGGTTAGCCATAACAGCAGTAGCAGTGGCAGCAGTAGCAGCTGTAGCAAGTGCAGTAGTAGCAGCAGCAGCAGTAGCACTAGCTGTAGCAGCAGTAGTGGCGAAGAGCACCAGTAGCTCCACCAGGACCTCCAGCACCTCCAGCCCCAGCAACTCCACGTCCTCTAGCACCAGTAGCACCTCCAGTGCCCCAGGTGCGTGTTACTCGTGTGTGCCATGCGATGCTGGTGGTGATGATGCTCCCCCAGGTACTAGTGAGTTTGCTGCCGCCCTAGGTGCTAGTGTCGCTACTGCCCTAGGTGCTAGTGTGCAACACTAGCAACAGCAGCAGTAGCACTAGCTATAGCAGCAGTAGTTGCAGTAGCAGCAGTAGTGACAACTCGGGATGGGCGGCGCGGCTCGGACAGGGCGGCGCGGCTCGAATGGGCGGCGCACGGCTCAGGCGCAGTGGCAGAGCAGCAGCGGCACGTAGCAGCAGCAGCAGCCGGCGCGCAGCAGCAGTAGGCGCGCGCGGGCTGTGGGCTTGCAAACCAGGGGCGCGCAACAGGTGCGCGCGGGCAGCTAAAAAAGGGCGCGCAGCAGGTGCGCGCTAGGGGCTGGCGGGCAGCGTGAGTGGCGCGCGCAGCAGCAGGAACGATGGGGGATCGGACGTAGGGGCTGACGGGCCGCGCGAGTGGCGCACGGGGCAGCTAGGGCGCGGTCAGGAGGGGTCGCGCGTGACTAGGCAGAAGAATCGTCTCGCCTAGGGGACGGGACGCGCCTAGGGCAGAAAAAACGTCTCGCCTAGGGCGCGTTTCGCTTTTCGCGTTTCGCATAGGGGCGCGACTCGGGCAGCAGATCGAAATTGTAATGGTGGGCCCGTTAAAAAATCTGGTCCTAAGGACCATTTTGCTCTTAATACCATGTTAGAACTAGGAGCTAGGTGAATGTCGATTAGGTAAGAGGGAGGGGTACAAGACTATCGAGAGAATTGGGTTGTACCCTCTAAGGAATGACCCCTACACAACATAGAGTGAAATAAACAGAAGTGTGTGTTTTGACATGACTGAGTTAAGGTAATGGTGCGCCGTCTCTGTATCGGGTGATCGGCAAGCCAAGATAGCTGCGCAGCTCACCCAGGTCTGTGCACGTGTGTCTCTTTTGCACTCTCTAGATGATATCCCCAAAATGTGAAACCAAATATGTAGGGTTGCTACGCAACCCAAAAATCTGAAACGTATTTCCAAGATTCAGATATTAGTTATGGCATTGGCTTGATTTGAATAGGAAAGGTAATTCAGAATAAAGTTCTTGTTTTTTATCTGTCCATCCCATGACTGCATGTTTGATATGACGTTCACTGCATATGACGCTTTTATATGTCCCATGCTGTTACTATATTGTTCAAACTTCGCTATCCAAATCGTGTAATCTGATCCAGGCCCAAAACAACGCCCAAAAGGTACTTGCAATCAAGTCCCTCATCCAGCGAGAAGCTGACTCTCGAGGCTGACATTTCTTTCCCTGCTGGCAACACCCATGCAATCTCCAAATGGCTTTGGGATAGGCTGGGCACGGCTTGGAATGAAGCGGAACAAATCTCTAGACCAGTAGTAGGTTATCCAAGTTTCTGGACGAAGTACCAGACAATACCGTTTTAAAACAAGCCGAAACCAGCTGCATCCACTATGAAGTGGAGGCTGTTCCTGCTTCTGCTTCTGCTACGGCTCCCGCTGCTGATGCTGCTGATGTCTTTTGAAACAAGGCACGTGCAGTGGGAAAAGCACATCCATTCAGTTCTCCCGTGGGACCCTACAAGGCCCAGCCCAGACTATCTAGGCAGAGAGGGCAGCATCCATCCCAGAGGTGCATCAGCACCGTACAACGCGAAGCCTAAGGGAGGCTCTAAGCTAAGCTAAGATTACAAGCCGTAGCCGTCCGTTATCCGTCGTTATCCGCCGTTAGCCGTCGTTAGCCCTCCCACGACACATTTACAGACTTCCTCTGTTAGCTTTTTTTGTAGTCGACACAGGCTGCAGGATACTTGCCATTGTAATCTCCGATTTCTTAAACTGTGATTGTGCTTGATATGGCTGGTGTTGATAACGACCAAGCTTCCGCTGCCGCCGCCGCCGCCGCCGCTGACGCGAAGCCCGCTTCGGATAGCTCTCAGGCAGCAGCTTCGGAGACCAAAGGTGCACCCACCACTTCACACCACATTCCGTTCCGACAGCGAGTTGATTGAGGATTTAAATATATGAAATCGAGGATGCGTCTCCTCGTGTCGCATTTTCTTCCCTAGGCGTAACTGCGGGGTCCTACTACAGCGGAACAGGATGACAGGAACGCATATTTTTCTAGCATTTTTTATGGCATTATTTCCTACGCGTTTGTTTGTCGTCATTTTTTCCTACCTCCGTGGAATGCAAACACCTGGTTAGTTAGAGACGTGACTTTCCGCACAGTCTGACATGGGTCGTGACATAGTTTTCTTTATTTCATGGCGTATTCGCATAAGCTCCCTCTTGGATGAACTAGCACTAGATCCGCTTTGGGTTAGGGTTATATACAGATATTTTTTCTTTCCGGGTAAGGCGTTGGAGTGAATTCGTCTTAATTTTTCGCCATCAGAGAGAACTAAGATAGAATCTTAAGGTCTTGAGATCGGCCGCGACGGATCAGAAAGCATTTGGCTAGGGTAAATCCAGTTAGAACGGAGTTCGTGCGTCCTGTACCTCTATCTTCGTTCACTCTCGATCTTCAAGGTTTAAGTCGGAATCAGAATGGGGGTTTTAATTCAGTTAAAGCGGGTTGATATTTTATACTCCTCCAGCTTCAGTGACTGGAGGCATTAGAATCTTATTTCAAGTCTCAACTGCATTTTCACTGTAGAAGCACCCTCACTAGCAAATCTCCTGCCGTTCAGTTGTCAAGCATCTATCTGGCATCTTCTGTGAAGCACGGTTATGTTGCTAATTGTGTCTGCTTCACTGAACACGTTTTGCTTCGCTGTTTCCCTTCAAGGCGTCTGCTAATTCCACCACATTGTGCCTCACCAATCCATTTTTTCTCAACCTTCCAATTTACACGAAGTGCAACTGCATCTGTTATGTTGTATCTGTTGAATATGTACCACTAAATCAGTGCCCTGTTCATGAGGTCTGGGGGCATCCTACTCGACAAGGCAAGCCTTTCAACCCCCCAACCCCTGCAATTCTCATCCTTTCTCTTACCTCCCCTCCCCTCTCCCGACTCCCTCCTCCCGAATCCCACCCTTCTCCTCTCGCCCTCCCTCCTTCTCCTTCCCCCCTTTCCCCACCCCTTCTCCCTTTCCCCCTCCCCAACGTATCCTCCTTCCGCCCCATCAACCCCACTGGTCGCATGAATCGCGTGTTGTCGCACAGCAGCGCCGGCGTCCGTGAGCTTGAGGCCGGGGGGCGGCGGACTTGGCGGAGGGCTTTCGCTGCGCCCGGGAGGAGGCAAGCCGTCGGGGCTCTACGTGCGTCCGGGTGCAGATGGCTCGAGCGCGCAGGTTAGTTATTGCCGGGCTCAACAAGCTATCTAGATTGTTCGCTGCGCCCGGAAGGAGGCAAGCCATCGGGGCCCTACGTGCGCCCGGGAGCGGATGGATCGAGCGCGCAGGTTAGTTTTTACCAAGCGGATTCAAGTAGCAGTCTAGCTGTTGTGAGGAGGCTAGCCGTCTGGGTTGTTCGCTCGCCGAGTAGGCACGCCGTTGGGGCTCTACGTGCGTCCGGAGCAGATGGCTCGAGCGCGCAGGTTAGTTATTGCTGGATTTAACTAGTAGGTTGTTCGCTCGCCGAGGTGGCAAGCCGGCGGGGTTCTACATGCGCCCGGGGGGAGGTGGCTCGAGCGCGGGCGCGGGTTATTTTGTGCCGGCCGGATTCAGCAAGCCGTCTAAATTGTTTGCTCGCCGATGTGGCAAGCCGGCGGGGTTCTACGTGCGCACGGGGTCGAGCGCGCAGGTCCATCCTTCTCTAGGTATCGTAGCGGCGCATAGATGCTGACAGGTGCATCTTTTCTTGCGCCTCAAGACTCAGACTTAGTGACGCCTCACCATCATCTGCGGGTTAGAATATCGTTGCCGACTCGCCAAGGACAGGCGGATTCTTCGAGTGCCGTCTCTCTGTCTGATGCCTCCGCTTGTGCTCCCAACCCCGCCCGTTTCTTTCCCGTCTCTGCCCTCCCGTGTCTCACACACACAGGACGATGGTCCCAAGGGGCCGCGAGTCAAGTATTCGAGGGACGAGCTGCTGGCGTACCGTGAGGTGAGATGGGGTATTGTGACGTGAGATGGGGTACTGTGAGGTGAGATGGGGTACTGTGAGGTGAGATAGGGTACTGTGAGGTGAGATGGGGTACCGTGAGGTGAGATGGGTCACCATGAGGTGAGATGGGGTACCGTGAGGTGTGATGGGTACCGTGAGGTGAGATGGGCAGTTGTGTTATGAGGCGTACCGTAAGGTCAGCACTCGTTGCAACGACCCGTAAGGTAGGTACTTGTTGTAACGAACCGTAAGGTCGGCATTTGTTGCAACGACGGTTCATTTGGGTTTCAAGGTTGGATTCTGTGCCGTCACGTCAGGTAATCATTTTGAAGCCCGAGTGGGTATTATCTGCTTCTGACTGATATTCACCTCCCCCTCCCTCTTCCCCCCACCCCCCCCCCTCTCTCCACGTCCCCACTGCAGAAGTGCGCAGACATTCCCCCCGAGATTCTGAACACGGGCGGCGACATCATCGCGTCGTCCGCAGGGCGCGCCTCGTCCGCCGCGGCGGAGCCCGACTGGTCGTCGCGCAGGAGCGCGCCGCCGCCCTCGCAGCCGGCAGGCCAGCAGGTGAGCGCCAGTGCGCTTCAGTGCGCGCAGCAGGTGAGCCGCTATACGCAGGTGAATGTTGCGCCGAAAAAAGTCGCGGCGGAGGTCGGCGGCGCCGCCCTCGCAGCCGGGAGGCCAGCAGGTGAGCGCGCGATGCGCAGAGTTTTGAATCGATGCAAAAGTCGACTCAAAAGTCCAACCCGATAGTCGACTCATTAGTCAACCCCATGTTCTCTTCTCTGCCTCTGCGAGAAAAACGTTTCCCCCCTTATTTCCCTCACACCCTTCACGCTCGCTTTCCCCCTTTCACCCGTTCTCCCGCTGCCCCCTCATCCCTCTTCCGCCTTTCCCCCTTTTCCTTCATCCCCGCTCTCTCCGTTCCCCTTTCCGCCTGTAGAAGCACAGGCATCTGAAACTCCTCTCTCGCTTCCCCCGTTCTCACTCTTCCCCTACCCAACCCTCCCCCTCCTCCCCTCTCTCCCCCTCATCACCCCGCCTTGCACGCTCTTCCTTTCCCCCTTCCATTTGTCCAGGCGCGCGCACCCGAGGCTCCGGACAACCGCGACTGGCGCGCGCGGCAATCGCTCCCCCCGCAGGAGGAGCGCGAGCGCGGCCGCGGCGGCGGAGGCGGACGGGGAGGCGGAGGCGGGCGGGGCGGCGGAGAGCGGGATTGGCAGAGCCGCGGGGATCAGCAGGGGGGGCAGCAGCAGCAACAGCAACAGCAGGGACAGGCTGGGAATGTGAGTGGCAGTGGTAGGAATGGGAGTGGCAGTGGTGGGAATGGGAGTGGCAGTGGTGGGAATGGGAGTGGCAGTGGTGGGAATGGTTGTGGCAGTGGTGGGAATGGTTGCGGCAGTGGTGGGAATGGTTGCGGCAGTGGTGGGAATGGTTGTGGCAGTGGTGGGAATGGTTGTGGCAGTGGTGGGAATGGTTGTGGCAGTGGTGGGAATGGTTGTGGCAGTGGTGGGAATGGTTGTGGCAGTGGTGGGAATGGGAGTGGCAGTGGTGGGAATGGTTGTGGCAGCCCTCCCCCCTCTCCCGCCCTCTCTCCTGCTCCTTTCCCTCTCTCCCTTAGCTTCGCTTCCACCCTACCTCCTTCCGCCTTTCCTTTCTTCCCCTCCCCGTTTTCCCTCTTATCCACCTCCCCCCATCCCTCTCTCCCGCCCCCTTCCTTGTTCCATTCCCTCCCCCTTCCTTCCCCTCTTTCCACCACGGCTCTCCCCCTCTATCCCCGTCCAGGCGGACGGCCCTGCGGTGCCGATAGTGAAGGCGGCCAATCCGTGGATGCCACGTCGTGGCGCCGTGGACGAGAAGGAGAAGGTTCTGCGAACTGTCAAGGGGTGAGGCGCGGGGGAAAGTATGGGGCAAGGCATGGGGGGAATCATGGGGGGAGGTATGGGGGAAGGCCTGGGGGGGATCATGGGGGGAGGTATGGGGAAAGGCCTGGGGGGGATCATGGGGGGAGGTATGAGGGAAGACATGGGGGAATCATGGGGGGAGGTATGGGGGAAGACATGGGGGAATTATGGGGCGAGGTATGGGGGAAGGTATGGGATGGAGAGGCGGAAGCGAAGGTGAGGCAAATGGGAAATGAACTCGAAAGGGAGCCGTGGGCGAGAAGGAAAAACTGTCATCACCTCCGCGGAGACTTTTGAGTCGACTTAAAAGTCACCTCAATGGGAAATGAACTCGAAAGGGAGCCGTGGGCGAGAAGGAAAAAGCTGTCATCACCTCCGCGGAGCGTCTGCAGGAGGTCATCTCGCTCGTCTTTGACAAGGCTGTGGACGAGCCTACGTTCAAGCTGACGCCCGAGAAGTTTGATGTGCTGCTGCAGCAGATGCTGGAGTCCGGTATTACCTCAGCGGAGCGTCTGCAGGAGGTCATCTCGCTCGTCTTTGACAAGGCCGTGGACGAGCCCACCTTCACACCCATTCCTTTCCCTGTGCCCGCCCCACACCTGCCCCATACCTGTCCTGTGCCTCTGTGCCTCGTCCCCCCTCCTCCCCACCACCCCCTGCCCCAAATCCCCCCTCCACCCCTACCCTCCTCCCCTTCCCAGTATCCTGAACAAGCTCACCCCGGAAAAGTTCGACGTGCTGCTGCAGCAGATGCTCGAGTCGGGTATCACCTCCGCCTCATGTGCCCCATGCGTGCCCACTGTTCCCCCCAACCCCACGTGTAGCGAGGTTGTTTTTGAGACGTCTCAAAAACAACCTCGCTACACGTAGCAGATGCTGGAGTCGGGTATCACCTCCGCCTCATGTGCCCCATGCGTGCCCACTGTTCCCCCCAACCCCACCAACCTCTCCCCCGTCCCCCACCCTCCCCCCTGGCAGTATCCTGAACAAGCTCACCCCGGAGAAATTCAACGTGCTGCTGCAGCAGATGCTCGAGTCGGGCATCACCTCAGCGGAGCGTCTGCAGGAGGTGATCTCGCTCATCTTCGACAAGGCCGTTGACGAGCCCACCTGCCCCATGTCCCGCCCCGTGACCACCCCTCTCCTGACCCATGCCTGTGTGCCCCGTCCCCTCCTTCCCCCTCCTTTTCCCCCACCCCTACCTCTGGCAGTATCCTGAACAAGCTCACGCCCGAGAAATTCGACGTGCTGCTGCAGCAGATGCTCGAGTCGGGTATCACCTCCGCGGAGCGACTGCAGGAGGTGATCTCGCTCATCTTTGACAAGGCAGTGGACGAGCCCACGTTCTGCCCCATGTACGCGGAGCTCTGCGACAAGCTCTCCCACGCGCTGCCGCAGTTCCCGGGACCGGAAGGGTCGGATAAGCCCATCACTTTCAGGCGCATCCTACTCAATACCTGCCAGGAGGAGTTTGAGCAGGCGCTGAAGCTGAGGCAGGAGCTCAAGGGATTGACCAAGGCTGAGCAGGTGAGGGGTCTGGTGTGGGTGGGACGCGTGGGAAGGGTGGGAAGGGTGGGAAGAGAGGGAAGAGAGGGAGGGGAGTTGGCAAGGCAGTGGACGAGCCCACGTTCTTCCCCACGTACGCGGAGCTCTGCGACAAGCTCTCCCACGCGCTGCCGCAGTTCCCGGGTCCCGAGGGGTCGGATAAGCCCATCACTTTCAGGCGCATCTTACTCAATACCTGCCAGGAGGAGTTTGAGCAGGCGCTGAAGCTGCGGCAGGAGCTCAAGGGATTGACCAAGGCTGAGCAGGTGAGGGGTCTGGTGTGGGTGGGACGCGTGGGAAGGGTGGGAAGGGTGGGAAGAGAGGGAAGAGAGGGAGGGGAGTTGGCAAGGCAGTGGACGAGCCCACGTTCTTCCCCATGTACGCGGAGCTCTGCGACAAGCTCTCCCACGCGCTGCCGCAGTTCCCGGGTCCCGAAGGGTCGGATAAGCCGGTTACTTTCCGGAGGATTTTGTTGAATACCTGCCAGGGGGAGTTTGAGCAGGCGCTGAAGCTGCGGCAGGAACTGAAGGGGCTCACCACGGCGGAGCAGATGAGGGTCTGGCAGGGTTGAAGGGGTTTTGGTTTGAGTCGACTCAAAAGCAGATGAGGGTCTGGCAGGGTTGAAGGGGTTTGCTTTTGAGTCGACTCAAAAGCAGATGAGGGTCTGGCAGGGTTGAAGGGGTTTGCTTTTGAGTCGACTCAAAAGCAGATGAGGGTCTGGCAGGGTTGAAGGGGTTTGCTTTTGAGTCGACTCAAAAGCAGATGAGGGTCTGGCAGGGTTGAAGGGGTTTGCTTTTGAGTCGACTCAAAAGCAGATGAGGGTCTGGCAGGGTTGAAGGGGTTTGCTTTTGAGTCGACTCAAAAGCAGATGAGGGTCTGGCAGGGTTGAAGGGGTTTGCTTTTGAGTCGACTCAAAAGCAGATGAGGGTCTGGCAGGGTTGAAGGGGTTTGCTTTTGAGTCGACTCAAAAGCAGATGAGGGTCTGGCAGGGTTGAAGGGGTTTGCTTTTGAGTCGACTCAAAAGCAGATGAGGGTCTGGCAGGGTTGAAGGGGTTTGCTTTTGAGTCGACTCATAAGCAGATGAGGGTCTGGCAGGGTTGAAGGGGTTTGCTTTTGAGTCGACTCAAAAGCAGATGAGGGTCTGGCAGGGTTGAAGGGGTTTGCTTTTGAGTCGACTCAAAAGCAGATGAGGGTCTGGCAGGGTTGAAGGGGTTTGGGTTAGGCATGGGGAGTGAGATGGCAGGGTGGGAGGGAGGGAAGGGTATGGGTTTCATTCGGATACTGCTGAACACGTGCCAGGAGGAGTTTGAGCAGGCGCTGAAGCTGCGACAGGAGTTCAAGGGATTGACCAAGGCGGAGCAGGTGAGAATGTTGTGGTGTTAAAATGTTTTGGGTTAGGCAGGGGAGGGTGGGAGGGGAGGGGATGACGTTTAGGAGGATTCTGCTCAACACGTGCCAGGAGGAGTTTGAGCAGGCGCTGAAGCTGCGGCAGGAACTGAAGGGACTGACCAAGGCTGAGCAGGTGAGGGTGGGGTGGGGGAGTGAAGGGCTTCGGGTCTGGCAGGGGGGGACGGGTTTCGGGTTGTTGCTGCTTTGTTGCGTGTTTGTGTGTGGAAAGCGGAAGAGATTGAGGACGTGTAGTGGCAGTGGCGGGTGAAGGGACGCAGGGGAACACTGAGAGATGCCTCTTGTCTCCCCACGATGCCCCTTGTCGCCCCTTGCCCTCCCCACCCATGCCCCTTGTCGCCCCTTGCCCTCCGCCCCCGCCCATGCCTCTTTTCTTCCCTGTGCCAGGCGGAGGAGAGGGAGGACGTGCAGCGGCGGGTGAAGGCTCGCACGCAGGGGAACATTCGGCTGATGCTCCCTACTAACTCCTCTCTGCCCCTTTCCCTACTAACTCCGCTCTGCCCCTTTCTGCGCCCCTGCTCTGCCCTGCCCTACCTTGCCTGCCTTGCCCTCCACTGCCCCTTCCTATCCTTGTGCCAGGCGGAGGAGAGGGAGGACGTGCAGCGGCGGGTGAAGGCTCGCACGCAGGGGAACATCCGGCTGATCGGAGAGCTGTACAAGCAGAAGATGATTCCCGAGAAGATTGTGCACGCGTGCGCCCAGGTACTGTGTGGGGCAGGTGGCATCTGAGGCAGGTAGCATCAGGCTGATCGGAGAGCTGTACACGCAGAAGATGATTCCCGAGAAGATTGTGCACGCGTGCGCCCAGGTACTGTGTGGGGCAGGTGGCATCTGAGGCAGGTAGCATCAGGCTGATCGGAGAGCTGTACAAGCAGAAGATGATTCCCGAGAAGATTGTGCACGCGTGCGCCCAGGTACTGTGTGGGGCAGGTGGCATCTGAGGCAGGTAGCATCAGGCTGATCGGAGAGCTGTACACGCAGAAGATGATTCCCGAGAAGATTGTGCACGCGTGCGCCCAGGTACTGTGTGGGGCAGGTGGCATCTGAGGCAGGTAGCATCAGGCTGATCGGAGAGCTGTACAAGCAGAAGATGATTCCCGAGAAGATCGTTCACGCGTGCGCTCAGGTGAGATAGAAGTGGTTAGGAGAGGTGCGAGGAGGGCTGGTTAACAGGACACTGAGGCAGATGGGGAGTGGCAGAGAGCAGGGGCTGTAGGGAGTTGGTTGAGCAGAGAGCAGAGGACTTTTGAGGCGCCTCAAAAGAGGTGCGAGGAGGGCTGGTTAACAGGACACCGAGGCAGGTGGGGGGAGTGGCAGCGAGCAGGGGCTGTAGGGAGTTGGTTGAGCAGAGAGCAGAGGACTTTTGAGGCGCCTCAAAAGAGGTGCGAGGAGGGCTGGTTAACAGGACACCGAGGCAGGTGGGGAGTGGCAGAGAGCAGGGGCTGTAGGGAGTTGGTTGAGCAGAGAGCAGAGGTCATAAGGAGATGAACATGGTTGGAGAATTCGACGAGCAGAAGATGATTCCCAGGGCCATTCCTCCCTTGCCCCTGCTCCTTTCCTCCACTTTCTTCCCCCTCAACTCTCAGGAGCTGCAAGGAGACAGCAAGACGGAGCCTCCAGAGGAGAACATGGAGGCGCTCTGCCAGCTGCTCTCCCTTCTCATTCTCCCATTCCTTCCCCATTGTTCTTTCCTAACCTTCCCCCCCTCCTTTCCCTCCCAGGAGCTCCAAGGAGACAGCAAGACGGAGCCCCCAGACGAGAACATCTGGTTTTTGAGAATTCTCTACCAGCTGCTGCCCCTTCCCATTCTTTCCCCAATATTCCCTACCTTTTCCACCCTTTCCCCACCCCGTTCTTCCTCCCCAACCCCCCCATCCCAGGAGCTGCAAGGAGACAGCAAGACAGAGCCCCCAGAGGAGAACATCGAAGCGCTCTGCCAGCTGCTGTCCACGGCAGGGAGAGGCATGGAGGAGAAACCCGCCGGCAAGGCCAACCCGGTGCTCCTCAACGCCTACTTCGACCGCCTTAAAGCCCTCTCCAACTCCCCCACGCTGCCCTCTCGCATCCGCTTCATGTGCCGCGATCTGGTCGACCTGCGGTCCAATAAGTGGGTGCCACGTAGGAAGGAGCTCACTGCTAAGAAGCTGGATCAGATTCATGCCGAAGCTGAGGCCACGCTCGGGCTGAGGAAGGGCGCTGCCTCGCTCAGGGTCGGCGCAGCCTCGGGAGCCATGCCCGGAGGTCCGGGGATGATGTTCCCTCCCGGGCCTGGCTGGCCCGGAGGTCCGGGGATGCCGGGCATGCCCGGAGGCTTGGTGGGAGGTATGGTGCCTCCTGTGGATTTGGATGGGTGGGAGACGGTTTCTATTGGTCGGCGCGGGAAGAAGGATACCGCCGGAGCTGCCGGGCAGGCTCGGCAGGGAGCTGCAGCTGCAGGTTCGGTACCGATTATGGGGCCAGGCATGGGGCTCAAAATGGGCCCAGGTATGGGTCCGGGCATGGGAGGTTCGTCGGCATTCATCGGCAAGCCGAGCGCTCTAATTGGTGCCAAGCCTGCTCCGGTCAGACCAGCCGAACCTGCGGCTCCCAAGCCTGCTGCCGCTACTGCCGCGGCCCCTGCCGCTGCTAGCAACGGCCCAGCCGCAGCAGCAAAGCCGGCAGCAGCGGCGGCAGTGTCAGGCACGTGGGATGATGTGGCAAAGAGGAAGTCTGAATCTCTTCTCAAGGAGTTTTTCGCCGTTCTGGATCTTAAGGAGGCTCAGCTGTGTATGGAGGAGCTTGGCTCGCAGAAATCCCACGAGGTTTCGTCCCGGTTCGTTGAATTTGCCGCGAATTTCGCCCTGGAGGGCGGCAAGGAGAAGGAGTGCGTGGAGGTGGGGCGGCTGCTCTCCCACCTGCACTCCAAGGGCGCGTTCGCACAGAGCGACAAGGGCGAGAGCGCGCTGACAGCTGGCATGCTCTCATTGGCCGAGCAGCTCGATGACCTGGCGCTGGACGTGCCGCAGGCGCCGAGATTCCTGGGCGAGTGGCTGGGCGGCTTTGTGGCGGCCGGGGCGGCGGATTTCGGCTTACTCAAGTCTGTGTGCGAAATGTCGTATGATGGCGGGAGGAGGCGGGCGGTGGTGGTGGCTGCTGTGAAGGCGATTGAGGGGAGCGAGGCAGGGAAAGGGGAGGGGGTGGTGGAGGTGTTGAGGAAAGCAGGGGCGACGGGGCTTAGTAAGGTGGTGACAGAGGAGGGGAAGGATGAGGCCGAGGCGAAGGGGCGGCTTGAAGAGGACTTGAAGAAGGCTGGGCTTGCTTTGGAGGTGCTGACCTTGTGAGGGTGTGAGAGGCTTTAAGTGGAGAATGATGAGCCAAGAAACCAGTGAAAAAGTGGGGTGGGACTCAGGAGAGTCGCAGAGGTGGCTTGAAGCGGATTTGAAGAAGGCTGGGTTGGGCTTGGAGGTGTTGAGTGGTTTTGCAGTGGAGAGGGGAGTGGTGAAGAGTGGTTAAGGTGAAGAGTGGTGAAGAGTGAAGCAGGACTCGAAGGTGGGGAAGGAGGAAGAAGGGAGAAGGGTTGAGGATTTTTAAGGCATGGATGGCCTTGGAAATGTGGTAATGTGGTATTGTGAGGAAGTGGGAAATGTGGTGTGGGATGGTTTTATGAGCAGGATGGAAAGGAATATTATAGTGCGGGGGCAAGGGAATTGGAGGGGGGAAGCGACAGCTGTTTATGGGAGCAAGGGAACTGGGCATTGGGTGGTTCTACTGTTCTCGTTTTTGTGCTTTGAGTAGGTAGATACTATTTCAATGGGCACAGAGATGTTGAAATGGTACGGTAACAGTACTGTTGTAACACATTTTGGATAAACCGCTGGCGAAATGTTATACGTTCTCCATAATAACAGTCTCAGTGACTATGCAACTGCTGGGCTGAGAAGCGAGCCTCCCAGCTTATGAAGATAGCAGCTGGAGCAGCAACAAGACACAATGCTGCCGGCTAAGGTAAATTCAGGGTCTGGATGGTACAAGCCTCCCAACTTCCCAGGCCGCATGGCCTGCACGGGCGACGAAAGGGCCCTTTTGTCGCCCAGGCAGCATATGCGAACGACCGACCCTTCCAGGAAGAACGAACGCCCACAACGGCTGGGCATGCGGAGTCTTCAGCAGAGCCTTGGCGTTGCTTACTATGTGACTCAAGAGGGCCATGTGTTCTTGGGTGTACGGTGCTTGTAGTGAACTTTTGAGGCACCTCAAAAGTCGTCTCATGAACTCAAGAGCGCCCTGCGTCCTTGGGTGTACGGTGCTTGTAGTGAACTTGTGGCATGTGGAACATGCAGTGGTGGCTTGCGGTCACGGCAGCACGGAGGGAAGGCCGCAGCACATGCGCCATGGGGATGCCTGCTCACATGGGAGCGATGGGGGAGAGTGGAGAGGGAAAGGATGGAAGGTGGGTGGGAGGGTAGACGAGGAAAGAAGCGCAGAGAGAATTCTCAAGGGTATGCCATGGGTGTACCTGTATGGGAGATATGCGGAGGGGTATTACCATTTGTGATCGTACCATGTCCTATCGTACCATGTCCTATCGTACCTTGTGGGCTTGGAGCATCTGATAGTCGCTCACTCGCGCTCTGCTCAGCTGCCCTTTAACCAACTGCGTGGCCCCACCATCCTCTAAGTCCCCACCAAGGTGCAGGATATTACTTCGTACTTTCTCTCCTGCTATCTCACCTTGTGGGCTTGCAGCATCTGATACTCGCTCACTCGCGCTCTGCTCAGCTGCCCTTTAACCAACTGCGTGGCCCCACCATCCTCTAAGTCCCCACCAAGGTGCAGGATATTACTTCGTACTTTCTCTCCTTCTGCTATCTCACCTTGTGGGCTTGCAGCATCTGATACTCGCTCACTCGCGCTCTGCTCAGCTGCCCTTTAACCAACTGCGTGGCCCCACCATCCTCTAAGTCCCCACCAAGGTGCAGGATATTACTTCGTACTTTCTCTCCTTCTGCTATCTCACCTTGTGGGCTTGCAGCATCTGATACTCGCTCACTCGCACTCTGCTCAGCTGCCCACCAACCATCTGCCCAGCCCCACCATCCTCCAAGTCCCCGCCCAGCGATATAGTTTCCCAGCTGCCCGACGGCCTGCCCGGAAGCATTCGGCTGCCCGAGAGCGTCCTTTGAAAGGGATGGGATAGCTTCAGAGGGAGCAATGCTGTGGTTGCTACTGATATGGGTGGGATTGCTGGTGGTGGTGGTGCAGCTGTTGTGGGTGGTGGTGGTGCTGCTCCTGCTGCTCCTGCTGCTGCTGCTGCTGATGAGGATGCAGATGCTGTATCAGAGTCCTGTGAGAGGAGCACTACTGCTTCTGCTCCACTTGCTCCTCCTCCTGCTGCTCCTCCTCCTGCTCCTCCTCCTGCTGCTCCTCCTCCTGCTCCCCCTCCTGCTTCTGCTGATGCTGCAGCAGGGGCTGTGGGCAGGGCGAGAGGCAGGTTCCTCCAAAAGTGCCGCTGTGAGGGCTCCTGAAGAGCTGGGGCAATTCGAACCACGCTGTGAGAGGATGGAAGGGAGCTGGAAGTGAGCTCCTGAATACCTGGGCTGATTCGAACCACACGGGCTTGAGACTGTGCGGCCGAACTGACAGGCTTAGTCACGCTCCCCAGCATCCCTTGCACCCCATTCAACCCATTCACGCCATTCATGCCATTCACCCCATTCACCCCACTCACTGCACCAACCATTACGCCCACTCCACCCACCCCCTCCTCCTCCTGCCGCTCCAGCCACTCACTAATCTGCTTCAGCCCCCTGGCGGCTCCCTCACTCCCTCGCCCCCACTCCACCGCCCCAACACTCACACTCCTGTGCAGCACTGTAGAGCTAGGCACAGAGTCAGCACCAGTGTACAGCCCTGCAGCCCTCGAGGCCGGTGCAGAACAACCATCGGCGTGCAGGCCTATGCTGCTGGTGCGTGGTTCTGCTGCTGCAGAACCAACGGCATGCAAACATGCAGCATTAGAAATCAGGGCAGCATCAGCACCAGGAAAAACCCGCCCAGCAGCGGTGTGCAGCAGCACTGCCACACCTCTGTGCATCTTCACCGGTTCTCCCACCTGCCACCCTTCATCCCTCCCCTTCTCCGCATCTCCCCTCTCCTCCTCATACCCCTTCTCCCTCTCCTCCTCTCCCTCTTGCCCTCCTCCCTTCTCTCGCCCCTCCCCAGCTGTCCCATCTCCCAAGCTCTCCCTGGCCTCTTGCAGAGGTTCGGAAGGGTCCGAACCGGACCTGGCCGCCCCTCCCTGCTCCCCTGTGTCAATCCTGCCTCCTCCGCTTCCTCCTCTTCCTGCTAATCGCCTAACAGCCATCTCCCGCACCATCCTCTGCTGCAGCCTCGCTGCTTCCCCACTGCTCTCACATGTCAGAAGCTCCCTTCTTGTTGCTGCTACACCCACAACTGCTTTTGCTGCTGCTCCAATGCCCCCTGTATCCCTTCCTGCTGGTAACCCTACACCCTCACTGGCTTCACTCTCCCTTCCTACGCTAGTCATTGCACTGCTCCCACTCACTCGCCCATCCAAGCTCCTCCTTTGCTCCACACTCTCTTTAATCCCATGCCTCTCATCCCCGCTCACTTCAGATCCTCTCTCACTCCCTCTCTCACTCCCTCGCTCACTCCCTCTCTCACTTTCCCTCTCACCCCCTCTCTCCCTCTCCCTCTCACTCCGTATTCCGAACTCCTCTGCCTCCTCTTTGTCCGCTGCTCTTCTCTCCCTTGCAGCCTGTGTCTCGCGCCTCTCTTTCCTCGCCCTCTCAAACACCTCCGAATAAGGTAATTCCTCCTGCTCCTGCTCATGCTCCTCTCTCCTTTCCACTCCACTGCAACCAGAACTGCTCCTTTGACTGCTCCTGTGGTCGCTGCCATAGTTACTGCTGTAATTGCTGTTGCTGTATTTACTGCTGCTGGTGTGTGCGCTGCTTCTGCTGGTGTGTGCGCTCCTGCTGCTTCCTCTAGACTCCGTCTCTGCGTTCTCCCACCTCCCTCTGCTCTGTATACTGCCAGTGTACCTGCTGTTGCTGTTGCTGGAGTGGCTGATGTGGCTGGTGTAGCCAGTATGTCTGCTGCTATTGCTGGGGAGGCTCGTGCTACTCCTGGTGCAGGTGCTACTGGTTTCACTTCTGCTGGTGTGTTGGAGGAGTGGTTGGTGGTGGTGGTTTCGAAGCTTGCTGCCGATGCTGCTGCTGTTGTTTCTGCTGCTGCTACTGCTGGTAATATCTCTATCTTTACTGCAACGACCACTGTACTCTTTACGAGTGGTCTCACTATTGTACACTGTGCGGTTGTGATCGTGTTTTGGATCCAACCATTCTCCGAATTTCGGTATGACTGTTCGCCTGCTGTTGCCTGTCGTCCCGCTGCTGCTCGCGCTGCCGGTGGGACTATAAGGGGTACGGAGTGTACTGATGCTGCTGCTGGCATCAAGATTCCCGCTTGGGTTGCTGATGTCATCGTCTGTGTAGCTGACATCAACATGATATGGGGCGCTGCGATTGGTTAGATTTCTGCTGCTGCTGATGGTGCTGCTGGCGTGGCTGGCAACCTTAGTGACGTCGCTGACGTAACTGCTGACGCTGCTAACATCATTGCTGACGTTGCTGATGTCAGTGCTGACGAAGCTGACATCAGCGCTGATTTCAGGAACCTTCTTACCGCTGCTGATCCATCCATCCCTGCGAGAATAATCCAAAGCTCTTTTGGCACTGCCATACCTCCTCCTCCCCTCGTTATTGTCACCACTCTCTGTTGTGTCACGACCGCTGCTAGCCTCGGAATTGCGGCTGCTGGTTTTCCACGAACCAAATGGGCTGCCGAACCTGAGGGGGCTTCCGAGCCTACGTGGCGACCATGCTGACATGGACGCCTTGCTGACGTGGCTTGAGGAGGATGTCAACGACGATGATGATGTTTCCGCAATGCTGTCGACATGGCTTGAGCCAGCGCTGATTCGGCTGGATCCCTTGCTGACGTGGCTCCCCATGCTGACCTGGCTTGACATGCTGACACGGCTCATCTCATCCAACAAATGCTTCCCGCTCACGCCCAATGAACTGTTACCGTGCATACATTCTCAGTCGTAACTGACTTCTGGAGAGGCCCTACCCTGGATATAGAAACACAGCTCTACACCTGGGCTCCCCCTCCACGTGGCATCTACGGAGGCTGCCTGATCGTTCTGGGGTTGCGCCAAATGGAGAGAAACCCGTCGCTCCACGTGGCCTTTTCCCCTGGTTCGCTGAGCAACGTCACCGCCGCTCTCTCATCTCCCTTCAGGTCACGCCATGGGTCTATCCCTTGCTGTGCTGTACCCTTCCTACGCGCCCTCCTCGTCAGCTCCGTGCGGTACACCTGGGCATGCTGCACAAACTCCCTGATGGCCCCTCTTGCCACCTTCTTCCTTTGAAAGGTCTCCCCCCGCCAGACCATGTTGCACCTCGCCAGCCAGATGTGGCGGAAAGTAGTCGCCACTAGCGTTGCTGCGGGGAAACCGGATCGCGTGTGCCCCTCCTCGAAAAGCAGGGCTCCCAGTGAGTTCGGGTTGCTGGAGGGGTCCAGCATCCGCAGTGACCGCAACAGCGCGCCGATCACCGGCTGGACGAGGGGGCAGCTGAACATGCAGTGCTCCAGCGTTTCCGGCTCCCCGCAATGTGAACACCTCGCCCTCTCACCCAGGAACTTCAGTCTGTCACCCACTTGTAGGTTCAGGCAGTGCATCCTCAGCAGCACATCCCTTGCCCTGTTGGGGATCACCATCGAATCCCTCCTGCTCTCCACCTTCCTCCAGTCTATCTTCCTCCCCCATCTTTCCTCCCACTCGCTCCTTTTCCTTGAGGCCGTAGCTGGCCCTGCCAGCACCCGCCGAATCGCCTTAATCATCGCCGGCGCTCCATCGTCGTCGAACAGCTTAGACAGTTTCAGCCTTACCGCCGGGGCGCCCACCACTCCCAGCACTCTGCCGCCTCTGGTAGCTATTGGTTCCACATACTCCGGCCTGAACGACGCCTTGACTGGTTCGGCCCACTCCTCTATCTTAGCCTCCCTGGTCAGCTCCACGCTTGACACCGTCACTTTCTCCTCTTTAGCCCCCGTCACCTTCCAATAGAGATGCTCCTGCGTCCGTGGTAAGAACGTCCTCACCACGCCCGCCACTTCCACCAGTTTCTCCGCCGTCTTCCCCGCTATTGCCAATTTCTTCCATTCTTCCGATGTTGCCGCGTACGCCATCAGCGCCCATCTCGCCACTGCCACTCCTCCTAATTCCTCTCTCAGCGTCTCCTTGCTTTTCACCTTGCGCTCCGCCCCCGGTCCCCCTGATACCAGATCCCCAATCTTCGCCTTCCTTAAATCCTCTGTCCCCTGTTGATTCCCGTACGGGCTCTTTCCTCTGAACATGATCCTGCGATTGAAGCAGAGGCACTCCTGCTCCACCTCCCATCCGCTCGATGGCTCCGGCAACACCGCGTACGGGGAATCCCAAAACGCCTCCACCGCCGCTTTCCACCTTTGGCTGCCCCCCGGCCAGTGCTTCCCCGCCGACGGGTCCGCAAAAAACGTTGCTTCTCCTTGCGGCAACGCCGCCGCTTTCTCCGCTAACCATTTCTTCGTCGCATTCTTCTCCGCTAGCATCTTCCCCACCATTCTGACCGCCATGCTGTCGATTCGTACCTTAGGGTCCACGAGCCCCAAACCCCCTTCCTTCCGCGGGAGCCGTGTCAGAATGTCATTGTTCTCTAGCCTGCAGTGGGGTACTCTATAGCGAGTACAACCCCTTAGGGTTTCCTATATGTATCCTGCTGCTTTCTAGTGAACCCCCTCTTCTTCTTTTGCCTAAACTTCTCTTGCCTAGCTAGGACTTACCTAGCTATGGCTCCTAACTCTACCTACTATTTTCACATGCTATCAGAGCAGGTCGATCCCCTTGGGTCGATCCTGTGGGTGGGCTCACCACCTCACTGCTTCCGCTGCTACTGCTACTCTCTGTGTCGCACGCCCCGTGGCGTGCGACGGATTTTTCATCCCGCCGCGCGCTCGGAGCGTGCGGCGGTTTTCTGCCCGCCGTGCGCCCCAAGGCGCGCGGCGGTTTTCTGCCCGCCGTGCGCCCCGAGGCGCGCGGCGGTTGTCTGCCCGCCGTGCGCCCCGAGGCGCGCGGCGGGTTTCTGCCCCGTCACTCCGCGCGTCGCTCCCGGGAGGCGCTGCGACGGGCGACGGGGACCCGCGCGTCGCCCCCCGTCGCCCGTCGTGGCCTGCGCGCGGCTCGTACAGCCTGCGTGCGGCCCGTACGGGCTGCGCCAGGCCCGCGCGCGGCCCGTACGGGCTGCGCCAGGCCCGCGCGCGGCCCGTACGGGCTGCGCCAGGCCCGCGCGCGGCTCGGGCCGCCTGCGCGCGGTTCGGGCGGCTGTGCCAGGCCCGTGGGCGGCCCGTTCTTCGCTGCCCCTGCGCTGCCCGCTGTCCCCCGTGCTTCTGATGGCGCCCCACCCCTGCTGCTGCCCGTTCTCCTGAATTAGGGTTTGGGGGTGGGGGGTCTGGGGGTGCAGCTTCTGTGTGCCGTCCCCTGCTCCTCCTCCTCCTCCGTCTCCCAGTGCTGCAGCTGCCGCTGAGGGGGGTGGACCTGTTGGAGCCGTCGGAGTGGTACTAAGGGGGGTGAAGGGGGAGTGGAGCTAGGGGTGAAGCAGGGGGTGTGTGTCAGGGGGAGTGGGACTGTTTGGGGAGGTTGAACTGAGGTTGCCGTCGTGTCGCCAGCAGCACCTGTAGTCCGGGGAGTTGCTCCGGTAGCCCAGTCGCAGCCAGCTGTGCCAGTCGCCCGTGGGTCCGTTGCTCGTCTGCCGCTACTTTTAGCCGCGGAGCCAGTTACTCCAGTAGTCCGGAGCGTTGTTCCGGTAGCCGCTGTGCCAGTGTGACTCCTGTTGCCCGTGTGTCTGCAGCTTCAGCCGTCGCCTCCTATCTCCTCTCCTCTCACTCTCGCCTCCTCCTCCTCACTTGCCCTCTGCGATAGCCTCTAGCTTTGCTCATAATTGTGAACTTTAAACTATTGCTTCTTGTACTTGTGCTCAGAATGTGTGGTGACATTGTGATCCACCCTGAGCTTGTTCTGCTTTGCTTGCTCTGCTGATTACACCCCACTTTGGCTATGGGGGTGTGTCAGAATGTCATTGTTCTCTAGCCTGCAGTGGGGTACTCTATAGCGAGTACAACCCCTTAGGGTTTCCTATATGTATCCTGCTGCTTTCTAGTGAACCCCCTCTTCTTCTTTTGCCTAAACTTCTCTTGCCTAGCTAGGACTTACCTAGCTATGGCTCCTAACTCTACCTACTATTTTCACAAGCCGAGCCAGCTCCCCGCTCCACAGCACAAACGCTTTCTCTGCCGTGGCTTCCCCACTCGAAACGTAATTATCACACGTCTTCTGAATCTTCTTCCACAGTTCCTCTGGCGGAGGGTACACCTGCGCCTGGAATATGAAGATAGGCATTATATACGCGTTGATCACCGTCACTCTTGCCGTTGTGAGAAGATGGTGGCTTTCCCACTTAACCAGTTCCTCCTTCCCCCGCTCCCAAGCCTTCTCCCAGGACGGGCCTGCATCTCCGTCTGGCGTAATCCAGATGCCCAGCAGTCGCTCCGGCACACCCGCTTCCGCCCATTTGAAAGGTACCCCCTCCGCCGACTGCTTCCCTTTGTTCCTTCCGATCGGCATGACCACCGATTTGTCGTTGTTTGTACGCAGACCTGACATCCTGCCGAACTGCTCCAGCGCTTCTGCTGCCGACCTCAGCTGTTCCTCTCCTTTCAGTATGAGTGTTGTGTCGTCCGCATATCCTACATACGCTAACTCCGCCGTCCCTTCCTTCTCCTTCACGCCCAGCCCTCGCTTTTTAACCTCCAGGCACAACGGCTCCAAAGCGCAGAGAAAGAGATACGGCGCGAGCGGACAACCTTGTCTCACTCCCCTCTTCATCTCCACCCTCTCTCCGACCCAGCCGTTGATCACCACTGACGTCCCTGAGCCGTGGTGCAGCCCCTCCGTCCATCTCACGAACTCATCCGGTATTCCCAGCTTCCTCATCGTCTCGAACAGGTACGGTCTCGCCACTGTGTCGTACGCTTTCTGGAAATCCACCATCAGGAGAAACCAGTCCTCTCCCCCGTTGTCCGCCGCCTCCACTGCATCCGCGACCACCGATACTGCATCCGCCAGGCTCCTCCCTGGAACGAAGCCGTGTTGGTCCTCCGATATCACCAGGTGAAGTTCTTTTTCGAGTCTGTTCGCGAGCACCTTCGCCAGCACCTTGTACATCGTGCTGAGGAGCGTGATGGGTCGGTAATTCCCTAACTGGTCCGTCGGCCCCTTCTTGTGCAGCAGGACCGTGACCGCCGTGGATAAGGCCTCATCCAAGTGGCCCGTCCGCTCGAACCTTTTCGCAAACTCTACCAGCGGCCCACCCAACAGATCCCAGTGAGCCTTGAAAAGCTCCGGTGGCAACCTGTCCCTGCCCGGCGACTTGCCTCTAGGCAGGCCCGCGAGTGCCTCCTTCACCTCTGTCTCTATCCACGGGGCACGGAGCCTCGCCGCCGCATCACCCGGTAAGCTAGTGGCCACTTCGACCGTCCCCCCCTCCTGTCTCTCCGTTCCCGTCTGCTCGCTGAAAGCTTCCCGGAAATGATCGGAAGCCGCCCTCAGCACCTCCTGTGAACCGTAGAAACGCTCCCCCTTGTACTGCACCTCCTTGATCACCGTCTTATTTTTCCTTATCTTGACCTTGGCAGAGAGGTATGGCGACGGGATTTCGCCGTGCAGCTCTAGATCCAAACCGGCCAGCGTCTGCAGCCACTCCCTCTCGCTCTCTTGATAGCCTTCTAGCTGCGCCTCTCTCGCCAGCAACCTCTCCTTGACGCCCGCTTCCGTGGGTCCCGCCATGACCATGTGGTTTAACCTTGCCACCTCTGCTTCCAAGTGCCTCCTGGTTGCCATGACCCGTTTCCTCTCCTCCCGCTCATGTGCCCGCAGGGCCGCGCTGAGCCGCGGAAGACTGCTCTCCAGAGTTCGGCCGCGCTGCTCCTCCGGTCCCCCCATGATCCTCTGTATCACCTCCCTGACTCCCCTTCGATTCGCCCTTGGCGCATGAAACCTCCAGATCCCCGGTCCGCTTGTGTGCGACGATCTGAACACGAGGCTGATTCGGATGGCGAAACGGTGATCCGACAGCTTCTTCGGCACCCAGACGTGACCGGCCTCCGTGAGCTGCCCCAGCAACGAGGCAGACACCAGGGCTCTGTCAATCCTGGACCTGGTGTCGGACGGCCTCGCGCGGAACGTGTACTGCCTCTCTCCTGGGTTAAGCGCACGAAACGCATCCTTGAGATCAAAGGCCGACCAGGCCTCGAGCAGCCGCTGATTCTCTTTGCTGGACCCTGCGCGGGACGACCTGTCCAGCTCCGGGTCCCCGATTATGTTGAGATCCCCTGCGAAAACCAGGTGCATCCCCGCTGGCTGGGCCCGAATGAAGGGGACCAAGTGCTCTTCATGGAACTTCGACCGACTGCCTGGTTGTGCCAGGAGATACGCCGCTATCAGCCTGATGGCGGTGTCCCCCCCCTCCACCGTCACTCCTAGCAACCTGCCGGTGTGGTGAGCCGAAACCTCTGTGAAACGTAAGTGCTTCTTGAACGCCATTATCGCTACCCCTCCTGCTCCTTTCTCTGTGCCGGCTACAGCCCTAGCCGTTGGTTTGAGCTCATTCCAGAAATTGTGGTCTTCCTTTATTCTCGTATCCGAGAGCACAACCACGTCCGCGGCTCTCTTCAGCCAGGTCCTGTGAGCGATTCGTTTGCCGTTGCCGCCGAGGCCATTAACATTGACCCCGCATATGGTGAGTTGAGATTGCTTATCCATTAATCAACCTTGGCACGAGCCCCTCGCATCCACGGGCTTTATTGAACTGCGACTGAACAAGGGACAACACTTCCGACTCAGGACATTTCCATCCTCCCGCCTCCATGTCTACTTCCACTTTACTGTTAACACCCGCAGGACTCGCTTCAGAACCTCGCCCTCGCGTCTGGGAAATTACATCCCGAACTCCTTCCTGACCGCCAGCAGATTCAGCTTCCCCTTGCTCCGACGGGTCGCTGACCCTGCCTTGAGACGCTCGGTGCAATGGCGGACCGATGCCGCATGCTCTGCAGCCTGCGCGAAACTGACGCCATGTGCCTTCTCGCAGCCCTCCTGGACGCACAACCACTCCTCCCGAATCCCGCTGGTGGAGGTAAACACCATCGCCGGGTCTTCCATGATGGCCTTTGTAGCTGAGGTCAGCTTCAGTGAGGCCGCTGCTCAGAGGGGAGATGGCACAGAGGTGAGCCGCTGCACCAGCGTCGTCGACTGCTACATCGACCTGAAAAACACAGCTCGGGAAGATGTTATTACCGTTCATCTCGTGCACCCGCTCCAGCGGTAAGTTCCACCTGGTGAAAATGTCCTGCCTCTCCGTCACATAGTCATCATGAAAACAGGACATGTGCATGCCGTTGCAAAACGAGCAGGTGAGAGCGGGGAAAGAAACCAGTAGATCTGTGCCGTGGATCTTGTCCGACACCTTGTGCCACCACTTATACTTATCCCCGGGGTGGCGAAAGACCAGCCCCTTGATCTTGTCCGTGTCTGACCCTGTCACCGGATCCACCACCCTGTGAAAAGCCACCCCCTCCAGGAACGCCGTACGCTTGCGCTTCAACAGAGTCGCTGTCACGAGGCTCTTTCGGACCATCTCCGGCGAGATGACCGCCGGGACACCTTTCAACAGCACCTCAATCGCCTCCTGCCTCGCCGAACGCTCCCTCACGTACTCTTGATTCTCTGGATGCTGCCAGCCCAGCGTCAACCGGAGCTTGGTCACCGTCTCATGTTCCCCTTTCCTGCTCCACATGAAATTCGCATCCGCAGCATGTGCGAAAACAACTTGAAGACGGCCGAAATGCTGCTTGGAGAGCCACGTCGGCGACAGCTTGTGAAACTTAGTCGTCGTCTTGGCAACCGTCGTCATGTGACCCTCCCACAGCCTGAGCAGCTCTTGGACCGTGCCGATCGTACGCGGGACTTCCTCCACCCATTTGAACGGGATAAGGAGCATAATAGCGAAGCCCGCCTGCGTCGCGATATCATTAATCACCCCTGGGTCCTGGCACTCGTCAGGGTCGTCGCTGAGGTAACCGTCTTCCTCCTCTGCTTCTTTAGCCGCTTCCTTCCCGTTCTGCTGAACCCCGGACGTTGAAGGCTGGTGCTTCCCTGGAGCCTCCGCTGATGCCTTGAGCTTTTCCTTCTCGTCCTTTTGCAGATCATCGATTCGAAGCGCAGACGTCTTCGCCGACAATGCAGCAATGTCCTCCACACCGAAAGGGCCTTGGACCCCGTTGAAAGGCGTCCTTGGCGTAACAGGCTCCGAACCTTTCTTATTCAGGGCCCCACCAGCAGCAGCAGCAGCTCCAGCAGATCCATTCACTTCAGGAGGAGCCATTGTGCTGTGATGATGAAACCGAAACAGCCTCTTGATGGCTGACAAGTTGCAAAAGCTGAGCACGGGACGCTCCCTTGCTGACTGATGACATTGCTTCCTTTTGCTGGGGAAGATATAGTCCTGAAACACCCTTCGCAGCGCTTTGAAAACACCATTGCGACAGGCTGATTCCTTGAAAGGATCACAGACCCCGGTATTCTCCCTTGTTCTTGAGCTTTCCGAGATAGCTTGCTCCTTGATACTGCCTGACAATAATCCTTTGTTAAAAATAAACGCTGTATAAACACAGCGCCATAGCGCCAGGATAATGCCGACCCGCCAGACTGGCTCAGTGAAGATATCTGCAACCTTGGTAGCTTCCCTTGTCCTTGGGTTTTCAGCGTTAGCATGAGCCTTGATACTGCCTGACAAAGAACCATTGATAAAAATGTTCGCTGTATGAACACAAAAGTTATATCGTTGGATTCCTATCGTGAGCCCGAGTACAGATCCGGGCTTTAAACTGCTAACTGATACGAAATCGATGGACATTGGGAGCTTCAAAGTCACTGGACCAGGCCATGGCGGTCTCAAGGTCAACATTGTCAACATGGTGGACATGGGCGCTGTTCTGTAGGCGTTAAAATTCCAAAAACTGGGTCCGCAGAATCTTCGTTGATAAGTGGTCTTCTGCCTATCAAGGTTTGGTGATAAGAAAGGTCCTGCCGAACCTGTTTGCGCCAAATTTAACGCATCGGCCTGCAGAACGCCACTTTTGGGGTGCACGAATTTAACCGTCTGCAGGTTCGAAGTTGTTGCTTCGCCGGGCAAATGGCCGCACAACTAGTGCGGTGCTAATTCTACCTCGGGAGCTAGCATCAGCCTCCGCACATGTTATGCGAGGCAGCAACATCCACGCAACGCAACCAGCATGAATGCACCTAGAAAATGCACGGAAGGCTACCGCGGTCAAATTGGTGCGGAACCCTAAACGCCTGCAGAACAACGCCATGATAGTTGAAGGGAGGCCAGTCGTTCGCGCATCAGGTCGCCACCATCTTCCCGCCATCATCGCATCATGCTACACTCGTTTGGAACATATACGCGTTGCGTAGTGCCCAGGGCCCAGTTCGGCAGCCACGCGGAAGCAAAATGTGAGGAAGATGAGGCGAAGGTAAGGCGGGCGTCAACCCAGGGTCAACAAATTTTGACCCTGGGTTGACTGCTCCGCGGAAAACCTGCGCCATGAGGGAGCTGGCGCAGATTGTAGGGAGGGATACGAAAATTCGTCGCAGGAGAGAGGCACATTTGGCCTCAAATGTGCTTGCCCCAGGGCACTGTAGCGGGAACAGAAAGGAACAATCGGAAAAAACAAAAGATTCGCGCCCCCTGCTGTTGGGGAAATCCAACTTTCAAAAAACGAACAATGTATTTTTTGTAGGGTCCAATGTTGGCCCGTGAACAGTGAACCCAGGTGGAATCAGAAAAGTGATTCTTCCGTTTTCAAAGAATCACTTTCTTCTTCCGTCTCACTAGGGCGGAACCTTTCCGCCAAGGGGGGGAGAATAAGGACAGAAGACGGCGCGGAAGCAATGTTTGGAGGTGTTCGCGTCGCTGCTGCTAAACACCTGCGTTTCGATTTTCGGAAAGTTTACCCTACAGCCCGCACTGTTTTGCCCTCGATAATGCGATTAAAAGCTTCGAAGAAGACGGTAGAATTTTTCTTCCGCCCTTCTTCCGTGGCTGCCGAACCGGGCCCAGATGTCTACATTTGATGGATAATCCCTCAATTGCTGTCAGGACGCAACGTTTCGCCAACTCTCCAATCACAGCACGATCCCGTGTCCCACGGTCACCCACCTGTGCTCGCTGATCTCTAGGCTTCAAACAAAGAAATTGCGCGTCGGCTAGATCCAAGCATATGGCCGTTGCCTGCATTTTCCTAGCTAACCAACTAACCACATTCATCGCACGATTAGGACACAATTACGATGATTCATGGTAAATCATCTTTGCACGTGACCTGATTAGGGCTAATTCAGTAATAGCAAGGTATGGCTGTAACGGAGGTACCTAGACCAAATAATAGTACTCCAGGGGAAACTTCGAGAGGTTCGCGAAAATCGCCTGCGACTAGTATTGGATCGAAAGCATCGTCATGGCGTCGCAAGGCGACTCTCGTTCCTGCGACGATTTTCGTCCTCACGGCGATCGCATTCTTACACCACTCGTCGCTCTTGCGACGTTACGCTAAGTACATCGATTTCGCAGACGACGACAATGGCGACAGCCGACGAATACTCGTTCGCGACGAGCTGCGCGACCCGTGCGACGAATCCCCCAGCGCTGCGACGTGCTCGCGATACAAAATGATAGCATTCGCCATGGGCCCGCTCTCGAGCCGCCTTCAAACCCTCTGCTTAGCTAACGCCACCGCCGCAATTTCCCGCCTCTCTCTCCGTGTCGTTTGGCTAAAAGACGAGGGGATGCTCTACGTGCCGCCCAGCGAGATTCTTTTGGGCGGCGGAGGGGGAGCGAGCGGGGGAAGCGCAGGGGGAGGGAGCGGGCGGTCAAGGGGAAAATTCGCATGGGGAAGGAGAGAGGCGAAGAGGGGGGCGGGAGGGGAAGCGACCATGGAGGGGGAGAGAAGGGGAAGCGGGGCGAAAGGGGGCGGACGGGGGGGCGGGCCGGTTGTGATTGATACGGGGGGAGCGCTGTCGCCCGTTACAGCCACGAGAGCGTTTCTCGCGCACCCGTTTGTGCCCAAGACGGTACGGTTGAAGGGCGTTAAGGCAATCATGAGCACTTGCATCTCTCTCCACGCCCACATTGCCCCTGCGCTCCCTCTTCCTCTTCAACCTTTCCCCCCCCGTGTTCCCGCCTCCCTCCTACATTCTCCTCCGCGTCCTGCGCACCTCTTCCTCCCCCACCCCCCTCCTCCCTCCTCCCCCCACATTTCCCCCGCATCCTCCCCGCATCCTCCCCGCATCCTCCCCGCATCCTCTCTGGGGCGCAATGGGAGGTCGCCATCCCTCCCTCCCCCTCGCCGCCACACTGCCACCCCCTGCATTTTCCCTCCTCTCTTCCCCCCCTCGCAACACCCCCGCCCCCCCTTTCTTCCTTCCGCCTCTACCGCACCAAATGCGCTTTGGGCAGTGCGGGCGCAGCAGCGCAGCGCTGGACCCCTCTGAAGCGGAACGACCGTGTCCCTCCCCCCCCTCCCTTCCCTTCTCCCTTCCCTATCTCTCCCCCCGCTCCAACCCTCACCAGATGCGCTTTGGGCAGTGCGGGCGCAGCAGCGCAGTTCTCGACCCCTCTGAAGCGGGGCGACTGTCCCTGGACTGGACGTGTGGGTTGCCCCCATCCTCCATTAGCCCTCAGTTGACTTTTGAGTCGACTCAAAAACAGCGCAGCGCTGGACCCATCTGAAGCGGGGCGACTGTCCCTGGTCTGGACGTGTGGGTACCCCCATCCCTCCATTAGCCCTCAGTTCCGTGCTTCCACCTCCCTGCATTTCCCCCCCACCACGCCAGATGCGCTTTGGGCAGTGCGGGCGCAGCAGCGCAGCCCTGGACCCCTCTGAAGCGGAGCGCCTGTGTTGCCCCACTCACCCACCCCCCCTCCCTCTCCCCTATCTCCTCTCCTGGCCACGCCAGATGCGCTTTGGGCAGTGCGGGCGCAGCAGCGCAGCGCTGGACCCCTCTGAAGCGGAGCGGCTGACTCTGGACGTGTGGGTGTCCGTGAGAGCGCTCAACCGCACCAACTTCGTGAGTGCTGGGGGGGGATTGAGGGGGATGGAGGGTTACGAGGGTTGAAGGTGCAGGGAGTGGGCAGAGGAGTTGCAGAGGGGGCGCACGTGTTTTGCTGAACGTGTGGGTGTCCGTGAGAGCGCTCAACCGCACCAGATTCGTGAGTAAGGGGGGTAAGAAGGTAGGTGGTGAAGGGCGAAGGCAGAGGCTTTGCACAGAGGGCGCAGGACGACTCTGTCCCTGGATATGTGGGTGTCTATGAGGGCGCTCAATTGCATTGGTGCGATTTTTTAGAATTTGGTGCGACTTTTGAGAATTCGGTGCTACTTTTGAGAATTCGGCGCGACTTTTGAGAATTCGGCGCGACTTTTAAGAAATCGGTGCGACTTTTAAGAATTCTTAAGAGTCGCACCAGGACGACTCTCTCTCTGGATGTGTGGGTGTCCGTGAGGGCGGCCAACTGCACCAACTTCGTGAGTGAAGGGGGGGACGTGTTGGGTAGAAGGTGCAGGGGACGTGTTGGGTAGAAGTGTTGGGGGAGTGAGGGTGTAGGGGGAAAGTGTAGCCTGCAGGGGGGATGTGACTGGGGGTGTGGGTGGTTTTTGAGTCGACTCAAAAGGGGATGTGACTGGGGGTGTGGGTTGGCCGTGAGAGCTCTCAACCGCACCAGATTCGTGAGTGGGGTGGTGGGGTAAGGGGGTAGGTTGTGGAGGGTGTTTGGTGTTGCAGGAGCCTCTCTCATCGCTGCTACGCCCGCCATATTCGAATGACTTTTGAGAATTCTCAAAACTCATCGCTGCTACGCCCGCCCGCCTCGAGCCTTCCCTTCCCTTCGTCTCCCCCATGTCCCCTCCTTGTGCTACCCCAATCACTTCCTCTCTCCCAGAACAACAGGGGGCAGGGTGTGGAGGGTCTGGTGTTGCAGGAGTTTCACCGCTGCTACGCTCGCCTCGAGCCTTCCCTTCACTTTCATGCGTCCCATGATGCCCCCCCCTTGTGCTTCTCCAATCACTGACTCACTCCCCCAACGACAGGAGAAGGTGGTGGGGTGTTTGGTGCTGGAGGAGTTTCACCGCTGCTACGCTCGCCTGCAGCCATCCCTTCCCTCACCTCGCTCCCCTCTCTGCCCCTCCCGTATGCCAGGAGAAGGTGGTGGGGTGTTTGGTGCTGGAGGAGTTCCACCGCTGCTACGCTCGCCTGCAGCCCTCGGCGGCAGTGAGAGGCATTGTGGAGTGCACCAATCTCTGCCCCATTTGATCCTCGTTTGTACCCACTTGTGTGTCCTTCCCAACAGGAGAAAGTGGTGGGGTGTTTGGTGCTGGAGGAGTTCCACCGCTGCTACGCTCGCCTGCAGCCCTCGGCGGCAGTGAGAGGCATTGTGGAGTGCACCAATCTGTTCTCCACTTAAAAGTTGAACCTCCTTTTGTGGTTCGGCTTTTGTGTCTTTCCCAGCAACAGGAGAAGGTGGTGGGGTGTTTGGTGCTGGAGGAGTTCCACCGCTGCTACGCTCGCCTGCAGCCCTCTTTCTCTCATGCTTTCCCACATTCCCTCCCTTGTGCCCACTTGTTTGGGTTTACCATGTGTACAACAGGAGAAGGTGGTGGGGTGTCTAGTCTTGGAGGAGTTCCACCGCTGCTACGCTCGCCTGCAGCCCTCTTTCTCTCATGCTTTCCCACATTCCCTCGCTTGTGCCCACTTGTTTGGGTTTACCATGTGTACAACAGGAGAAGGTGGTGGGGTGTCTAGTCTTGGAGGAGTTCCACCGCTGCTACGCTCGCCTGCAGCCATCAGAGGCAGTGAGAGGCATTGTGGAGTCCACCAATCTTAACATGACACTTGTCACCCAGAGCACTGCCGTCTTTGTTGATGTATGTACCCCTACCTCTGTACTCCCCCTTATCCCTCCTGCTCCTTCTCTCTTTTTCTCTCTCTAATGCACGCGCACACTCATGTTACCTAGAGCACTGGCGTTTATGTTGATCTATGCACCTCAACCCCTACTCTTCCTCCTATTTCCTCCTGCTCCTCCGATTCCTGGCACACGTTGTTTTCTGTCTCTGTTTTCTTACTCAAATCTCAAACGTTGTTAGTTTCTCGTAATGGTCTCTTCCTCACACTTTCCCTCTCTCTCTTTTCCTCCCACCTCTTCCCTCAAACCCTCCCAGCCGCCCTCCGACCAATCATCCTGCTCCGGCTGCCCGCCGGGCAGGCAAATTTCCGACTGCGCTGCCCGGAGCATCGCGATGGAAATTCTACGCCGCCCGTCAATCGAACTCACCATCGCTTCCCAAGACCCCTCCCATCCCACCGCAATCGCCGATTTCTTCGACCCGAACCGTGCCCCTTTCATGCCCCCATCGGCCGAGTTTAGAGCGGCCAGATGCACCGAACCTGCGATAAAAAAGCTCATGGCCACGCCGGGCCTGATGGATGCCAAGCCTGGTTCCCCTGCCGGACCCGGCAGGCCGAAGCTACCGGGCACGCCTGGTTCGGAGGGTCAAATGGGTGGAGGAAAGGGTATGGGAGGAGGAGGGAGTGGAGGGGGAGGAGGGGGAGGTGGGGGAGCGAAGGAGAGGCAGGGGTATACAAATGTGAGTGTGGATGAGTTGGTGAAGGTGATTGCGGTGGCGGCAGAAAGGGGAAAGGAGGCGATTGGTGTGGTGGAGGAGGCGAGGAGAGTGAATGCTGGGGTAGTGGAGAGAGCTAGGAGGGTGCTGATCGCGTGCCAGCAACACGAGGTGAGAGGCGAAGGAGGAGGGGGAGTGAAGAGGAGGCACGAGTATGCGAATGTGAGTGTGGATGCGTTAATTAAGGTGATTGGTGATTGCTAATTGGTGATTGCTGATTGCTGATTGCTGACTGCTGATTTGTGGTTGGTGTGGGTGTGGGGGCAGTTTAAAGAGCAAGGAGGGTGCACTTGAGTTCCTACCACCATTAGAGATTTCCTACAACGTGAATTCAGAGAAAGTTCAGAGAGAGTTCAGAGAGAGTTCAGAGACACCAGATTTGAGACCTATCGACCTGTTTAGATGAGTTTGAGGAGTCTGCATGTGTATAGGCCGTGCTGCACATGCGCCTACCACCATTACCAGCAGCAGATCTCATTCGCGCCCGTGCTCCCCTGCGCTCCAATGCTCCCCGTACGCCCTTCCCCTTGTGCAGTTTGCTGAGCTACTACTTCTCGCCAACACCCAGTCCCTGCTGCACATGTGCCCGTCACCAGCAGCAGACTCCGCTCACCCCGTGCCCTTCCTTTGCCCTCCCTTCTATCCCTTTTTGTTGGGCAGTTTGCTGAGCTATTTCTTCTTGCCAACACCCAAGCCATGTTGCACATGCGCCCGTCACCACCAGCAGACTTCATTCACCCCATGCCCCTCCCTTTGCGCCTCCCTATGCCCCTTCCTGCCCTCCCTTGCTCCCCTCTCCCTTCTCTCATCCCAGTTCGCCGAGCTACTACTCCTCGCCAACACCCAGTCCATGCTGCACATGCGGCCATCGCCAACACCCAAGCCATGCTGCACATGCGGCCATCGCCAACAGCCAACTTCACTCAACCCAAGCCCCCCTTATGCCCCTTCCCTGCCATCCCTTTCCCCCCCTCTCTCGTTTCCCCCTTCAACAGTTACGCAAACACAATCACCTACCTAGGTGTCTCAAATCAACACATTGCTGCCACGTATTGACCCATGGCCTCTAAGTGGGGCTCGATTGGACCCTCCTTATGCCCCTTCCCTGCCATCCCTTTCCCCCCCTCTCTCGTTTCCCCCTTCAACAGTTCGCCGAGCTACTACTCCTGCCCAACACCCAAGTCATGCTGCACATGCGGCCATCCCCCGCAGCGGGCTTCATCCGCGCCCGTGCCCTTCCCTTGCCCTCCCTTCTATCCCTTTTTGTTGTGCAGTTCGCCGAGCTACTACTCCTCGCCAACACCCAAGCCATGCTGCACATGCGCCCGTCACCAGCAGCAGACTTCATCCGCGCCCGTGCTCTCGCCCGCAACCCCTCCTTCCGCATGCTGCCTCCCGTCTGCCACGTACCCCCTGTCCCTCCCATCCCTCAGCAACTCTTTGCGAAATTCTTCGTGGTTGAACGTGAGTGCTACTCTTTGCTATGTCCTAGCATACCAAGCCATTCCTGCCAGAGCTCTCGAGGTGACTTTTGAGTCGACTAAAAAGTCACTATGTCCTAGCATACCAAGCCATTCCTGCCAGAGCCCTCGAGGTGACTTTTGAGTCGACTCAAAAGTCACTATGTCCTAGCATACCAAGCCATTCCTGCCAGAGCTCTCGCCCGCAACCCCCCCTTCCACGTCCATTGAGGTGGTTTTTTAGGCGCCTCAAAAACCACCTCAATGCCATGCCATGCCGTGCCCTCGCCCGCAACCCTTCCTTCCCCATGCTGCCTCCCGTCTGCTACGTGCCGCCTGTTCCCCCCATCCCCCGTCAACTCTTTGCCAAATTCTTCGTCGTTGAACGTGAGTGCTACACTTTCTCAATGTGTGCTGTGCCATGGCTTGCCATGCCATGCCATGCCATGCCATGCCATGCCATGCCCATGCCATGCCATGCCATGCCATGCTCTCGCCCGCAACCCCTCCTTCCGCATGCTGCCTCCCGTCTGCCACGTACCCCCTGTCCCTCCCATCCCTCAGCAACTCTTTGCGAAATTCTTCGTGGTTGAACGTGAGTGCTACTCTTTGCTATGTCCTAGCATACCAAGCCATTCCTGCCAGAGCTCTCGAGGTGACTTTTGAGTCGACTAAAAAGTCACTATGTCCTAGCATACCAAGCCATTCCTGCCAGAGCCCTCGAGGTGACTTTTGAGTCGACTCAAAAGTCACTATGTCCTAGCATACCAAGCCATTCCTGCCAGAGCTCTCGCCCGCAACCCCCCCTTCCACGTCCATTGAGGTGGTTTTTTAGGCGCCTCAAAAACCACCTCAATGCCATGCCATGCCGTGCCCTCGCCCGCAACCCTTCCTTCCCCATGCTGCCTCCCGTCTGCTACGTGCCGCCTGTTCCCCCCATCCCCCGTCAACTCTTTGCCAAATTCTTCGTCGTTGAACGTGAGTGCTACACTTTCTCAATGTGTGCTGTGCCATGGCTTGCCATGCCATGCCATGCCATGCCATGCCATGCCATGCCCATGCCATGCTCATGCCATGCCCGTGCCATGCCATGCCATGCCATGCTCTCGCCCGCAACCCCTCCTTCCGCATGCTGCCTCCCGTCTGCCGCGTGGCCCCCGTCCCTCCCATCCCCCGTCAATTCTTTGCCAAGTTCTTCGTAGTTGAACATGAGTGCTACTCTTCTTGAACCCTTGCATGCCATGCCATGTTGTGCCATGCCATGCTTTGCCTTGCCAAGCCATGTCATGCCATGCCATGCCATGCTGTGCTCTCGCCCGCAACCCCTCCTTCCGCATGCTACCTCCCGTCTACCACATAACCCCCATCCCGTCTGTCCCATCTACCTCCATCCCTCCCATTCACAGGCCATGCTGCTCCTGCCCAAGAAGTTTTTGAGAATTCTCAAAAACTCCCTGCAAATTCTCAAAAACTCCCTGCAAATTCTCAACAACTCCCTGCAAATTCTCAAAGACTCCCTGCAAAATCTCAAAGACTCCCTGCAAAATCTCAAAAACTCCCTGCAAATTCTCAAAGACTCCCTGCAAAATCTCAAAAACTCCCTGTCCTGTCAACCTCTATCCCTCCCATCCACAGGCCATGCTGCGCCTGCCCAAGCCAGAGGACCGCTTTCTCGCTCATAGTCTATTCCCACTTCCGTACACCCTCTCCCTCCCCGTCTCCCCCCTCCCCCCTCCCCCCTCCCCCCTCCCCTTCTATGCCACTTCGCCACAGCATCACTCAACCTTGCATATTGCGGCCTTCCCTCTCCAACCCACTGTCTCCTCCCCCTCCACAGCATCTCTCAATCTAGCCTACTGCGGTCTCCCCAAGGTCGCCTGCACCAGTTGGCGCATGTGGCTGCGAGCCATGCTGCATCTGCCCAAGCCGGAGGACCATCTCCTCGCCCACAGCTACGAGGCCAGCGGGCTGGGGGACCTCTCCCAGAAGTGGGTCGACTTTTCGCGTCCCACTAACCGCTCTCAACCGCCTTGCACCCTCTGACCTCACTGCCCTCCTCCCTGCAGCGTCACTCAGTCTCGCTTACTGCAGTCTCCCCAAGGTCGCCTGCACGAGTTGGCGCGTGTGGCTGCGAGCCATGCTGCATCTGCCCAAGCCAGAGGATCATCTCCTCGCACACACTCTAACCCCACCCCCTGTGCCCTCGCCCTCTTCCCACCTCTCTCCCTTATGCTGGCCGCCCTTTCTGTTGCAGCGTCACTGAATCTCACTTACTGCGGTCTCCCCAAGGTCGCCTGCACGAGTTGGCGCATGTGGCTGCGAGCCATGCTGCATCTGCCCAAGCCGGAGGACCATCTCCTCGCCCACAGCTACGAGGCCAGCGGGCTGGGGGACCTCTCCCAGAAGTGGGTCGACTTTTCGCCTCCCACTAACCACTCTCAACCCCCTTGCACCCCCATCCCGACTGCTCGCCCCACACACAGCATCTCTGAATTTAGCCTACTGCGGTCTCCCCAAGGTCGCCTGCACCAGTTGGCGCATGTGGCTGCGAGCCATGCTGCATCTGCCCAAGCCAGAGGACCATCTCCTCGCACACAGCTACGAGGCCAGCGGGCTGGGGGACCTCTCCCAGAAGTTCACCGAGAAAGAGGCGACGCGAGCGATGACAAGAAGAGGGCTGTTCAAGTTCACGTTTGTGCGGAATCCGTTTTCGAGGGTGGTTTCGACTTACCTGAACAAGCTGGTTGTGACTGATGCCCCTGACAGGACCAAAGGATGGGGGACGAGAGAGTTTTGGAACAAGGTGCGTGGGGAAAGGGAGAGGGAGGGCAGTGAGTGAGGGAGGGAGGCCAGCGGGCTGGGGGACCTCTCCCAGAAGTTCGCCGAGAAGGAGGCCACGCGGGCCATGACGCGGTGACTTTTGAGTCGACTCAAAAGTCACCTCTTTTGAGTCGACTCAAAAGTCACCTCTTTTGAGTCGACTCAAAAGTCAGTTCGCCAAGAAGGAGGCCACGCGGGCCATGACGCGGCGAGGGCTGTTCAAGTTCACGTTCGTGCGCAACCCGTTCTCGAGGGTTGTTTCCACGTACCTGAACAAGCTGGTGGTGACAGATGCACCTAATCGCATGAAAGGATGGGGCACCAGAGAGTTCTGGAACAAGGTGGGTGGGAGGGAGAGGGCGAGGGCTGTTCGTGCGGAATCGGTTCTCAAGGGTGGCCACGTGATAAAAGTGTTGTTTTGAGACGATTTTTGAGTCGACTTAAAAATCACAGGGTGGCCACGTGATAAAAGTGTTGTTTTGAGACGTCTCAAGTTCCCATCCGTGTGCAACCTTTGAGACGTCTCAAGTTCCCATCCGTGTGCAACCTTTGAGACGTCTCAAAACAACACTTTTATCACGGGGCGAGGGCTGTTCGTGCGGAATCGGTTCTCAAGGGTGGTTTCGACGTACCTGAACACGCTGGTTGTGACAGATGCCCCTGACAGGACCAAGGGGTGGGGCACCAGAGAGTTTTGGAACAAGGTGGGTGTGAGAGAGGGATTGGGTGGACGCTGAGTGAGTGAGGAATTGAGTGAGTGAATGAGGAATTGAGTGAGTGAGTGAGGAATTGAGTGAGTGAGGGATGGAGTGAGTGAGGGAGGGCTGTTCAAGTTCACATTCGTGCGGAAACTGTTCTTGAGGGTTGTGTCGCCGTATCTGAACAAGCTGGTTGTCACGGACGCTCCAGATCGCACGAAAGGATGGGGGATGAGGGAGTTCTGGAACAAGGTGGGTGCGTGGGTGGGTGGTGGAAAGGCGGGTGCATTGGTTGATGTAAGTTGTGTGCGGGTCAAGAAGGAGGTGACGTGGGCGATGACGCGACGACGGCTGTCCGAGTTCCCATCCGTGTGCAACCGTTGAGGCGCCTCAAAACTTAAAACGTTTGTAGGCGCCTCAAAGCTTGTGAGCAGCTTGTTCTCGAGGGTTGTTTCGACTTATTTGAGCAGGCTGGCGGTCACAGATGCTCCTGACGGGACGAAAGGATGGGGGACCCGAGAGTCCTGGAACAAGGTGGGTGGACGGGAGGGTGTGTGAATGCATTGGTGTTTTTGACTGGGGTGGATGCGGGGGAGGGAAGAGGGAGAGGAAGGTGAGTGAGTGAGTGAGTGGGGGGGGAGGGCTGGGCTGTTCGAGTACAGGTTCGTGTGCAACAGCAGCGTCTGTGCAACCCGTTCTAGAAGGTTTGTCACAGAGAAGGCTGCTGATCACACAAAAGAGAAGGCTGTGTGTGAATGACGGCTGGGCTATGTTCAAGTGCACGTTTGTGCACAGCGCAACCCGTTCTAGAGGGTGGTGTTGACTTATTTGAACAATCAGGCGGTCACAAGGTGACTTTGAGTCGACTCAATAGTCACCTAGAGGGTGGTGTTGACTTATTTGAACAATCAAGCACAAGTGCGCCTGACAGGACCAATGGGTGGGGGACGAGGGAGTTTTGGAACAAGTTGGAGGGCGGGTGGGAGGGGGAGGAGAGTGGGTGTGGGGGAGGATAAGTGGGTGAGTGAGTGGGGGCAGCGAACAAATACCTTCTTAGACTCTCCTCAAAGACCCTCTCGTTTCCTCCTTCCGTTCCATTCCCTTACATTCCCTTACATTCCCTTCCCTTCCCCCTCCATCTGCTTCCCACAGGAACTATTTGGAACCGTACAGCCCTTCTTTGACCTGCTTAAAGACCCAGCCACGCAGCTCGTATCGTTCCACGACTTTATGCGCTTAGTGGAGCACCTTATAAGGGGGCAGAAATCCCTAGATCGACACATAACCCCGCAAGTGGATCTCTGCGCCTTGGACCACATACAGTACGACTACGTGGGGCACTTCGAAAACTTGGAGGACGGGGTTCGTGTGGTAACCGCGCGTTACAACCACTCGAATATACACCTGTTTAAGTTTGGAAAAGAAGCACATGCAACCGGAACAGATCTCAAGCTTGCTCGGCTATATGATGCGGTAAGTGATTTTGTAGCATGTGTGGTGTACAGTATGGGATGCATGGGATATGTGCTATATGTGATATTTGTGGTTTGTGTTGCGACTTGTGATGTAGGATGTGCATATGGGATATGGGGTATGTGATCTAGCTTATGTGATATGTGATGCATTAGTGATGCAGCGATATGGGAGATGCAATAAGGGAGATTTGGTATGTGATGCTTGAGCCTGGATGGTGTGTTTTGTCCTATGTGTGCATGTGATATCATGATACAGTGTCATCTTCTTTGTGGACTATCCTGTTTCATATGGTCCCTTCCCTTCTTCCATGCACTCAATCATCAATGCTTTAGACTGATGCGTTTTTCTCCGAGTCCCCACTGTCATGCTGTGCTTATCCCTCCTTTTACCTAATTATGTTATGCCTCTCTCAAGATAACCCTTCTGTTGCCGTGGATTTGACGATTCACTAATAAGGTGCCTGCTCTCATCTCTACTTGCACTGTACATCCTCACATCTTTCCCCATTCTGCAGGAGACAGTCCGACGTGTCTCCAAGGTATACAGTAAGGACTTCAATATAACTCTCAACAATATACACTTCGATGTACCGCCTGTCTTGCAAAAACTTATAGCAGATGAGTGACCCAATAGGTACCATTTGCATGCTCCCTGTAACAGATATTGATTTAATTTACTAGCTACAACACACATACCACTGCTCTAGAGAGCATCGCATAAGCACAGGTGAGAAAACAATGGCTTGTTCAACTGAGCAGCAGGCAACTAGTCAAATTCACAACAGAATTGTGGGTGCATTCTCACCCTCATTTCTGCCAGCTCCATGGAGAAATGAGCCTCAGCTGCAGCCTGTCTAAAACAGCACATAATGAAAAAATTACAGTACTAGCGTCAGCATTGATTCAGATAAAGACGATAGAGTATGTACACAGCATGCCAATACAAAAGCAAGCAGATTGCAGTTTCACACGCACCCACAAACCGAGCTGCTGCCTGCTGCCTAGCCTAGGACTGCTGCTCTAGACCCTTGACCCTGATCGGCTTCACGCCCCAAGGAACCTGATAGCCGAGAATCGTGCCCTTAGGATAAGGCATTTTCCATTACCTCTCTTATACGTGGGGGAGGGGAGGCCCCTGCAACCAGGCCTCCTTGATAAGCAGGCCTGGTAGTGACTCCCTCCTTGCTACCTATTCCTCCTGTGGTTCCACCTAACGACCCCATGTCCAAACAAGAAGCCTGCCTAGAATGGACAAGTTGGAGCTAATGTATCGGTGCTTTTGGGACATGCTTCACCAGAGAGAGTGCGCAGCTCATGCTGCAAGAACAGCTTATCTTCAACTGCTGACAGCAACTGTGTTGGAACTTGGAATGATGATGGTTGTGAGACGAGAGACGAGGGGTGCAGTAACTTATGCAGCGGCAGGGGGCAGGGGGGGATGGATGAGGTTGAAGGACTGACAAGATGTAGGTATGGGTGAGGTAAAATGAATGGGCGAGGGAAAGGATGAGGTGGAACGAATGGGTGAGTGAATGGGCGAGGCGAAACAAATGGGTGAGGTGGAAGGAGGAGTGGTGGGAGAGGATACGGGAGGTGGCTTGGGGAGGTGGCGAGGAGGAATAGGGTGGGGGGGGTATGTGCCGAAAGAATGAAGGAACAAATCAATGGCCAGTCATTTATTTTTCAGCCAGTTCAACCTGCTACAGTCGCCGCTCTCATCTCCCCTGCCCACTGCCCACCACCACCATACGGGGTCGTATGGGGCGGCAGGGCAGCAGCACTGCCCACGCCCATGTTCCCCCCACCCGCTGCAGTCACCGCTATCTTTAGGTGCTACATTTGGGCTGTATGGGGCGGCAGGGCAGCGGCGACTGTCTCCCCCCACCTGCTGCAGTCACCGCTATTCTTGGGCTGTATGGGGTGGCAGGGCAGCAGCACTGCCCACGCCCATGTTCCCCCCACCTGCTGCAGTCACCGGTTTTTTTTGGGGGGCTATTTCTGGGCTGTATGGGGTGGCAGGGCGGCAGCACTACCCACGCCCATGATGCCCCCATTGAAATGGATGGGCGGGTGCCCAGGCATAGGGTAGCGGTGTGAGGGGTGTGCTCCTGGCAAGTGTGACAAAAACGAGGGCTGCGGGTGGGACGGGACGCGGATTAGAGTGGGCTGAGCTGCAGTAGCAGGTACCATTATCATTCTTTGGAGGCCAAATTGAGCTGAGGAGCCCGGAGGTAACGTCGGTCCTGCTACAGCCAATCCTGCGGCTGTAGCAGCTGCTGTAGCAGCTCCATACCCAATCCCCACCCCTGCCCCTCCTGCCCCTCCTACCCCTCCTGCTTCTCCTGCTCCCCCTGCTCCCCCCACTCCTCCTCCCCCAATTCCCCCAGCAGCAGCACCAGCAGACCCACCACCACTGCCAGCACCAGCCGCACCAGCAGCGGATGCAGTGGCAGCAGCAGCAGCGTTTCTAGGAGCGAGGGGACGCAGATTAGTGGTGGCACCACAGGGGCCGATTTTAGAAGGCACTTTCTTCTGCCGCCCCCTTTTCCTCTTCACTATAAGCTCCGCACTCACGCCCCCTGCCCCCACTCCTCCTCCCACTCCTCCCACTCCCACTCCTCCCCCTCCTCCTGCCCCTCCTCCCACCCCTCCTGCTCCTGCACCCCCTGCCTGTCCCCCTGTACCTGCCATTACACCCGTTCCTGCCCCACTCGCAGTGCTGCTGCCCCCACTGCTCATTCTAACACTCATGCTGCCCCCTCCCATCCCATACATGCCCATTCTCAGGCCTGACACCCCTGCTGCACCTGCAGGCGCGAATCCCACCATGTGGTGTTGAGGGTGGTGTGAGATATGTGGGTGGTACGGGTGGTGCATAGGGTGTGTTTGATGCAGGGAAGGGGTGCCACCAGGTGAAACCCCAGATATCATTCCGCCTGGCACCTGGACCATTGTTGTGGGCACCTGGCCGACCACCGGACCCATCCCAGGAGAAATCTGGCGTACGGCTCCAGGCCCACCAGCCATCATCAGGTGCATGCGCTCAGGTCCTGCAACAGACCCAGGAACCGCCCCATGGAAGAAACCACCTGAGAAAACACCTGGCTGGCCACCTGAAAACCCACCTGACATCCCCCCTGCTGCTCCTAGAGACCCTGGCAGGAAACCTGCTCCAGGGGTCACGCTAGCAGACGAAGGGAAGCCGTAGGGACCTTGGTGGTGAGTGAGGGGGGAGGGAGTAGTAGGCGAAAAGGAGGAGCTCATTATGATAGAACCCACAGGGGCTGCTGGGGCTGATGCTGCCAGGTGCTGCTGCCTTGCCTTCAGCTGCTGCTGCTGTATTGAGCGTGCTGCTGCTTCTACACCTCCTCCCTGAGCTTTCTTTCCCGGGCCGGGCACTGCTATCGGGGATGCTTTTATGGGGTACAGAGCTGGGGGTTGGGAGCCTTTTCTCTGGCTGCCGCTGCTGCTGCTGCTGCTGCCCCCACTGCGAACCCCTTGGCCTGCTGCACTGCTCGCAGCAGCAGCACCGGTAGCGGCAGTAGCAGCTGTAGCTGCAGTAATTGCAGTGGCAACAGCAGCAGCACTGCCAACAGCAGCAGCGCGCTCAGTAGCAGCAGGAGCCGCACTACCACTATCAACAGCAGCTGCTGTTGCTGCTCTCGGTTCTGCCATTTCACCCCCCTTCCCCTTCTCCGCCCCTCCATCCACCTGCATACTCACAGCACTACTGACAGCAGCAGCATCACCACTCCCAGCACCACCAGCTGCTGTCGCTGCCCTTTGTTCTGCCTCTTCACTCCCCTTCCCCGTCTCCACCCCTCCCTCCACCTGCATACTTGTACCACTACTGACAGCAACACCACCGCTCCCAGCTGCTCCAGACGCATCCCCCATACAAGCCTCTTCGCCACCACGCATGGATGGAGGTACGAGCACCATGGGTGGAATACGGTTCATATCACCAGTCGCTGCTAGTGCATTAGCTGCTGCATTAGCTGCTGCATTTTCTGCAGCAGTATCTGCTGCCTCTATACCAGCCCTCTCCTCTCCCACTGCTGCTTCTCCTCCATGCATCACATCCATTCCATCCCGTTTCCCTGACCCACCTCCCCCTATTCCACCTTCCCCGGGTCTACCTTTCCCATTGTCCTTAGGCAGAGAGGCACCGCCAGTACAGAGACTAGCAGACGAGTTGATTCGAGTGCCAAGCCCCTTAGGACCCACCCCCTCGCCCGCCGAATGTGCAGCTGCAGCAGCAGCCGAACCTCCCACATCTGCCTCGGAAGCAGCAGGCCCGGGCGCGGAAACAGCCCCTTTACAAGCAAACCCGATAGTGGCAGCTGGGTCGGCACGGGGGCGGATTCGACGGCCCTTTTCCTGTAGCATCCCTTGCATTTGCTCGTTATGAATGGAAGGCAGGGAGTGGCTTGGGTGGTAGTGGTGGTGGTGGAGGGAGTGTGGTGTGGGAGGCGAGTGGGAGAGGAAGGAGTGGGCAGTGGTTGGGGGCGAGTGGGCGAGATATGACAAGCCGTGGAAGCTAGAAGGCGCATGGGGATGTCTGCGCAGGGCCATATGTGCATTGTACCCGCCAGAAGCAGCAATTGCACCAGCACTAGCAGCGCCAGCAGCAGCAGCAGCAGCAGCAGCTCCAGCAGCTGAATAACCTCCTGAAGTGGCATAACCGCCAGAAGCAGCGCCATAAGCCCCATGGTGTGTGGCACTAACACTCCCCATGCCCATGCCCATGCTCACGCCAAGAATGTGATTCGCTAAGGACTGATGCGCTAAGGACGGATGTGCTACAGACGGATGCGCTACAGACGACATTGCATACATGTGAGGTGGGAAAGCCGTGGAAGGCGGTGCTGACGTGGACAGATGGGAGAACACACTGGAATTCCCAGGAGGGGATGGAGACACGCCAAATGGATTCCCGGGCGCAGCAGCAAACGCAGCTGAAGCTCGACCCGGGCCCTTATAATGCGACCCGGAGAGCCTCTTAGAGGGTATAACGCGGGCAGAAGACGGGCCGGCGTGTGTGGCGGTTCTTTTCAGGGGCCCACTGACCGTCAGTGCGGCTGAGGCTGCCGGGTGAGGGGTGGAGGCGGATGTAGAGCGGTGCAGAGGTGGGGAGGTGCGTGAGGGGGGGAGGGTGCCCATGGAGTGGGAGGGGAGGAGGGGGGTGTGGGAGCAGTTGGAAGGGGAGGGCATGGGACTGCTGGTTGAAGGGCGAGGCTCAGTGGCAGATGACATGGCTGCTCTCTTTCGCGTTGGGATATCTGAAGCACAGAGGGGATTGGAGAGGGAGGAAAGAAGGGGGTGGGGGGGGAACATGTGGGGAGTGTGAGAGCAGTTGGAAGGGGAGGGCATGGGACTGCTGGTAGCGGGGCGAGGCGCAGAGGCAGAAAGTGCTGCTTTTTTTCGTGCTGGAATACCTGAAGCTGAGAGGGAACGGGACGGAGGAAAAAAAGGGGGGTGAAACACGAGGTGGCAAGGCAAAAGAACAGCAGATTTGAGACAGCATGAAGAAATCATGGAAGGGGTATCGAGGGAAGGCAGGGTAGGATGGAAAGGGGTGTGAAAGGAAGTCATGGCAAGACGGCAAGGGTTCGGGAGGGAAAGCAGCGGATGGCGGGCATGGGTAGGGAGAGAGGACAGGATGGGAAAGGAACAGCAGAATGTACCTCGAGCAGCAGGCCTGTTTGTCTTCCCTGGCTGATCCTGCTTCAGCGACTGCTCGGCAGCAGTAGGCGCAACAACCATACAGCTGTCACCGCCACCGGCAGTAGCAGCAGCAGCAGCACCAACAGCACCGCCAGCGGCACTACTGGCAGCAGCAAGAGTCCTAGCAGCTGCATCAGGCACCTGAGCCAACACCTGAGGGGCCCTGGGCTGCACCTGCGCCTGATTAACCTCCACCTGTTCTGCCTTGCCCTGCTTCTCAACCTGCGCTTTCTCCTGGGCGGATTTAAGCTCACTGGGCTGCTTAAATCCCAGCTTAACCCCGGCACCTAGAGGCTTGTTCTGCTGGGATGTAGCCTTGGGCTGCTGGGTAGGGGGCATGTGCGGCATACCCCATGACATGAACATCATATCACAGTCCATCGCCTCGTTCTCCCCTTCCCCCTCTCCCTCCCCCTCCCCCTCCCCTTCCCCTTCCGCCCCTTGCCCTTCCGCTGCCCCATCTCCATCCCTCCCTGCTGTTCTTGCAACGACTCCCTCCGCTTCCGCCTCCCTCACTCCATCTAAATGTTCCGCCCCCGCGCTCTTCTCTCCAGCCCCTGCTGCTTCCGCTACTGCACCCTCCGCCCCTGGAACACCCGCAACAGTCACACCCACTGCAGTCACCCCAGCTGCGTCTTCCGGCGCTGTTCCAAACCCCCAAAAGGCTGCAAAGTCGAGGTCAAACGAGGGCTCCTCTAGTAGCATGTGCCCCCCAGGGTGGCCGAACCCATTAAACCCACTGACAAACGGACTAGCAGCAAAGGGACCAGACGCAAAGGGGGCAGCGAAGGCGCTGAAATCAGCATCTGTGTCCGTATTAAGCTCCAGGGCTGCCACGTCAGCAGCACCGTCAGCCACGTCATCGTCACCATCGCCATCATCATCGTCATTTGCAGAAGTCTCCTCCTCATCAACCTCATCAGCCAGCTGCACAGCTGTGTGCCCCATTCCCGCTACATCCGCGTCCACGTGGCCTGCATGAGCCAGCTGCACAGCTGCGCCAGACTGTAGCACGCTCATAAGGCACCCGCCCCTCACCCTCTTATCTGACGTCAGCGCCTGGTGCCCACGGCACAGCGGGGCTGGACCCCCGTCCACGCCAGATACTATACCACCTGCAGCAGGAGAACTACCAGCACCACCTCTTGACTCTCCAGTACCTGCTCCTGCTGCGGCAGCTCCTGCTTCCGTTTGCGAAAGGTCATGAAAGGGTGCATGCGCGGACGCACGGGGTGGGTTGTGAGCAGGGCGACGAGCAGGGGCCACGTCTTCACAGCCTGGCCAGGAGCACCAGGCAAGGTCGTCAGGCAGGCTAGGGCACTCCGACAGCACGTCTCCTTCCTCTCCTTCTCGCTCCACTCTCCACTCCCCGCCCCCCTCGCGCCCTAATGCTCCCTCCCCATCCTGAGTCGACCCTCCATCCCCCATACAAGCTTCCCCGTTGTGCATGCTGAAGCCGTCTCCCTGTCCTCGCGCTCCCTCTGCTGTGCACTCCGCAACGCCAGAAACAGCACCACCAGAAACAGCACCGCCAGAAGCAGCACCAGAAGCACCACCAGAAACATCCCCGATAGAAGCATCACCAGCAGAAACAGCACCAGCATGACGAGCATCAACAGCATCCCCTACTAGCCCATCTCCATGACCGTCTGCCACACGGGTATTAGGCCCACACTGACCTCCCCCTCCGCCTAATAAGTCACCCGGAATCTCCTCTTCCCCTTCCCCAGGAACCATCAGCCAATCAGCGAACTCCACGTCTGCCCCGTCATCCCTTACCCCCGCCCCGTTCTCCCCTCTTCCGCCTCCTGCCCGCCCCGCTTCCTCTGCCCGAGCGCCACCCGCGTCCCCCCATCCCATCTCCGAATCCGGAAGCGCCCACCGCTGCTGCTCCTGCACCAAAAGCCCCGAAAACAACCCCCCGCTTTGCGCCAAATACGGCCCTACACTCATAGGAGGAGGTGGTCCAGGAAACGCACCCCCGCTTTCTTCAGGTATGGTCTCTCCGGATGCGCCAGGAAACCAGGGCCTCTCCGCCTCGGCGTTACCAGCCTTGGCGTCAGCAGCTTCAGCAACGGCCGCGCCGACTGTGGGCCTGTGCACAAAACTCTCATGCTCGCGGACCGTCTCTAAGAGCCCGTCCCCCGCCCACCGGAGAGGCAGAGACCTCGCCTCGCCCGCTCCCCGCCCCGGCCCTCCTCCTGCTCCTCCTGCTCCTGCTGCTGCTGCTGCGCTGCCTAACGAGCTGGGACCCCACCCTTTAGCCTGTCGTCCATGCGCATTGCTCGCAAGCCCCGCACGAGGCCCTAACCCTGCGTGCTCTTCTGGCCGACTGGCCGTGAACACGAATCCCGTATGGCCGTATTGAGCATTGCTGCTGCCGTTGCCGCCGTTGATAGTTTTGTTGGTAAAGTTGTTGCTGTTGCCTTTGTGACTATCCAAAGGCGTCAATTCCTCTACCCCTGGCAGCTGACCGCAACTGCTGCTCCTCGCACCGTACTCCACCCCTCCGGCATACCCCATTGCTGCTCCGCCTGTAGTTCTACCCTCTACTGGCAACCCACTGCTATAAGCTGGTCGCGCTCTCCGCCCGCTGTCCCACGAACCACCGCCGGACACGTGTTCCGGGTCGTCCTCCGACCCTTCCACCTCCTCCATGAGGCTCCAGGTTCGGCCCGAGCCTGGCCTGGTTCGGGCAGGAGTTGAGCCTTCATACACCGGATTGAGTGCGTACGAGGCGAACCGGCTGTTCGAGGCGGCATTAGCGCCGACCCCGTGATTCCCGGGATGCCATGTGGAGAGTTCGGGAACAGATGCGGAGGAGCCGAGAGCGTGAGGGTGCCAGTTCGTGCGGTCGAAAGGCATGGCCTCGCCTATAAGAAGCGAGGCCTCCTGGTGGTGGGCGGGAATGAGGAAGCGGGTAAAGAGTGGACGGGTCAATAACTTATCCGTAATTACAGCGACAAAACGGAGAATTTTGATATTGGGCAAAGAAAAGGTGTCGTCAGGCAATTGACAGCCATGTCCAACCGGTTGAAAGAATGCCATCCGAGAAAAACTAAATCGACGCGTGCGTGGGAAGGCTGAGACTGCTGCCAACCTCGAAGGAAGGAGACGTGGAGAGCTCCGGGATTCCGTGAATGACGGTGGGTGGCCTATTAACGGGACACCGCGAAACCCCTTGACTATAAGAACGGTGAAGAGTCGGTCTGGGTGCAGCAGATGGAAGCATCGCACCAGGCAGAGGTCCTGAAAGGAATGAAGAAACGAACATGCTGATAGTGAAAATCCCACGCATTTCATTCACGAAACGGCGTCTCGGATGGTGCAGGTTCTGAGAACTTATTGTAAGTAAGGGTCAATTGACGTAATGTCTAAGAACTAGGCGAAACACCAGAAAACCTAGTTCCGTTATGCCGGCTACGCGAATACACATGAAAAGCTGTTACCTGAAGCGGAAGGGCGAGACGTCCAAGGATCGGGAACGGCAGTGTGATCGGAAGAAGGCATTCTACCAGTTGTAACCATAGCCATGGACAGTCCTGACAGGAGCTGTTCTCTGAGAATTCTCAACTACCAACTAGCATTCTTCCTGTTGTCACCATAGCCATGGAGCCCTGACGAAAGAAGCCGTTCTACATGGACCTACTCAGTATCGCTACAGTGATTGGATACTGTACTCGCGTGAAAGGCGATTCGAGAAATTAGGGTTTGGTAACCTGCTTCACTGGTTCTGAGGGACCATTGATCAAGCAAGCAACGAGCCAAGTCAGTTACGTGCAAAGCAAACACTTCACGCTCACTGATCGCGTCAACAGAAAAACCTGGTCAGTCACGTGCCTTTCTGAAGGATGTTCAGGTACATTCATCTCCAATCCAATCAGAAAGGAAGACGGACTGATGATTCTGATTCATGAAACCCTGGGATTCGACGAAGCGAGCTGCAGGAACCAGGGAGAAAGGGAGAGGTGGAAGATAGGGAAGGGAAGAGAAGGGACGGGATGAGATGTTGGAGGCCAGGATGGCTACCCACCCGCGCTGGTGGATTCCAGAAGCTTGTGATCTCCGCGCTGGCAGTTTCCCGCGCTGGTATTTCCTGCGCCAGACCAGTGAAGTACAGGCTGGGGAGTTCTCGAGGTTCGGTGCGGGAATTGTACGGGCGGGGAAATTCTGAGGGTACGGGCGGGCTGAAAGTGGTGGTTGCTTGGTCTGGTGGGCGTTCGATGATGGAACTGACGGCCAGAGATTGCCCGGGGATTACGAACCACAGCGGTAGGTTCGGTTCAGAGACCAGCGCGGAACTACACATACGAGCCCCCTGATGTGTGGCGGCTGGTGTGGAAAAATCTGACAGCCAAATTTGTTTACAGGAATTCGTGGTTTGTAAGTGCGGATGGGTGGAGGTGAAACCCAGGTGAAGGAACAAATGTTTAGGTTTTAGGCCCTGGGAGCTCGGAGGTGCGGTTTGGGCCGCGAAATGAATATTGTTCGTGCGGAAGGACGATATCGAGCTGTTTAGGGATACAGCTCGGTCTATTTCCCCCTGTGCTCGCCCCTAAAATCCCCTGCTCACTCCCTTACCCCTTGTTCACTCTCTCCCCCTCTGGTCACTCTCTTTCCCCCTGTACTCACCCATCTTTCCACCCTGTTTACTCTCTATTCCCCTTTGTTCAACCCTTTCCCCCCCCCAAGTCCTCTCATTTCCCCTCCTTAGCCCCATGCTTACTGGCTATCCCCTTTGCTCACCGCCTTCTCCACCCTGCTCACTCTGTTCCCCGCTTCGCTCACTCCTCTGCCTAACTCCTCCCATACATGCCCTCCACCTTCACCCCTCGCTTATTCTGCCATATCCCCTCTTCCCTCCCCGTTCCATACAGAACCATGCGTGTACAGGTGCCAGCACCATGGGTCCCAACAGGAGTGGGTTAAAAAGTTACCACCTCCTAGCTTTGTGCTTGTGCTTATAGTCTTGTCTTGGCAACATAAATGGAACATTATTTTGCTTTGTTGCACTTTTTCATAATGCTCCAAATCACGATGTGGTGTATTATGAGACGCATCCAACCAACTTCAATAACGGTACATGGCATAGCTATTGTAGACAACTAATATTATCAAACCCTATACTCATCACAACTGGATGCATGGCAGACCTGCACAGACACGAACCACAAACTCTGATGGTGGGTGGGGAACAAAGAATGCACAGAGGCAGAAAATGAGCAAGGGAGACACGGAGGAAGGGCGGAAGGGTGAGCGAGATGAAGCGTGGGTAGGGGAGAGAGAGCACGGAAAGGCACTAAGGCAGAAGCGTGGGCGACGGTGAGAGGATGGGCGGATGAGATGATGGGCGGATGAGATGATGGGCGGATGAGAGGATGGGCGGATGAGAGGATGGGCGGATGAGGTGATGGGCGGATGAGATGATGGGCGGATGAGATGATGGGTGGATGAGGTGATGGGCGGATGAGGTGATGGGCGGATGAGATGATGGGCGGATGAGATGATGGGCGGATGAGATGATGGGCGGATGAGATGATGGGCGGATGAGATGATGGGCGGATGAGGTGATGGGCGGATGAGGTGATGGGCGGATGAGATGATGGGCGGATGAGGTGATGGGCGGATGAGATGATGGGCGGATGAGAGGATGGGCGGATGAGAGGATGGGCGGATGAGGTGATGGGCGGATGAGATGATGGGCGGACGAGATGATGGGCGGATGAGGTGATGGGCGGATGAGGTGATGGGCGGATGAGATGATGGGCGGATGGATGATGGGCGGATGAGATGATGGGCGGATGAGGTGATGGGCGGATGAGATGATGGGCGGATGAGATGATGGGCGGATGAGGTGATGGGCGGATGAGGTGATGGGCGGATGAGATGATGGGCGGATGAGGTGATGGGCGGATGAGATGATGGGCGGATGAGATGATGGGCGGATGAGATGATGGGTGGATGAGATGATGGGCGGATGAGAGGATGGGCGGATGAGATGATGGGCGGATGAGATGATGGGCGGATGAGATGATGGGCTGATGAGGTGATGGGCGGATGAGAGGATGGGCGGATGAGATGATGGGCGGATGAGATGATGGGCGGATGAGGTGATGGGCGGATGAGGTGATGGGCGGATGAGATGATGGGCGGATGAGATGATGGGCGGATGAGATGATGGGCGGATGAGATGATGGGCGGATGAGATGATGGGCGGATGAGGTGATGGGCGGATGAGGTGATGGGCGGATGAGATGATGGGCGGATGAGGTGATGGGCGGATGAGATGATGGGCGGATGAGATGATGGGCGGATGAGATGATGGGCGGATGAGATGATGGGCGGATGAGAGGATGGGCGGATGAGATGATGGGCGGATGAGATGATGGGCGGATGAGGTGATGGGCTGATGAGGTGATGGGCGGATGAGATGATGGGCGGATGAGATGATGGGCGGATGAGATGATGGGCGGATGAGGTGATGGGCGGATGAGGTGATGGGCGGATGAGATGATGGGCGGATGGATGATGGGCGGATGAGATGATGGGCGGATGAGATGATGGGCGGATGAGATGATGGGCGGATGGATTGATGGGCGGATGAGGTGATGGGCGGATGAGATGATGGGCGGATGAGATGATGGGCGGATGAGGTGATGGGCGGATGAGGTGATGGGCGGATGAGATGATGGGCGGATGGATGATGGGCGGATGAGATGATGGGCGGATGGATGATGGGCGAATGAGATGATGGGCGGATGAGGTGATGGGCGGATGAGATGATGGGCGGATGGATGATGGGCGGATGAGATGATGGTCGGATGAGATGATGGGCGGATGAGATGATGGGCGGATGAGATGATGGGCGGATGAGAGGATGGGCGGATGAGATGATGGGCGGATGAGGTGATGGGCGGATGAGATGATGGGCGGATGAGAGGATGGGCGGATGAGAGGATGGGCGGATGAGATGATGGGCGGATGAGATGATGGGCGGATGAGATGATGGGCGGATGAGGTGATGGGCGGATGAGATGATGGGCGGATGGATGATGGGCGGATGAGATGATGGGCGGATGAGATGATGGGCGGATGAGATGATGGGCGGACGAGATGATGGGCGGATGAGAGGATGGGCGGATGAGAGGATGGGCGATTGAGATGATGGGCGGATGAGATGATGGGCGGATGAGATGATGGGCGGATGAGATGATGGGCGGATAAGATGATGGGCGGATGAGAGGAAAAAGTGCGGCTGGGTACAAGGGGGAAGGTAGAAGGGTGGAACGGAGGAGCAGGGTTGGCGTGAGGAAGGGAGTGGGAGAGTGGGAGATGGAAAGGGGAAGGGGGACTGGATCGAGGGAGGATGAGGAGAGGAAGAATGGCAGGAAAGAAGGATGGGAGGAAGGGAGGACGGGCAACAGAAAGGGTAAAGAGGGTAGGGAGGCAGAGAGATGGAGGAAGGGAGGAAGGGAGGACGGGCAACAGAGAGGGTAAAGAGGGTAGTGAGGCAGAGATGATGGAGGAAGGGAGGAAGGGAGAGGGAGAGGAGGACGACTGTGGGGGAACGACGGAACGGAGTAAGGGAGGAGGGCAGGAGGTAAAAGTGTGGTAGGGTATAAGGGTGGAACGGGGGATAGGAGGATCCCTGCACCCTCTCTCCCTAACCCCCGCCTCCCCTGCCCCGCCTCCCCCGCTCCCCTGACCCGCCCCCTGCAGCACTGCACTCCTTGCTGCCCGCCTGCACGCGCTGCCCTGGCTGTGCGCCAAACACTCTGCTCCAAAGCCGCACCACCACCTGCCATGCGTGTGGGGTTGGTGCGAGAGAGGAGAGGAGGTCAGTGCAAGAGAGAGAAGGGTGGGTGCTGCTGACCACGCACCCTTCCACACTCCACAGCGAACGAGTCACGACCCCTTCCCCAGCTCCCAGCCCAGCTCGCCATACCTCCCCGCCCAGGGTGGGTGAGAGGCTGATGGGGAGGGAGAATGAGAGAGAAGGAAATAAGGGTGCAAGGGTGGGGTGGTAACCATGGGCGATGGTAGGAGTAGAGAAGGTGGTAATGGGGAGAGCGTGAGCGACCTAACGAGGCAATGGGGAAGGGATACAACGACGACCCTAAATGCGATGGGAAGGGATGAGAGGGTGGGCGGCATGGGTGGAGACGCGATGGTGAAGAGGGGGAACGTGATGGGCAGGGGAGTGATGACGACGTGGAGAGAGGTGGGAGAGAAGGGAGGTCGACGGGAAGTCTAACCGAGGGCGATGGGAGGGCAAGCGTGGGCGACAGTGGGGGTGGGCGACGGTGGCGGTGGGCGACGGTGGCGGTGGGCGACGGTGGCGGTGGGCGACGGTGGGGGGAAGCGTGGGCGACGGTGGGGGGAAGCGTGGGCGACGGTGGGGGGAAGCGTGGGCGACGGTGGGGGGAAGCGTGGGCGACGGTGGGGGGAAGCGTGGGCGACGGTGGGGGGAAGCGTGGGCGACGGTGGGGGGAAGCTTGGGCGACGGTGGGGGGAAGCTTGGGCGACGGTGGGGGGAAGCGTGGGTGACGGTGGGGGGAAGCGTGGGTGATAGTGGGAGGAAGCGTGGGCGACGGTAGGAGGAACCGTGGGTGATGAGAGGGGAATCGTGAGGGAAGGTGGGGGAAGGCGTGAGCGACGGTGTGGGGAAGCGTGGGGGAAGGCAGGAGGAAGCGTGAGCGGCGGTAAGGGGAAGCGTGAGCGACGATGGGGGAAAGCGTGGGCGACGGTGAGGGGAAGCGTGGGCGTGTGCGTGGGGAGGTGTGTGAGAGACGGTGGGGAGAAGCGTGGGGAACGCGGAAGGCGATAGGTCCAAATGCGATGTTTGGGGATGGGCTAGGATTAAAGGTGAAAATGCTCATGGCCTATGCTTTAGTGGCTTTTTATTCTATCTCTTCGCATGATCTAATCGCTTCGCGTACTATGGAAATCGCACAACCTGAATTACCAAAGAAGGCAAACTGTGCACATTTTGAGCCCTTGTTCCTTCAGGTGGGTGTGGTTGGGACTCTCGCCAACCAAACCCGTTCTGCTCTACGACACTCTGTTTTTTTGCGCTTTGTTTTCTGGTAACCAGCCTGGCTCGGGAGGTCAACTGTGGGTTCGGTAGGCAAACTGTGCACAGTTTGCCTTCCTTTTTTTGTAATTCAGGTCTTGGGCTTTAAGGGGTTGTCACCTCGGGTAGTAACCAGCTGTTCGAATTCCAAAATTATGGGAGTTGGCGCTGGTATAATACGGTTTAAAAATCAAACGGTGAAGTACAGTACGGTGCTTGTTCAAACAAGCCGCTTTGAACGTTCAAAGTGACACGCCCTAAGGTGCGCTTCCACTGATACAGATCAAAATATACTGCAAAGAGCCGTACACAAAACATTTCAACTTGTACACAGCGGACACATGGAACAATACAGACTCGCCACGATCGCTACACAAAACCTACGCTGATTTCACCATAGAATACTATCCATGCCATCGTCGCCTGCCTCTATATATAGAGGCATGTCTAGAGCCCACATGCCAGCATCAACATCTTGACATGGGGCATCAGGATCATCTTGACATTGCTCCAGCTTTGTCAGCATGGCTGATGCACCTTGCTCACGTACACCTGTGCCATAAACACCTGAAGCATCGCCATACACTGCTGGAACACCAACAACAGTGGCAGACCCTGGATCAGCAGCACCTGAAGCAGCAGCGTCAGCGCCGGAGCTAAACAGCAGGCACGCGGATATGTCAGTGAATTGAGCCGGCAGATCAATAAGCACATCAACGTTACCATTGCCCTCCATTCTCTCTGCCTTTTCAGCCTTCTCCGACTCCTGAAGGAGCCGTGAACCTGGACTGACAGCAGCGGCAGCAGCAGCAGCAGCAGGGATTTTGACAGAGTATGCTGTGTTTGGGATGGTGGGAATGAGACCTGAACATGGGATGACGCCAGAGGCAGGAATGGCACCTGAGGCACCTGAAACACCGGAGGCACCTGAGGCACCTGAAGCACCTGCGGCCAGCAGCTTGTTGCAATCCGAGAGCTCCGATGCAACTTCGCTTGCGAAACTGAAACACGACGGCACGGAGTAAAACGACCGGGAGAAAAACGCGTTAGGGACTTTTGGCAGAAAGATCAGAACTGGAAAGCAGCCATGGGTTCAGGACTTGTAAGGAACAGGAGATCTCGACACAGGTCATCCTAGAAGACAGAACAACGATCCAAATGCTGCTGAGGTGGGGATAGTCACTCACCTCTCAGTGTCACTGCAATACTCCTGCATGTACTTATGCGCCTTGCTGTTCCTCCCTCTACACCCAGGCTTGTGTGGGGACATCTCAAAGCTGGCCGTTTCCAGCCGTTGCACATATGATTCAGGACAATGCATCCTTGAGAGCTCACCTCTCAGTGTCACTGCAGTACTCCTGCATGTACTTATGCGCCTTGCTGTTCCTCTTGGTGCGCAGAAACGGAGACATGCCGTTGACGCAGGCAGCTGTAGCAGCACCTATAGCAGCAACTGTAGCAGCACCTGTAGCAGCAACCGTGGCACCAGCAGCATCACCAGCGTCAGTAGCCACACTACTGGTGCCAGGAGCACTAACACCAGCAGCAACAGAACCCGCAACACCACCACCGCAAGTAGCTACAGATGCCGTGCCACCACCACCACCACCACCAGCAGAAGCACCATTATCACCAGCAGCATCAGGAACACCAGCACCACCAGCAACATCGCCACCACCAGTAGCAGCAGCAGCAGCAGGGGGGTTTGGGTCGGCAAAGTTTGTCTGAGCATCGGCGCCCCGTATGGTGCGGGCGGCGGCGTCATAGGCTCTAGCAGCGTCCTCTGCTGTATCGTATGTCCCCAGCCACAACCGCACTCCCCTTGCTGGATCCCTGATCTCAGCCGCCCACTGTGTCAATAACAGAGGGGTAAAAAGGTAGGTAGAGTGAGAGAGGAATGGGGTTTAAGGTGAGAGATACTAATGTTTCCATTAACCCCTTATTTATTCTCTCCGCCCTGTTGTTTGCATGGTTAATTCCAGCTCTTCGTTCATATAACACGTATGTATGCAAATAATATAAAAGCAGAAAGAAATCCCTCACCTTGCCCCAGGGCCGCTGCCTCACGCCGCGGTAGCGGTGGGCCGCCTTGTCCTTGCCTTCGCCCCGCTTCAGCTTTCCGTGCTGCTTCTCCTTCCCCTGCATTCCCTGCAGCCCCTGCATGCCTTGCATGGCGTGCATTGCTTGCATGCTCTGCATTCCCTGTTGTGTTTGCATGCCATGCATCGGTGGCATCGCTTGAAACGCATGCATTCCCTGCATTCCCTGCATGCCTTGCATACATTGCATGGCTTGTAACTCCTGTAGCCCTTGCGTGCTCTGCATGCCTTGTAGACCTTGTAACCCATGCGCCCCATGCATAGCTTGCTGCCTCTGCATCTCCTGCAACTCTTGCATGCCTGGCATGCTCTGCACTCGCTGCATGCCTTGCACCCCTTGTTGTCCCTGCAGCCCTTGTATCCCTTGTATCCCTTGCATGCCTTGCATGCCCTGCACCATATGAAACCCTTGCAAACCCCCCATGCTCCCCATCTCACCTCCCCCCATCCCCACCATTCCCCCCATGCCCGCCATTCCCCCCATCCCCACCATTCCCCCCATGCCCGCCATTCCCCCCATCCCCACCATTCCCCCCATGCCCACCATTCCCCCCATCCCCACCATCCCCCCCATCACCCCCATCCCTTGCGGTAGGCTCCCCATCCCCGCCATCTCCGCTCCTCCCTGCTCCTGCGCCAGGCCCCCCGCGCCCATAATCGGCGCAAAGGCAAAAGCCCCCTCATGCGGCCCGAATGGAAGAAACGGGGAAGCTTCTACCGCGTACAGGGCTCCATACTGCGCCGGCAGGCTCTGGCCGGCAGAACTGCCGGCCATTCCGGGCATGGCCGTCAAGTAGCCCATCGGCATAGACGCGGCGGCTGAAGGCGGCGCAACGCGCCAGTGCATGGGCGGGTGGTTCCGCGCGCCCTGCACGCCCGCGGGGGAAGCTGCGCCCGCAGGAGCTGCGCCAGCGGAAACACCAGCGGCGGAGCGGGGGAAGGATGTAGGGGGACCCGCGGAAGACGCGCGGGGAGGAGGGTGTGCGGGCCCGAGAGCGGCGGATGGAGGGGGGGCGGAGGGCGCGGACAGGGCGGAACGGGCGGAAGAAGCGGAAGGAGGAGAGGAAGAGGAAGGAGGAGAAATAGCGGAGCGACGAGAGGGAGGGCTGGAAGCGGAAGGAGCGGCGGGAGCAGGCTGAGGGGAAGGACGGGCGGAAGCGGAAGGGGCGGACAGGGCGGACGGGGCGGAGGGAGCGGAGGGCAGATTGGGTCGAGCGGGAACGCCGTTCCGCCCTGCTGCTCTCGGCGCTGCCGCCGCCGCCGCAGCAGCGGGACCAGCTTGAGCGGTATTCCTTCCCGCAGCTGCCATATCTGCTGGCCCGTAAAACCCACCGTAAGCTCCGCCGTAACTCACCGGCATGGGATACGGGGAGCAGGGACCCCCGAGCATTCCCATTGGCATATTTCCGGGCGGCGGGGGGAGCTTGTCGCCGCGATGGGCGGCGCGAATTGCGGCGGATGAAACGGGGACGGGAACGGAGGCCTGTTTTTGCCACTTGGCGAGTTGCTTCGGGCACGCCGGCATATGCGGAGGCAAATGCGGCGGTAAGTGCGGCGCGAAGAACGGAGTCGGGTACGATGGCGGAAAGAAGGGCGGTGGCATTGCAAGCGTGGGGTCAAGGGGAAACGATCGGGAACCAGGGGCGGAAAAGGGGGAGGCGGAAGCGGAAAAAGGAGAGGTCCCCGTGGGCGGGGAGAAGGGAAAGGCTCCGGAGGAAGCGGGAAGGCAGCTTTCGGTTGCGCCTTCGCTTCCGGAATCCGCGCCTCGCGCCGCAGCCTGCGGCGAAGAAGAAGAGGGGATCCATGTTAGAAAATCATATCGAAACAAAGGCTAATATCAGAACGAGGATCAGGAGGAGGATCGAAAGGAAGGCTTGTGACTCGACGATCTGCTTATCGCAATGCGGAATGCAGCTTATCTCAGGATCGGGATCACCGCCGGCTCGGGATCAAGGCAGGCTTGGAATATTTAGGCTCGGAATTACCTCAGGCTCGGTCTTAACGCGAGCGGTCTTAACCCAGTGCGTGCCGCAGCTCTCGTCGCCCGACGACGAATCAGTCGCATCGGGGTCCGCCTCATTCGCATGCGTCGCTCGTCCGCGTTTGAAGCAGACCTAATACCGTAAAGTAGGGAGGGTGCAGAAATGGAAAGCCGGACGAAAGAGGCCGAGCGGCATTGACGATGCGATACATCTCGGATCGGGGAGGACAAGTGACTTGGCAGGACCTGTTGATGAAATGCGGCCCGAAGAAGGCCATGGGTCGTTATAAAATACTATTCCAGGAACTGGTCCTGTTTTGTAGGGGTTATATTCGTTAATACCTTGGGTTTCAAGTCATCCCAGTTATCTCCATCGGAGGAGCAGAGAGAGGCGAACTGGCCCGGGCCCATGGAGTGATTGCTAGGGGGGATCAATGCTCCCGCCTGGCCGCCCGGCATCGTGCGAAGCTGACTCGCGTTGAAAGCCAGGGGTGCTAGGTTCAGAAAGATGGAATCGAATGCTACACCCAGAGCTGATAATTTCTCGACCTACGTGATGCACATGAAACTGTAAGATGACCAAGCCGGCAGCGGGAGGAAACGGGGGCAGTTCACGACATCGGTGATATTTCTTTCCTTATGAACGAGGAAGCTAGGATGATAGATAACTGATGGAGGATACTAACGGCCAGGGAGGAGTTAAGGAGGGTTTGGTTTAAAGCCGCGGTGCAGATATCTTAGGAACAGTGACAAACAGTTTTTTGTCTTGTTCCTTCCTGGTCGCCAATTGGCTAGCGAGAGAGTAGATTGTGTTGCGATGAAGAGAAAAAGGAAACAACTGATGCGAACGTCGCCAACCTCGAAAGTGAGGGGGAAGGGGAAGGGGTGGGGGGAGGGAAGGGGGGAACACACACGACAACGCGAAATTCGAAACCCATGAGTATGCCGTCATCTCTACATTGCATAACGAAAGAGTTTGTATTTAAAATAAGCTGAGTACCACACAAATATCATATTCTGCGACTCAAAGGCACATTTGAGGATTTCAGAACGATCAAAGTTTGGGGTGGTTGTTTCCCTTTTCTTTTTGGGTGCAACGAATGTACACATGGCAGGCAAACATGAGTGTCTTTAAATCCTACATGGCATCTCCAAGATGAGCCAGACTTCACACCCCTCTGATCCATTATTGATGCAGCTGTCCACCGATAGCAGGGGGGGAGGGGGGTAGGGAAGGACACCAGTCGAAGAAGTGAAAAATGTTTGATGGGGAAATTGAATGGAGGGTTGGCAGAAACAGTGGGGTGCGCGACGACACAAAGTGATGGGGTGGGTGAAGGGAAGTAGTTGGGTGGGTGAAGGGAAGCAGCGGGGTGGGTGAAGGGAAGCAGTGGAGTTGGGAGCGGTGGAGCAGAGGGTTGGATGTCGTCACGCCTGCCACCGTGGGGTCATAGTGGAAAGGGAAGGGTCGGATGAGGGGAATGGGGAGGGACAGGAGAGGGGGGAAAGGGATGGCCGGGAGAGGGGTGAATGGTGGGACTGAATAGGGGGAAAGGGAAGGGATGGGAGAAAGAGAAAGGAAGGGTTTAGGAATCGGGGGATGCCTTGAAAGGACAAGGGTAGGGTAAAGGGTGGATGGTGGGGGAAGGAGGGACGGACACCGATGGAAGGAGGGACGGGGACGGGGGGAAGGTTTGAATGGTAACGGGGGAAAGGAGGGACGGCGGGAGTGGGGGAGAGGAGGATTGGTGGTGGAGAGACAGTGAGAGCGAGCCGCTTGCTACCGTCGCGCCTTTGCTGTCTGCAGGGAAGGGCAAGACGCCAAGGGACCGACGGACAAGGGGAGTTCGGGAATGGGGAGGCGTGAAACTGAAGGTGTGGCATAGGAGGATGTGCCATGGGGGATGGTGGCAGGGGGGAATGCCCTGGAACAAACAAGGGGGAAAACGACGGATGGGAGTGCGAAAAAGCGAGGGTTGGGTGAGGGGACAAGGGGACGAATGGGTGCAGGGGGGAGCAGCGGGGGGGGGGGGGCTGAATAGTGAATAGTGCTTTGGGTCAATCTCTCACGCTTGAACTAGGACAGGAATGGGATAGGACAGGGGAAGGAGAAAGCGACAGGGGGAATGGGATAGGACAGGGGAGGGACAGGAGAGGAGGGAAAGGGATGGCCATCAGAAGAGTGAATGGTGGGATGGGATTGTGGGAACGGGAAGGGATGTGAGAGAGGAAAAGGAAGGGTTCAGGAAAGGGGGAAATGAGCACGAAAAGCAGCGACGGTAGTGGGGGAAAAGGGACGAATGGGGGCAAGGGGACGGATGAGAGCAGGGCGAAGCAGTGGGTTGGGAGAGGGGAAAGGAGGGAGGGAGAAGAAGGGGAGGGAAGGATAGGGGGACAGGGAAGAAAGAACAGGGGGGAGGATTAAGCATCAGGAGGAACGAAAACGATGAAAGGGAGGGAAGGACTAAGGGGAAAGGGAGAGAATGACAGGGGGAAAGGGTGGGAAGGACATGGAGGAAAGGAGGAAGGACAGGGGGGAAGGGATAGAAGGAGTGGGGGAAAGGGAAAGAAGGACAGGGGCCTATAGCATGTCGCTGCACGCTCCCGCCTCGCCCGCCACTCGCTAACGCTCGCCACCGCTCGCCACTGTCGCGCCGCTGCTCGCTGTCACATGCGCAACTAGCCGGACCATGTCGTCTCGTGACCGAGCTATGCATCGACCTCAGGCGATGCTCGCCACAGTAGCACCTATTCCGACCATCGATCGCTGTTCTTCCCACCCTTCCCCCCTGTCCTTCTCACCCATTCTGGCCCTGTCGCCATCGTGCTTGCAGTTTCTTGCCGCCATTGCGTTTGCCACACACATCCCCTTGCCTTCGCCGCATCGCTACCAATCTCGCTCGCTAAAGCCGCTTGCGAGGTTTGGACGCGTGATGCTTAGGGACCGTCGGAACAAAAGCTTTGCCCCGCTGCTCGCTAACGACATCCCGCTGCTCGCTAACGTCGCCCTGCTGCACGCAGACGTCGCCCCGCTGCTCGCTACTGTCGCCATCGCAGCTCACTATCGTCATTGCGCTGTTGTCGCCATGCTGCTCGCTACCGTCGCCGCTATGCTCAGTATCGTCGCCCCGCTGGCTGCTGTCGCACCCAATCCTGCCTGCCACCACGTCGCTCCCAACTACTTCCCTTCACCACGTCGCTGCTTGCCACCGCCGATTCGTGAGAAATAGAGGGACGGGAGAGGGACTACAGAACGAATACCGCGGAGGAAATCGCGCGCAATGCGCTACGGGTACAGCCGCGGTGGTGTTTTTTGGGGTACGAAATAGCGCAGATATTCGAGCGCACACTAAGAGGCGAAGAAGAGCGATAGATCTGGGGCGAATGGCTCTCAAGAAGCCCTACGGGAAGGCACTTCAAGTTAGTAGTAACCTAGCCTAGTGCGAGAGATTGCTGAGTTTGAGTAGTTTTGAGTTCAAGTTTCAAGTTTCAAGTTTGATGCCTGGCCACCCCTTCATGCTGTGGTGCGGTGCTTTTCCGCAAGCCCTCCCCAGCTTCCCCCCCACTCATCATGCTGCGAGGCACTTTTCCGCACGACCTTCCCCCGCTCTCAGAAAGCTCTGCCAACCCGAGACTTCCAGTGTATACTGGGTAACGCGCCTTTCAAGCTATAATACTTTGAACTGGCGCAGCGATATCTGCACCGCGGCTTTAATCGTTAGAGAAGAGGAGTAAGAGGAAGGAGGGCGGAGCGGAGCGGAATAACGGGGGAGGAAGTCCTGCACTGTACAAGGAGCAGGGGGGGAAGGGAAGATGGTGGAGTGAAGAGTTCGGATCGGATCGGAGGGAAGGTGGCGGAAACGGGACGGGAGAGGAGGGAGCAGAAAGGCGGAAGCGTTTGGGGTGAAATGCGGGGTTTGAAAGCTGAACCCTGGCTGAAGGTCGTTGATATTTTGTTCCGCGTTTTTGTTTTATACGCCGGGGCTGTAGTGAAAGTGGATCTGCAGCATTGCTGCCGTGCCGTGCTGCTGGCACGCGCGGAGACCGAGGGGAAGAGGAGTTGGAGGGAAGTGCGGATGCGGAGCGGAATTGATCACGGCGCGGGGAGTGGCCGGCGGAAGAAAGTGTAGTGAACGGAATGGAAACGACGTGATCGAGATACATTCCCGTGATCGCGGGGGCGGGATGGGAAAAACCGAGATGCTGCGCTGGAAAGACGCGTGAGCGGAGTCACCGAATCAACCTGACAACAGGTTTGCTCGACTTTTATGACTAAGGGCAGAAAAAGAGACTTCCTTGGGTCTGGTTTCTGGAAGGTCAGGTTTCGTTTCCGGGTCTAGTTTCTGAAAGTCTCGCACGCGGTTCGGATGATGGAGAGGTTGGGGATGGGAGGTCTTTCAACGGACTTATCGGTGGAAAGGAAAAAGTGGAAACACTTCAAAATATACCTTGTACGTTTGACATTCTCTTTTTATCGGCTAATGCGGGAAAAGGAAATGGGATTTAGCGAGGTTTGCTTGCAGTGATGCCCTTCCAGCGTGGGCTTACGGGATCATCGGTGAAACGTCTGGAAAATCTTTCTGACAACGAATCAGCATTGCACATGCCGCCCAATATCCACCAGGCTCGGCCGCAAATTTGGGTTCACGCTCCACCACGCATGAACCCCCCGAATAAGTCCGACCGCAAGAAGCTGTGCGAGCACTTTGTGCAGCACACGTCAACATGCTGCCGTGGCGTTCCAGCTGATTCGGAAGCTGATGTAGGCATTTTTGCATCCACTTCGGAGCACGTGGTACAGATAACCAACCACATTAGCTTGTGGCACGTGAATAATGTATCATGTGGTCTTAACAGCAAATTGCCACCTTATCCGGCCCATAGTCTCGGATTGATCCCTGCGCGTGCGCCAGACCAGCAACACAGCAGCTGCGGCAATTGCGGTGAGGTTTGGCGTACTTGCCTTGCAGAGAGGTTTGGGTAATGCGGCAGGATTATTTAAATTATGGTACCTTTCTGTACCTAGCAAAAACCATGGAAGTGGGCTAAGCAGGGGTCAAGGGAGAGTGATGTGTTATAATGTAGTTGTACAGACTATATTTGAATCCTCCTACAACAGGTGCATTCACAAGCAAAAATAACAAATATAAGCACAATCTGGGCACAACATGCACGGGCATGAGAATATGCACCTGCTTGAACACCAGCCCATCAAGCATCCAGAAACACATCTCGGATAAACCTAGCAGTCACCCGAGACGACAGCCGGCTCGCTACTTCAGGCACAATCTGCACAGCAACGCTGGGAAGCAGCGAACCCAGTTCCTGAGACAGTGCCACCGCAGCCATCTGATCCCTCAACACTGACAACAATGGCCCCTGTTGGGACTGCTGTGAGTTAACTCTCCCATCCACAGCCCACATAGCTTCATCCTCCGTGGTATAACCGCTGCTGCTGCTATTGCTGCTGTTATCACTTCCCCGGCTCAAAAACGCCACAACCTTTCTCAAATTCTCCAGCACCGCCCGATCCTCATCCGTAACACGTGGGGTTACTGCATGCACCAGCTCCTGCACCTGCTGCTGTCCGGGCAGCGGCGGCAGCAGCATAAGCAGCGGTAGCGCTCCCGCCAAGGGCGTGTTCCTTATCACAGCGGTCGCGCTCGGCGACGTGGGGTTCGATAAGACGTTCAGCAGCGATGCGATTTGCTCTCGTGCCAGAGCGTCTACGCCCTTCACCACTTCGTCAAGAATAAAATCTCGGAAGAAGGCGCCGCGGGGGGAGAGGATGAAGGCCAGTGCCGCCCGGGCGTTGCCTGTGTTGCTGAGCTCAGCTTCTGACAGCTGGAGGGAAGCTTCCGGGAAGACGAGGGCGGTGGTCGGGAAGAGGGAGTCGAAGGGGGAGGAGGGGAGGAAGGAGGGAGGGAAGAGAGGGGAGGGCTGGGAGGAGGAGGAAGGGAGGGCAGCGCTTGTTGAACCTGCACCGTTAGAAGCACTCCCGTTTACAGTCACAGTCGCAACTCCATTGACCTCACCAGTAGCACCATCTGTAGAGATTACCTCCACCACTTCCCCTTCCCCACCTGCGTCCGCCCCCCAATCCGCGAATTGCGCTCCCCGCCCTGACTTGGCGTTAGCCGCGAACGTCTCAAAGGCCTCCATAACGTCTATAAAACGGTCCGCGTCGAACACTCCGGACCGCCCATAGATGGTGTATCTCAGCGCGGCGCGCAGGCGCGGGGACGGGTCCGTTAGCAGCCGCTGCGCGATGTACGGATAAGCAGCGTCGACTATAGCGAACTCCGGGTCGCCCACTAATGCGATACCCTCGAGGACGCCTATGGCGCGGATGATCAGCGCGAAGTACGGCGGAATGCGGAACGGATACTCGAACGTGATCTGCGCAAGATCCGCGGCGAGCTCCTGGAAATTAATCCCCTTCGCGCCGCCGCCCTCCAACGCCTGGTCGAAAACGCGCGCGAGAACCGGCATGATCGGATTCAGATTCACGCCCTCGGGAATAAAATCCAGGAGGACGAAATCTTCGACGATCGCGGGGTAATCGCGGTGGATCAGATGCGAGATCGCCTCGATCATGCCGTACTTCTGAGTGTCGGTGATTCGCGTCATCAGGCCGAAATCGAGCACGCATAGCTTTCCGTCGGGTGTTCGAATAAGGTTTCCGGGGTGCGGATCGGCGTGGAATAATCCCGTGTCTAGTAACTGCTTCAAGTAGCAAATAACGCCGACGTTTACCAGCGAACCCACGTCGTCCGCCGTGCTCTGCGAAAGCTTTTCGCCGTCGATCCACTGGGTTACCAGCACTCGCCGAGAGGTGTACTCCATGAAGGGCTTCGGAACCACGACCTGGGGAAGGTCCTTCGCCATCGATTCGGCGAAAAGCTCCGCGTTGCGAGCTTCGTTAACGTAATCCAGCTCCTCAAAAAATCGCGCGGCCCACTCGTCGACCAACCCCACCACGTCCGTCGCAATCTGGGGAATGCCGCGGAGAGCCAGTCCCAGCCGTCGGATGATGTACAGATCAATCGTGACCGTCTCCAAAACATACGGCCGCTGAACCTTCACCGCCACGGCTTCACCAGTAGATCTGAGTTTACCCTTGTAAACCTGCCCGAGCGACGCTGCTGCAATTGGAGCCGGGCTAAGCTCCGAAAACACCTCCGACGGGGGCAACCCAAGCTCATCCTCCATAAGAGCTATCGCGATATCGTTATCGAACGACGGAACTTTATCGCAAAGTTTCTGTAACTCCACCATCGCAGCAGGCGACAGGATATCGGGGCGGATACTCAGCGCCTGACCGAGCTTAATATACGCCGGGCCTAAGGACGTCACAATTTCTCTTAACTCCATCGCGCGTTTCACCTCGTTCTCCTTCAGCTTCTTCGTGACTATATCCGCCGCGACCTTCGTTAAGAAATCCCCCGATACAGCGAGAAGTTGTACGATTCGGCTGAAAATCGCGCCGGGCCGCTTCTGCCAGTAGGTCGCGATTAAATCCGGGTCGTACACCAGCGGAAGCGCCTCCTCGCCACCTTTCCCGGTGTCGAACTCCACGAGCCGCATCGTGACGTCAGCATCGGCGAACTGCTCGTCCCGGAGGTTCTGTCCGCGCAATCCCCGCATGAGCGACGCGACCTGGCACAGTGGGGGTGAGCGGGAAAGGGGGAAGCGGGTGGAGGGGAAGAGAGAGGGAGACGGAGATTGAGTGAGGAAGCGGGAAAAAATACAAACACAAGCGAAGGAAGCAGAAAAACATTGAAAAATGTACATGGTGGCAAGAAAAGGAAGGAAAAATATGGGAAGGAGGAGGAAACGGCGGGTTGCACAGTACACGGGGGGGCAGCGCGGTACCTGCTCGTCCTCCTCCATCTGCGCGCGAATGCGCTTCATGTCCGCCGCCATCTCCCCCACGCGCAGCTTCCGCGGACCCCCCGCGGGTCCCTCCGCTGCGCCGTTCACGCTGTACGCGTCTCCACTGGCTGCTCTGGACCTATCAGTGACAGCCGCGCGGCACGGAGCGGGCTGACGTGGAGAGGACGTACGGATGGAATCAGCATTATTAGTACTTAAACGACGGGGGGAGAAAAAGGAGGAAGAGGATAAGGGAGCCGACTGCGGCACGTTCTCGCGTGACCGAGCGCCTCTAGCCGGGCTAGGGTAACCGTTGGATTTAATGTTTGCGGATAAGATACGTGGGCTCTGAAGGCTGGATACGGCAAATGGTATTCTAAACGGGGACGCCACTAGCGAGGCTGCTGATTGAACGGACGCCATAGCGTCCAACGCGACGACGACGACGCGCTTAGCACCCAGCAGATTGGCGGCGACGGAAAAGAGAATCGTCGCAGACGAGTTTTGCAACGTTTCAACGCGTCGCAGCAACTGGTTACCCCGCACAGGTAAGTAGTGGCAGCCGCACGCAGAGGAGCCAGGTGCTCCAAGCCGAGGCTTGCGGCTGAACAAAAACTACTGAGGTAATTCGATGACTGGAACACACTGAATAGCAAATCGCTATCTCTTGTGGCAGGTGATACGTCAATGAAAGCAAGTCAGGAATGGAATGGAAGCCCTATTCCACACCACATGGCGAGATGGTTGGAGGAAAAAAGACGGGAAGGGAAAGTAGTGAAAAGGGATGGGATAGGATGACAAGAGGTTTTAAGGGTTCCAAAAGGTTGGAATATGGAAAGGTGTGGCACTCGAAAGCCAGGAATGCAACGGGACGGATTACGGGACACAGCGTACAGTGCCGTACCCTGCGACCGTCCGTGAGGAAGAACCAACGCAAACGAACGAACGGCCTGGGTGGTTGGGAGGGATCAGTGGGTGTCGTGTCATCTCGAGTCGTGTCAGCCCGTCGACCCCTGATCTCCTTGGGTTTCATTCCGTGTGTCCCTCCTCTGTGCGACACGCAGCTCGCCAGGTGGCACTGACGTTTTCAACAGAAACCTCGAGTATGTGGCTGTGATCGAGTGCGTAAGAACGTGGCATTTATGTAAAACGATAATATAATTCACAGGTGATGGTTCTCATCGGGGATGTAGCTCAGATGGTAGAGCGCTCGCTTAGCATGCGAGAGGTATGGGGATCGATACCCCACTTCTCCAGTGAACTTTTGAAATTCTGGCCGTTGACCATCATGCTGTGGGAACCATGTGGACAGAGATATTCAGGTACTTCAGGTGTGTTGTCCCAGCTAGGTTGTGTGATTCATGTCAGACTGCTACGCTTTTGTCCACTAGATACAACATTGAAGGATGTACATACTCCTAGCCCAACAACCCTAAAGATTTACACTATTGAGTACTACCCACTACTGACACAGCTCTTATCAGGTCATGACTGTCTATCGCTTCGGAGGCATGGTCTGCGACTTCTTGAACATGGCAGCCAAGCCTTTTCGCTTGGTCGACTCAGGACTAAGCTCCACACCCCCGGGACTGCCCGTGCCCATGCCATGTGCTCCTGCCAATGGGCTCGCGCCGCCATACCCGTGCCTGTGTGTCCCTGAATGACCATCCCCCACCCCATGCACATGTGGTGACCCTCGAGATTTCCTGACAACCATCGGTGACCCCTGCTCACTGCCGCCTCCTCTCCACGGGCTCATCCCTCCCCCACCACCAGCAGCAGCATGCATGGGAATGTTCATCCCGCTACGATGCATGGGGCTGCCCCCCTGGCTGGAATGGAAAGGCGACATGGCTCCCCCTCCCCCTCCCCCTCCCCCTCCCCCTCCCCCTCCCCCTCCCCCTCCCCCTCCCCCTCCCCCTCCCCCTCCCCCTCCCCCTCCCCCTCCCCCTCCCCCTCCCCCTCCCCCTCCCCCTCCCCCTCCCCCTCCCCCTCCCCCTCCCCCTCCCCCTCCCCCTCCCCCTCCCCCTCCCCCTCCCCCTCCCCCTCCCCCTCCCCCTCCCCCTCCCCCTCCCCCTCCCCCTCCCCCTCCCCCTCCCCCTCCCCCTCCCCCTCCCCCTCCCCCTCCCCCTCCCCCTCCCCCTCCCCCTCCCCCTCCCCCTCCCCCTCCCCCTCCCCCTCCCCCTCCCCCTCCCCCCCCCACTCCCCAGCCTGAGTACCCCCTCGGGGACAGCGGGCCTGCGTTTTGCACATGGCCAGTCTGGTTACCCATGCGGTTACCACTGCCAGCAACACCAGCAACATCAACACCCCCAATATCACCACCATGGACACTGCCCCCACCACTGCTACCCCCGCGGCTCCCTCCCCCCTTGAGCTTCCGTCTGAACGTCCTTCTGAGCCCATGAGTCAGGGCTAGATTCCCCAACACTGCCCCTGCAAACGAGTGCGTTCTGCTGCCACCACCACCGCCGCCGCTGCCGCCGCCGCTTCCCCCACCGCCGCCGCTGCCACCACCACCAGCACCACCGCTGCTGCTGCCGTTACCGCGTGGTGATCTAGCAAAGCCAATGGGCATGCAGGAGACTCGAGGAGCCATGAGAGGAGAGGCGTTCTGCATCACCCCCACCTCGTCATTCTCCTCTGTTTCCTCCCCGCCCCTGCGACCATTCCCAGCCACAGCAGCAACCGCCGCAGCAACAGCAGCAGCAGAGCCGCCAGCAGCAGCAAACACAGCCGGGTTCGCTAGAGCACCAGCAGCGAGAGCAGCAGCAGGGGCGTGGTCCGGCAGGTTGGCTCTCGACGTGGGCTTTAAGGGAGGAGAGGATGATTCCTTATCAGCCGACCTTGCCGATCTCATACTCATGCATGATGCTCTAGCTCCAGCTCTGCTCTTGACCCGATTAAACCTAGAGAGTCTGTCCGCTTCCCCACTTGCTCCCCATGCCTCGTCACCCCCCGCAGCCTCCACTCCTTCTCCTCCCGCTGCTGCTGCTGCCTCTGCTGCTGCTGATGCATCCTTTGATGAAACATTGTGCGAGTCAGGAGCATCCGGGGTGATATAGAAGAGGGGCTTACTGCGCTGTGAATTACTCCGCGGCACCTTGCCGCTGCTGCTACTGCTTCGTAGCACCTTAGCACCACCTGCACCTTGCTCCTCGCCTTCCCCAGCGCCCATCCCATCCATGCCATTAAATTCGTCTGCAGTGGGAGTAGGAGCACCTTGTAAGCACCCACTTCCACCACCCTCCCCACCGCCACTTGCATCATCACCATCCTCTTCTGCTGCAGCATCGGGAACCCACTTTTGCAGACTCAGTCCCGCACTCATTTCCGAACCCCGTTGCTCTTCCTCCTCCTCCTCCCTGCCCCTCCTCCCCTTCCTTCCTCTCCTCCCTTTCTTCTCTCTTACACCATCATCTGGACTTCCAAACACCTCCACCACCGAAACAACCTCTTTTTCCTCCCTCTCCTCTCGCTCCTCACTCTCCTCACACTCCTTCCTCTCCCCTCTCTTCCCCCTTCCAGCCCTCCCACACGAAGACAAAAGCACCTCTGTGGGCGAAGAACCATCAAGGTGGTTACCACTGGCGGTTGTAACCAGATACAGCGCTTCCTCTTCAGGTGCTGGCACTATAGAGAGCTGACCACTCTCCTCCTCGATAGTGCCACGACTCGTAAGCGTCACTTCTCCCTCTGCTGCTGCTGCTGCTGCTGCTGCTGGCACCAAAGCGAGTTCCTCCTCCTCCCCCTCCTTCTGTTGCCCGTCCAAAAGCGCTACTTGCATCGCCTCATCACCATCACCACCACCACCACCACCCTCTCCGCCCTCCCCACCATCCTCACCACCCTCGCCCTCCCCCTCCCTCTCTGGTCCCTCTAGAGGCCCCGAGACGGGGGAGTGAGTGTGAGAGGAGGACAGGTGAGACACAGTGTAGCGATAGGGCGAGGCAGACGGGGAACTCGCACCTGACAAGCCCATATCTGATTCACCACCATCACCACCAACACTAGCACCAAGACCACCATCACCATCACCACCAGCAGCACCAGCACCACCACCCAAGTGCATCCCAGCCATGCCAGCAGCATCCATGTGCAGCAACAGATGCTCCAGCTGCGGGTACTTAGCTGAGACCTCCCCCAGCAACTCTTCTGATGGCAGCGCCAGGAACGTGGCAGCTTCAAGAAGCTTCAGCAATGCTTGAAGTTGCGCCTGGTGAAAGGGAGAGATGAAAGAGGGGGCACATGGGACGAGACGAGATGGGATAAGGTGAGGAAGCTGCGGGTACTTAGCTGAGACCTCCCCCAGCAACTCTTCTGATGGCAGCGCCAGGAACGTGGCAGCTTCAAGAAGCTTCAGCAATGCTTGAAGTTGCGCCTGGTGACAGAGAGAGGGGGCACGGGGGAGGGATGGGTAAGCTGTGGGTACTTAGCTGAGACCTCCCCCACCAACTCTTCTCAAGGCAGAGCGCCAGGAACGTGGCTGATTCAAGCAGGCCCAGCAGGGTTTGGTGCTGCGCCTGCTGAAAGGGAGAGATGAAAGAGGGGGCATGGGGAAGGGATGGGATAAGGTGAGGAAGCTGCGGGTACTTGGCTGAGATCTCCCCCAGCAGCTCCTCTGATGGCAGCGCCACGAATGTGGCTGCACCGAGGAGCTCCATTTGGGATTGGAGTTGCGCCTGGGGAGATGGGGATCCAGGGATTGGGGAGAATATTTTTGAGTCGACTCAAAAATAAGGGAGAATGGGAAGGGAAAGGGGGAGGGACGGGATCAGATGGTATCACTGGTGTGTGGACCCCGGGGAGGGTGGTGGACGGGCGGTGGACGTTTGGCAGAGGGACGGTGGAGGTTTGGCAGAGGGATGGTGGAGGGTCGGTGGATGGTCGGTGGAGGATCGGTGGAGGGACAGAATGTGCTTGGAGTGAATGGGTTGGGAAGGTGGGGATGTGCCAAGCAGGTTTGGCAATAACAGCACTTGTTGCTAGTCGTCTCACATACCCCTCTCATCCGCACACACACCCCTCGCACGCACACCCCTGATACACTCACACGCCCCTGTCACACTCACACGCCCCTGTCACACTCACACGCCCCTGTCACACTCACACGGCCCTGTCACACTCACACGCCCCTGTCACACTCACACGCCCCTGTCACACTCACACGCCCCTGTCACACTCACACCCCCCTCTCACACTCACACCCCCCTCTCACACTCACACACCCCTGTCACACTCACACGCCCCTGTCACACTCACACCCCCCTCTCACACTCACACACCCCTGTCACACTCACACCCCCCTCTCACACTCACACACCCCTGTCACACTCACACGCCCCTGTCACACTCACACGCCCCTGTCACACTCACACGCCCCTGTCACACTCACACGCCCCTGTCACACTCACACCCCCCTCTCACACTCACACGCCCCTGTCACACTCACACGCCCCTGTCACACTCACACCCCCCTCTCACACTCACACACCCCTGTCACACTCACACCCCCCTCTCACACTCACACGCCCCTGTCACACTCACACGCCCCTGTCACACTCACACGCCCCTGTCACACTCACCGCCACCCTCTCAGCCTGTTCCGCCTCCATAGCTGCCTGCTGCTCTGCAGCCACTCGCCTCTCCATCACCTCCCCCACCTCCTCCTCCTTCGCCTCTAGCTCCCGCCTTATCTCCCCAATCTTCTCCTCCCTCACTGACAACTCCCGCCTCTGCTCCTCGATTTCCTCTCTCAGCCCCTCCACCCTCTCCTTCATCTCCCTCTCCCTCCTCTCCATCTCCTCCCTCCTCCCCTCAGCCTCCTCTTTCTCCCTCTCCACCTCCTCAGCCACCCCTCTCAGTGCCTCTCTCTCTGCCTCCACCGCTTCCAACCGCTCTCTCACCCTCTCCATCTCCCTTGCCACCTCCAACCTCCTCCTCTCCGCCTCCTCCTCTCTCCCTTTCCCCACTTTCACCTCACTTAAAACTCTTTCCATTTCCTTAACCATTTCATTCACCTTCTCTCTCCCTTCCTCCACCTCCCTCTCAAGAACCTCCCTCCCCTTCTCACCCCACTCAGCCTTCGCCCGAACCTCCTCCAGCTCCCCCCGAGCCTCCTCCGACTGCCTCCGAGCCTGCTCCGCCTCTTCCCGAGCCTCCTGGAGCCTATTCCGAGCCTGCACCAGCTGCAGCCGAGCGTCTTCTGCGTCTCTCTTAGCTTCTCCCACTCTCTTCTCTAGTGCCTCTATCTCTCTCTTGACCTCCTTCATGTCCTGCTCGTGAGCTGCTGTGAGGGCCTTTCTAACTTCTTCCACCCACACCCTCTCATCTTCATCCTCTCCACTGCTGCTCTTCCTTCCCTCTTCTCCCCCCTTTTGCTCCTCTCCCTCCTCGCCCCTCGCTTCATTCTCCTGACCTGCCGAGCCTGCACCAGCAGAACTTTCTCCTGTGAGCCCAAGCCTGCGCCGAACCTCGTCCAGCACCCGAACCAGCCCTTTGTGGTTCGATACAGCCCCCACGTTCCTCCCACCTGCGTCTCCCTCCTCCTCCGCCTCCTCCCCCTCCTCCCCAGGCGTACCCTCCTGTCCATCCTCTCCCCCTCCCCACTCAATCCCCAACTCCTTTGCAAGCTCCACCACACTCCCCATCAACAACCTCACGTCCTCCCTCACTCTCTCCCCCTCCCGCTCCCCCTCCCTCTCCTCCGCCTCCTCCTCCTCCTCCTCCTCCTCCTCCTCATCCTCTTCCTCCTCTCTATCCTCACTCCATCTCCACCCCGCCGAACCTGCTCCTCTCACCCGAGCCTCCGCACCTTCGGCTCGGGCCCGCCGAACCTCAGCTTCGGCTTCGTCCACCCTCTTTTTAGCCACGCCTGCCACAGCTTCGGCAGCAGCAATATCCGCTTTCAGCCTCGCTACCTCTAACTCGAGCTCCATAGACTTAGCTTCTTCCTCTTTAAGAGCATCCTCAGCACAGGATAGTCGCTGCGACAGCACATGCACGTCCTGCCTAAACACCTGCAGATCTTCCCTTGCTTCTTTTGCCGCTGCCACTGCTTCCGCTGCTTTCCCCGCCTCTGCTGCCGCCTGCTCCTTCAATATACTCACCTCCGCTTGCAGTTTAGTCACCTCTACCTCTGCAGTCAGCCTCCCCACCTCCACATCCCTCTCCCCTCTCCCTCTCTCCACTGCAAGAGCAGCTTCAGCGCTCTTTGCCCTCACTCTCTCCTCCTCCACCCTCCTCCTCAGCCCCTCACACTCCTCCTGCAGCTGCTCCAGCCGTGCTTCCAACACCGCCCGTTTCACCCCTTCAGCAGCCGCTGCTTCCCGTAACGAATCCATTTGCTTCTCCCACCCGGCCTGAGCTTCGGCAAGGTTCCCCGAGTCTGACTCGGATCGGGCCGTAGCTGCTGCCGCCTGGACCTTCAGTTCCCAAGCCAGAGCTTCGGCCTCTTCCGCCCGAGCCACAGCCTGCCGAGCCTCCTCCTCAGCTCCGTCAGCCCGCTGCCTCTCCGACTCGGCCCGAACCTCCACCTCCTCCGCCCTCTCCGCCTCCCTCCGAGCCTTCGCCTCAGCTTCGGCAACCCGCTCCCTCAGCCTCGCCACCTCCGCCGAATCCACCCCACCCCTCCCACCCTCCCCCGCCGAACCACTCTCCTCGGCTCGGCGCCGGAGCAGCGCAGCCTCGGACCGTTCTTGATCCAGCGCCGTAATCGCCGCCGCCATCTCCCTCCTCAACCGCACACAAGTCCCCTCAGCATCAGCCGCCTTCTGCTCTTGCACTGACAACGCCTGCTGAGCTTCAGCCAAACCCTGCCTCAGCTTCCCGTTACTCGACTCCAGCCAATCAACACGCTGCTGCAGCTGCTGGACCTCGTCATCATTGTGGGCGGCAGAGGCGGCGGAGGAGGCGCGGGCGAGTTCGGACTGTAGCAGGCCGATCTGCTGGCGGAGACGGCGGACCTCCTCGGCGTCGATCTCCTCCAGGCGGTTGACGGTGGGCTTGTTGCAGATGTTGCGCGCTCGATTGGCGTACTTGAGCGTGTTGATTGTCTCGTCTATGTTGCTGTCTGATGGACTCACACACGCTGAGGAGGGGAAAGAGGGCAGAGGGCGCAAATACGTATGGACGAACACACAGGGAGTGAGTCGGGACACAGAACGAGGCAGAGACCAGCAGGCGGCGGACCTCCCTCTGCATCAATCTCCCTGAGCACGGTGGGCTTGTTGCAGATGTTGCGCGCCCGGTTGGCGTACTTGAGCGTGTTGATTGTCTCGTCCACGTTGCTGTCTGATGGACTCCTTCACCCTGGGAGGGGCATGAGGGCACACACATGGGAATGTGGTGGGAGAGAGAGGAGATGAAGATAGGCAGAGAGGGAGGGCAACTTGGTTGGCGTACTTGAGAGTGTTGATTGTCTCGTCCACGTTGCTGTCTGATGGACTCACACACGCTGGGCAGAGGACACAGGGCAGAGGGCGGAGGGCGGAGGGCGGAGGGCAGAGGGCAAACGGCACACACATGTGAAACACACACACAGGTGGCCCCAGAGAGTTCACAGACGATCCTTGGGCAGCGTAAGCATGTGAGCCCAAACTCCACTCCAATCGCTACACTCACCAATCATAACGGTCCGGCTGTTGCCACCCAGCGAGTCCTGTAGCAGCCTTGTCAGCTTGCTGTCGCGATACGGCACGTGCGTGGGGCCAGACGGCCAGCCGCCCTTGCCCTCCCTCTTGCGCCGGTCGTCTTTATCCTTGGTGCTCAGTGCACTGATAACATTGCCCAGTGCCAGCAGCCCACGGTTGATGTGGATGCCTGGGAGAGGGATGGGGGAAGGGGCAATGGGGAGAAGGGCTTGGGTGTGAAAGAGGGGTGGACGAGGCTTGGTGGGGATGGTTGTCCTTGTTCTTGCTGCTCAGCGCGCTGATAACATTACCTAGTGCCAATAGTCCTCGGTTGATGTGGATGCCTGGGGGAGAAAGACGGGTGGTGGATGGGGGATGTGTGGTAAGTTGGGGCAAAGGGGAAACCGGTCGTCTTTATCCTTGCTGCTCAGCGCGCTGATAACATTACCAAGTGCCAATAATCCTCGGTTGATGTGGATGCCTGTGAGAGGGGGGGGGAAGGGCGGAGGCACAATGAGGGTCAGTGGGGGAGTTATACTTTACCTCGCTGCTGACGTTGCCCAGCATGCGTCCTCTTTACCCAACATGCCCCCATACTCCCCTCAACTGCAAATCCACCCCTGCTCCCGCCCTGCCCCTGCATCTCACCTTCCTGCATTCGCACCCCCCAAGCATGCGTCCTCTTTACCCAACATGCCCCCATACACCCCTCAGCTACAATTCCACCCCTGCTCCTGCATCTCACCTTCCTGCATGCGCACCCCCTCAGCGTGTGTCCTCTTGATCCGCTCCGACCCAGCCAGGTCCACCAGATGCATCTTGGCGCACAAATGCTCCTCGTCCGCGCGCCCCCTCCCCCCTCCCCCTGACCGCGCGCCCATGCCCCCCCCTCGGGGGCGGAACATGTCGATGAATATCGTGAAGATGGCGTGGGAACGACTGCAGGATGGGGGGGAAGCGAGAAGAAAGAAGAGCGAGATGGAGTGCAAAAGCAGCCAAAGGTGGTCCATACCATACCTTTGATAAAAGTAAGGCCTCCGCACCCACCTGTCCTCTTTTGACAGCTCATACCACCTGCTCCGTCAACCCCGCCAGTAGCTCCTGCCCCCCAGCCACGTGCAAGTCTCACCTGGACCGTGCGTTCAAGTTGTGCCCCCTGGTCGCCCTGAACTGCTCCGTCCTCATGCGATCGCCTCCTCCCTCGAGTGCACCACCTGCTCCGTCACCCCCGCCAGGCTGATGCAACAAGGAAACTGCATAAGAGCAAAGCTCACCTGGACCGTGCATTCAGGTTGTGACCCCCGGTTGCTCGGAACAACAGCCCGTCCTCGAGGCATGAGATCGCCTCCTCCCTCGAGTGCACGACCTGCTCCGTCACCCCCGCCAGGGTGATGCCGCCCGCCGTCTCGCGGATGCTGATTGGCTGCCGGCTCGGCCCGCTGCTCATGATAGCCCGCGAGGCAGCAGAGTGGGGATACATGTTCGCCCCGCCTCCTGCCCCCAGACTGGTCAGTTCAAGCAGGTCTCGAATGTCATCCTTGTGGATCTGAGAGACAGGGGGAGAGGAGAGAGTGGGAGGAAAAGGGGTGAAAGGGTGGTTAATCTCGGCCCGCTGCTCATGATGGCCCGCGAGGCAGCAGAGTGGGGATACATGTTCGCCCCTCCTCCTGCCCCCAGACTGGTGAGCTCCAGCAGGTCGCGAATGTCATCCTTGTGGATCTGATTGAAGGGAGGGAAGGGAGGTTGGAGAACGGGAGGAAGAGAGGGTGTTTGCTCTCGGCCTGCTGCACTGCACATGATGGCTCTTGATGCGGCAGAGTGCGGGTACATGCTCGTCCCTCCTCCTGCCCCTAGGCTCGTGAGCTACAGCAGGTCTTGAAGGTCGTCCTTGTGGATCTGAGAGTAGGGGGAGAGGAGAGGGTGGGAGTAAGGCCTCCGCAGCCCACCTGTCCTCTCTTGACAGCTCCAGCAGGTCACGAATGTCATCCTTGTGGATCCGAGGGAGAGGAGGAGAGGGGAAGGTGGAGGAGGGAGGGGATGGGAGGGTGAGAGGGTGGTTACTCTTGGCCCGCTTCTCTTGATGGCTCTGGTGGTTACTCTCGGTACATGTGACGCCCCCCTCCTCCCCCAACCTACTGAGCTCCAGGAGAGGAGAGGGTGAGAGAGTGATGTCTTGGATTTGCCTCCACAATCCCCTCTCGCCTCTATCCCCAGTCAACTCACTCACACACTTCCCCTCCCTCTCACCTCTATGAGCGCCACTCACCTCTATGAGCGCCACTCACCTCTATGAGCGCCACTCGGATCTGGAAGCGCGCCAAGCCACTCAGCTGCTGGTCTCTGGCCATCAGTAACCCTCCCCTTCCCTCCCCCCCACTCCATCTCCACTGTTCCCCCTCCACCCCCCTCACCTCTATGAGAGCCACTCGGATTTGGAAACGCGCCAGGCCACTGAGCTGCTCCACACGCGTGAACAGCGTGTCCACTACGCGCCGAGTCACGCCGCCCTGCTTTTCCACAGCGGACGGCCCGCAGCCGTCCACATCCCCATACATGCCGCCCTGCACCGCCGTCCCCATTGTGTAGGTTTTCCCTGACCCGGTCTGGGCGGGGGAAGGGAGAGAGGGGGAGTAAGGAGGGGCAGAGAGGAAAGAGAGCGAGAAATGGGGTTCTAGTAAGAAGGAAATGAGCGGGAGAAGGCCGTTACTCACGCTGCCTTCCTTATTGCTGTGCATGCCGCGATACATGCTGCTGTGCCCCGCTGTCCCCATGGTGTACGTCTTGCCTGATCCCGTCTGTGTGGGTGCGGACGTAGGCAGAAGGCACGAAGGGGAAGCATGGAATGAGGAGGAATGGAGGGGGGAATAAGGACTGTGCTTCGCTGTACCCATGGTTTTTGAGTCGACTCAAAAATCGACTCATCACGCACGAAGGGGAAGCATGGAATGAGGAGGAATGGAGGGGGGAATAAGGACTGTGCTTCGCTGTACCCATGGTTTTTGAGTCGACTCAAAAATCGACTCATCACGCACGAAGGGGAAGCATGGAATGAGGAGGAATGGAGGGGGGAATAAGGACTGTGCTTCGCTGTACCCATGGTTTTTGAGTCGACTCAAAAATCGACTCATCACGCACGAAGGGGAAGCATGGAATGAGGAGGAATGGAGGGGGGAATAAGGACTGTGCTTCGCTGTACCCATGGTTTTTGAGTCGACTCAAAAATCGACTCATCACGCACGAAGGGGAAGCATGGAATGAGGAGGAATGGAGGGGGGAATAAGGACTGTGCTTCGCTGTACCCATGGTTTTTGAGTCGACTCAAAAATCGACTCATCACGCACGAAGGGGAAGCATGGAATGAGGAGGAATGGAGGGGGGAATATGGACTGTGCTTCGCTGTACCCATGGTTTTTGAGTCGACTCAAAAATCGACTCATCACGCACGAAGGGGAAGCATGGAATGAGGAGGAATGGAGGGGGGAATAAGGACTGTGCTTCGCTGTACCCATGGTTTTTGAGTCGACTCAAAAATCGACTCATCACGCACGAAGGGGAAGCATGGAATGAGGAGGAATGGAGGGGGGAATAAGGACTGTGCTTCGCTGTACCCATGGTTTTTGAGTCGACTCAAAAATCGACTCATCACGCACGAAGGGGAAGCATGGAATGAGGAGGAATGGAGGGGGGAATAAGGACTGTGCTTCGCTGTACCCATGGTTTTTGAGTCGACTCAAAAATCGACTCATCACGCACGAAGGGGAAGCATGGAATGAGGAGGAATGGAGGGGGGAATAAGGACTGTGCTTCGCTGTACCCATGGTTTTTGAGTCGACTCAAAAATCGACTCATCACGCACGAAGGGGAAGCATGGAATGAGGAGGAATGGAGGGGGGAATAAGGACTGTGCTTCGCTGTACCCATGGTTTTTGAGTCGACTCAAAAATCGACTCATCACGCACGAAGGGGAAGCATGGAATGAGGAGGAATGGAGGGGGGAATAAGGACTGTGCTTCGCTGTACCCATGGTTTTTTAGTCGACTCAAAAATCGACTCATCACGCACGAAGGGGAAGCATGGAATGAGGAGGAATGGAGGGGGGAATAAGGACTGTGCTTCGCTGTACCCATGGTTTTTGAGTCGACTCAAAAATCGACTCATCACGCACGAAGGGGAAGCATGGAATGAGGAGGAATGGAGGGGGGAATAAGGACTGTGCTTCGCTGTACCCATGGTTTTTGAGTCGACTCAAAAATCGACTCATCACGCACGAAGGGGAAGCATGGAATGAGGAGGAATGGAGGGGGGAATAAGGACTGTGCTTCGCTGTACCCATGGTTTTTGAGTCGACTCAAAAATCGACTCATCACGCACGAAGGGGAAGCATGGAATGAGGAGGAATGGAGGGGGGAATAAGGACTGTGCATCGCTGTACCCATGGTTTTTGAGTCGACTCAAAAATCGACTCATCACGCACGAAGGGGAAGCATGGAATGAGGAGGAATGGAGGGGGGAATAAGGACTGTGCTTCGCTGTACCCATGGTTTTTGAGTCGACTCAAAAATCGACTCATCACGCACGAAGGGGAAGCATGGAATGAGGAGGAATGGAGGGGGGAATAAGGACTGTGCTTCGCTGTACCCATGGTTTTTGAGTCGACTCAAAAATCGACTCATCACGCACGAAGGGGAAGCATGGAATGAGGAGGAATGGAGGGGGGAAATAAGGACTGTGCTTCGCTGTACCCATGGTTTTTGAGTCGACTCAAAAATCGACTCATCACGCACGAAGGGGAAGCATGGAATGAGGAGGAATGGAGGGGGGAAATAAGGACTGTGCTTCGCTGTACCCATGGTTTTTGAGTCGACTCAAAAATCGACTCATCACGCACGAAGGGGAAGCATGGAATGAGGAGGAATGGAGGGGGGAAATAAGGACTGTGCTTCGCTGTACCCATGGTTTTTGAGTCGACTCAAAAATCGACTCATCACGCACGAAGGGGAAGCATGGAATGAGGAGGAATGGAGGGGGGAAATAAGGACTGTGCTTCGCTGTACCCATGGTTTTTGAGTCGACTCAAAAATCGACTCATCACGCACGAAGGGGAAGCATGGAATGAGGAGGAATGGAGGGGGGAAATAAGGACTGTGCTTCGCTGTACCCATGGTTTTTGAGTCGACTCAAAAATCGACTCATCACGCACGAAGGGGAAGCATGGAATGAGGAGGAATGGAGGGGGGAAATAAGGACTGTGCTTCGCTGTACCCATGGTTTTTGAGTCGACTAAAAAATCGACTCATCACGCACGAAGGGGAAGCATGGAATGAGGAGGAATGGAGGGGGGAAATAAGGACTGTGCTTCGCTGTACCCATGGTTTTTGAGTCGACTCAAAAATCGACTCATCACGCACGAAGGGGAAGCATGGAATGAGGAGGAATGGAGGGGGGAAATAAGGACTGTGCTTCGCTGTACCCATGGTTTTTGAGTCGACTCAAAAATCGACTCATCACGCACGAAGGGGAAGCATGGAATGAGGAGGAATGGAGGGGGGAAATAAGGACTGTGCTTCGCTGTACCCATGGTTTTTGAGTCGACTCAAAAATCGACTCATCACGCACGAAGGGGAAGCATGGAATGAGGAGGAATGGAGGGGGGAAATAAGGACTGTGCTTCGCTGTACCCATGGTTTTTGAGTCGACTCAAAAATCGACTCATCACGCACGAAGGGGAAGCATGGAATGAGGAGGAATGGAGGGGGGAAATAAGGACTGTGCTTCGCTGTACCCATGGTTTTTGAGTCGACTCAAAAATCGACTCATCACGCACGAAGGGGAAGCATGGAATGAGGAGGAATGGAGGGGGGAAATAAGGACTGTGCTTCGCTGTACCCATGGTTTTTGAGTCGACTCAAAAATCGACTCATCACGCACGAAGGGGAAGCATGGAATGAGGAGGAATGGAGGGGGGAAATAAGGACTGTGCTTCGCTGTACCCATGGTTTTTGAGTCGACTCAAAAATCGACTCATCACGCACGAAGGGGAAGCATGGAATGAGGAGGAATGGAGGGGGGAAATAAGGACTGTGCTTCGCTGTACCCATGGTTTTTGAGTCGACTCAAAAATCGACTCATCACGCACGAAGGGGAAGCATGGAATGAGGAGGAATGGAGGGGGGAAATAAGGACTGTGCTTCGCTGTACCCATGGTTTTTGAGTCGACTCAAAAATCGACTCATCACGCACGAAGGGGAAGCATGGAATGAGGAGGAATGGAGGGGGGAAATAAGGACTGTGCTTCGCTGTACCCATGGTTTTTGAGTCGACTCAAAAATCGACTCATCACGCACGAAGGGGAAGCATGGAATGAGGAGGAATGGAGGTGGGAAATAAGGACTGTGCTTCGCTACCCATGGTTTTTGAGTCGACTCAAAAATCGACTCATCACGCACGAAGGGGAAGCATGGAATGAGGAGGAATGGAGGGGGGAAATAAGGACTGTGCTTCGCTGTACCCATGGTTTTTGAGTCGACTCAAAAATCGACTCATCACGCACGAAGGGGAAGCATGGAATGAGGAGGAATGGAGGGGGGAAATAAGGACTGTGCTTCGCTGTACCCATGGTTTTTGAGTCGACTCAAAAATCGACTCATCACGCACGAAGGGGAAGCATGGAATGAGGAGGAATGGAGGGGGGAAATAAGGACTGTGCTTCGCTGTACCCATGGTTTTTGAGTCGACTCAAAAATCGACTCATCACGCACGAAGGGGAAGCATGGAATGAGGAGGAATGGAGGGGGGAAATAAGGACTGTGCTTCGCTGTACCCATGGTTTTTGAGTCGACTCAAAAATCGACTCATCACGCACGAAGGGGAAGCATGGAATGAGGAGGAATGGAGGGGGGAAATAAGGACTGTGCTTCGCTGTACCCATGGTTTTTGAGTCGACTCAAAAATCGACTCATCACGCACGAAGGGGAAGCATGGAATGAGGAGGAATGGAGGGGGGAAATAAGGACTGTGCTTCGCTGTACCCATGGTTTTTGAGTCGACTCAAAAATCGACTCATCACGCACGAAGGGGAAGCATGGAATGAGGAGGAATGGAGGGGGGAAATAAGGACTGTGCTTCGCTGTACCCATGGTTTTTTAGTCGACTCAAAAATCGACTCATCACGCACGAAGGGGAAGCATGGAATGAGGAGGAATGGAGGGGGGAAATAAGGACTGTGCTTCGCTGTACCCATGGTTTTTGAGTCGACTCAAAAATCGACTCATCACGCACGAAGGGGAAGCATGGAATGAGGAGGAATGGAGGGGGGAAATAAGGACTGTGCTTCGCTGTACCCATGGTTTTTGAGTCGACTCAAAAATCGACTCATCACGCACGAAGGGGAAGCATGGAATGAGGAGGAATGGAGGGGGGAAATAAGGACTGTGCTTCGCTGTACCCATGGTTTTTGAGTCGACTCAAAAATCGACTCATCACGCACGAAGGGGAAGCATGGAATGAGGAGGAATGGAGGGGGGAAATAAGGACTGTGCTTCGCTGTACCCATGGTTTTTGAGTCGACTCAAAAATCGACTCATCACGCACGAAGGGGAAGCATGGAATGAGGAGGAATGGAGGGGGGAAATAAGGACTGTGCTTCGCTGTACCCATGGTTTTTGAGTCGACTCAAAAATCGACTCATCACGCACGAAGGGGAAGCATGGAATGAGGAGGAATGGAGGGGGGAAATAAGGACTGTGCTTCGCTGTACCCATGGTTTTTGAGTCGACTCAAAAATCGACTCATCACGCACGAAGGGGAAGCATGGAATGAGGAGGAATGGAGGGGGGAAATAAGGACTGTGCTTCGCTGTACCCATGGTTTTTGAGTCGACTCAAAAATCGACTCATCACGCACGAAGGGGAAGCATGGAATGAGGAGGAATGGAGGGGGGAAATAAGGACTGGGCTTCGCTGTACCCATGGTTTTTGAGTCGACTCAAAAATCGACTCATCACGCACGAAGGGGAAGCATGGAATGAGGAGGAATGGAGGGGGGAAATAAGGACTGTGCTTCGCTGTACCCATGGTTTTTGAGTCGACTCAAAAATCGACTCATCACGCACGAAGGGGAAGCATGGAATGAGGAGGAATGGAGGGGGGAAATAAGGACTGTGCTTCGCTGTACCCATGGTTTTTGAGTCGACTCAAAAATCGACTCATCACGCACGAAGGGGAAGCATGGAATGAGGAGGAATGGAGGGGGGAAATAAGGACTGTGCTTCGCTGTACCCATGGTTTTTGAGTCGACTCAAAAATCGACTCATCACGCACGAAGGGGAAGCATGGAATGAGGAGGAATGGAGGGGGGAAATAAGGACTGTGCTTCGCTGTACCCATGGTTTTTGAGTCGACTCAAAAATCGACTCATCACGCACGAAGGGGAAGCATGGAATGAGGAGGAATGGAGGGGGGAAATAAGGACTGTGCTTCGCTGTACCCATGGTTTTTGAGTCGACTCAAAAATCGACTCATCACGCACGAAGGGGAAGCATGGAATGAGGAGGAATGGAGGGGGGAAATAAGGACTGTGCTTCGCTGTACCCATGGTTTTTGAGTCGACTCAAAAATCGACTCATCACGCACGAAGGGGAAGCATGGAATGAGGAGGAATGGAGGGGGGAAATAAGGACTGTGCTTCGCTGTACCCATGGTTTTTGAGTCGACTCAAAAATCGACTCATCACGCACGAAGGGGAAGCATGGAATGAGGAGGAATGGAGGGGGGAAATAAGGACTGTGCTTCGCTGTACCCATGGTTTTTGAGTCGACTCAAAAATCGACTCATCACGCACGAAGGGGAAGCATGGAATGAGGAGGAATGGAGGGGGGAAATAAGGACTGTGCTTCGCTGTACCCATGGTTTTTGAGTCGACTAAAAAATCGACTCATCACGCACGAAGGGGAAGCATGGAATGAGGAGGAATGGAGGGGGGAAATAAGGACTGTGCTTCGCTGTACCCATGGTTTTTGAGTCGACTCAAAAATCGACTCATCACGCACGAAGGGGAAGCATGGAATGAGGAGGAATGGAGGGGGGAAATAAGGACTGTGCTTCGCTGTACCCATGGTTTTTGAGTCGACTCAAAAATCGACTCATCACGCACGAAGGGGAAGCATGGAATGAGGAGGAATGGAGGGGGGAAATAAGGACTGTGCTTCGCTGTACCCATGGTTTTTGAGTCGACTCAAAAATCGACTCATCACGCACGAAGGGGAAGCATGGAATGAGGAGGAATGGAGGGGGGAAATAAGGACTGTGCTTCGCTGTACCCATGGTTTTTGAGTCGACTCAAAAATCGACTCATCACGCACGAAGGGGAAGCATGGAATGAGGAGGAATGGAGGGGGGAAATAAGGACTGTGCTTCGCTGTACCCATGGTTTTTGAGTCGACTCAAAAATCGACTCATCACGCACGAAGGGGAAGCATGGAATGAGGAGGAATGGAGGGGGGAAATAAGGACTGTGCTTCGCTGTACCCATGGTTTTTGAGTCGACTCAAAAATCGACTCATCACGCACGAAGGGGAAGCATGGAATGAGGAGGAATGGAGGGGGGAAATAAGGACTGTGCTTCGCTGTACCCATGGTTTTTGAGTCGACTCAAAAATCGACTCATCACGCACGAAGGGGAAGCATGGAATGAGGAGGAATGGAGGGGGGAAATAAGGACTGTGCTTCGCTGTACCCATGGTTTTTGAGTCGACTCAAAAACCGACTCATCACGCACGAAGGGGAAGCATGGAATGAGGAGGAATGGAGGGGGGAAATAAGGACTGTGCTTCGCTGTACCCATGGTTTTTGAGTCGACTCAAAAATCGACTCATCACGCACGAAGGGGAAGCATGGAATGAGGAGGAATGGAGGGGGGAAATAAGGACTGTGCTTCGCTGTACCCATGGTTTTTGAGTCGACTCAAAAATCGACTCATCACGCACGAAGGGGAAGCATGGAATGAGGAGGAATGGAGGGGGGGAATAAGGGCTGTGCTTCGCTGTACCCACGGTGTATGTCCTGCCTGCCTGACCCTGTCTGTGTTGGTGCAAAAGGTGGAAGGCAAGGAGGGAGGAAAACGGAGGCCGGAAGTACCCACTTCTCATCCACGGACCATCCGGTTATCGTGTTTTGAGGCGCCTCAAAAGCCGCAAGGAGGGAGGAAAACGGAGGGGGGGAGGACCCACTTTTCGTCCACGGACCATCCAGTTATCATGTGTGCCCTCGTTTGAGACCTCCAGCTGCTCGTTCTCAATCCCTGATGCTCAATCCCTGATGGTACTTTTGAGAATTCTCAAAAGTACCATCATCGTGTGTGGCCTCGTTTGAGACCTCCAGCTGATCCTCGTCAATCCCCCCAGGCCCAAGCCGCAGAACCAGCACACACCACACCCGTGTCCGTCTCTCCCTCTCACCTGCCCATAGGCGAACACAGTAGCGTTGCCTCCCCCGAACAGCCCGTACAGCCCTTGTTCCCTGCTCTCGCTTGCCACTTCTCTCCTCTCACCCGTCAGTCCCCTCCCCCTCTCACCTGCCCATATGCGAACACAGTGGCGTTGTACCCCTCGAACAGCCCCAGCACCAGCGGCTCAATGCAGTCGTCAAACAGAAACGACATGGGCCGCCCACCGCCACCTCCGTACACATGGTCGTATGTGAATAGCCAATCAGGTAGCACTCGGACCTGTGATGGGGGGGGAGAAGCAGGAAAGGGTGTGGGGGGAGAAATGGTGTTAGCGGAGGTGAGGCGCAAGGGGACATGGGCCGACCACCGCCTCCTTCATACACATGGTCGTACGTGAATTGCCAATCTGGCAGCACTCGGACCTGTGATTGGGGGGAAGAGGTGGGGAGGCACGGGGTAGGGAGGCACGTGGTGGGGAGGCACGTGGTGGGGAGGCACGTGGTGGGGAGGTAAAGCCAAGGGAATTTGTTTTGGGGACAAGAGGACATGGTCTCACCACCGCACCCACGACATATATAACATTCCAGATGAAGCAGTAATGTGGAGAACCAGCCAGGCACCCACTTGGACCGCCATGCACCTCTCTCCGTGTCACCATTCTCAACCGCTCTGCACCAAATCGTTCCGCATACATATCTTTCATCGCCCATACACACCTGCGGCGCGCCTCCAGGGGGAACAGTGACGCACTCCATACACCTCGTTGTAAGCTCCCTCGATATAAGCGGTCGAATGTTCACCGCTACAGTCACAGGCTGCGGCCCATGCGCCACACCAATCAGCGCACTGCTGCTGAACTCCGCCCCTCCGCTAATTCCGCTGCTTCCGCCGCCCGCGCTGAACCCTGCACTGACCCCCGCGCCGATTCCTTCCCCCCCAGCGCCATATCCTCCCCCCGCGCCGTACGCCCCCGCTTTCGCGTCGGGGAAATACGCGCTCCTCCCTTCCGCGGAAAACCCTCCGCCGATCCCCCCTCCGCCTGCGCCGAATCCGAGCCTCCCTTCCGCGCTTGCGACTGCGCTTCCGCCATACATCCTTCCCCTTCCTTCCCCGCTGCTTGCAACACTCCGCGTGCGCCTCTCCGCTCCGCCCGCACCTCCCGCGCCTCCCCCGTCCAAACTCCCCCTCGCCCCCCGCGGCCGGGCCACCCACCCCATGGCCGGCCCGTCGTTCCTCGCCGGCGAAAGCGCCTCCTGTGGCCGGTAAGTCTCCTGCGGCTGGTAACTTTCCGGCCGGTAATTTCCGGGAAGGCTCATTCTCCTCGGCTCGGGCGGCGCGAATCCAAACATCCGCTCGCTCGGGGCGCGTACAAGCCCCCCGATAAAAGAACACCCGTCACTATCCGAGCCGCCGTTCCTCCACGACGGAGCCGCCAAATCTCCCGACGCCCTGACGGACGACGTCACCTCCGCAGATCGACGGAAATCGTTAAATTCTGACGGACGTCGGTAGTCGGCGAAGTCTGAGGGATCCGGCGACGCGCTGCGCGCGGGCTTGGGCCGCGGCGTCCATCCGAACCGCTGAGGGCTAGCTTGGGAGATCGTGGGGCTAACTTGAGCGATCATGAGGCTAGCTTGGGTGATGACGTGGCTAGCTTGGAAGGCTTGGGTGGAGTGCGTGGTTTGATTGATGTGACTAGCTTGGGTAATGTGGGTAGCGTGGGTGATCGGAGCGGCTTGGGCGGTGCGGGTGGCTGGACTGATGTGCGAAGGCTGCGCGATCTGCGAGCGTCCGAATCGCTCCGGGGTAGCAGCTCGCGGAAGCAGCTGCAGCTGGGTACGTTCCGCATGTTCCGCCGCACTCCGCGGCTGCGTGCTGACCGTTACAAGCGGCTTGTATTGAGTCGTCTCAAAACTCGCCGCACTCAGCTGCTGCGTGCTGACCGACAAACGCGGCTTCTGGGGACCGTAAAGAGTCAACAGCGAGTCGCTGGCAGCTCCCTGATTGGTTACCGTGGAACGCGGCGACTTTTGCGGGGCATCGAAGAACAAAGCCGGCTCCGTTATTCCCGCGTGGTTACTAACCGTTATAAGCGGCTTCGTAGCCGTATCAGAGCAATCAGAATCCGGGAGCAGCAGCTCCGTTGTACTTTCCTCCTCCGTGTCCGCAACCGTGCTCTCCGCGTTCGCGACTGAATGCCGCTTCTCTGCTCCCGGGTGCTGCTTCGGGGAGAGTGCCGCACTTGCTTTTTCCTGCGTTTTCAAGTCATGTTGCTTCTCTGCCCTCGACTGCTGCTCCGTACCGAGCGTCGTTTGCGCTTCCTGCTTCGCCGTGATTCGCGCCGGCCTCTCCGGCGGCTCTACACCTGTCGACTTGCCAGTCTGCAGCGCCACCTCCGCCGCATTCTCCGGAATAGTTCCCTGCTGCCGCTTCTCCTGATGCTGCGGCTGCTGTGGCTGCTGCCGCTCCTGCGTCTGCTTCTGCTGCTGCGTGTTCCCGAGCTCATGACTCACGGTACTCCCCGGCAGCAATCCTTCCATGACTGCGTCCGCTACTTTCACTTCTTGCCGAGACATTTGTGCCTCTTCTGGCGCTTTCTCGAAGTGTTTCACGAGCCTTTCAGGAACAGAATGCGTCTGCTGCGTGCTCTTATCGTCAAGACCCACGGCAGTCGTCTGCGTTGACTCATTCGAAGTCGCTACCTTGACGTGACGTGTCTGCTCCACATTTTTCTCCTCCAAAGTGCCCTCGAGGTTTTCCGGAGGAGTCTGCTGCTGCTGCTGCGGCACCTCCTGCTGCTCCTGCTCCTGCTCCTGCGGCTCCTGCTCCTGCTGCTGCTGCTCCTTCTGCTGCTGCTCCTGATTGTCGTCACTAGTTTGAAGAAGTTGGTGAGAAGCCATTTCCACTTCAGAGGAAACCCCCATCATTACCTGACTCGCAGGTACTTCTTGACCCGCGGACGTCTCTTGACCCGCGGGCGTCTCTTGAGCCACCAGCTTCTCTCCACCCTCCACCTCTTGGCTCGTCATTTTCTCCACTTGGACTTCTAATGGCTTCTCCTGCAGATTATCCCGCACCTCCTCCAGCACCTTCTCATGTACCTCCTCCTCTATCTTCTCCGGCATATCCTCCTCTATTTTTTCCTTCTTCTCCTCCATCTTCTCCTGCATTTTCTCTTCTACCTTCTCCTTCATCTCCTCCTCTACCATCTCCTGCACATTCTCCTGAAGCACGACGTCGACTCCCACTGCTCTCAAACCCGCTCTTCTATCCTCGCTCACCGTGTCGCTACCCTCGTTGGGCAGCCAAATAGCCGTTCCACTATTCTTAAAAACAGTCATTCCTTCCTCGCTCGCCGTACCCCTATCCGTTCCTCCATCCTCCGCCTGCGGGAGTTCCACGGCAAACGGCGGGGACAGCGCCGAAGTCGCCTCCTGTGACTCGTCCGCGCGGTCGTCAGTAAGGTTGGAGAACAGACCTGAGGAGTCTACCGATTCGGCAAACCCGTCCAGCCAAGCTACCTCCGACTCGCTCTCCGCTTGGTAAAACTGCTCCTCATTCCCCGCTTCCTCCACGCTTTCGTACAGTTTGACGTGTTCCTTCTTCGCTCCTTTTCTCCCTCCTCCCGACCTCCTATCCCCCGCGGGTTCCTCGCTTCCGAGGGACGCTTCCGAATCTTCCGTTTGAATCAAGTCTAGTGTCTCGGGTTCAGAAACCGCATCTGCATATATGGAACTTTTGGCCGGGGATTCATTCGGGCCCTGAACTGTGCTGGCAGGGGAGTCGGAATGTCTATTAATGGCATTGAATTCGGATGCTACAATGTTTTCCCTCCTTAGACTAGACTCCGCGGTTGCTCCTGGAGAGGAGTGACCATGAGTTTCGGATATAGAATCGGGACCCTCGTCTACCTCTCCCCACTCCATTGGCAACATAAGCGTCTAAACTCGTAGTCTAATTCGACGACTGTCACTTTATCTGCGGATATCTACTCAGCTATCAACATGTCCAAGAAAGGAAGTACGACTAGAAGATAGCCTGATTAATGGTCCTGCCTGCTAAAAAGGAAGAATTATTCCCGCAAAGTTCGGACTGCTGAGCGAGTCAGTCTCTACGCATCAACGAGGAGGTCCTTTCTATGGTCAGCTGATTCTGGTCTGCTGATTGTTTTGGCCTTGGGAAGAGAATTGACGAAGTTCGATGAAGGATTGATTGCTGACGGATCACGTTGGACGAATGGATGGGTGCTTGGCTGATTGGTGCAGAGCCGACGACGTTTGAAAAGAATGCCACATGCTCGCATCAAGACGAATTTCGTTTGGTTCGGAGACCGAGATGGTGTTTGTTGCTTCTGGAGCGTCGATTTTCACGTGACGACAAGACCGAAGCCGTCAAAACTAACGACGTGCTGCCCGAGAGCCAAGTTCAAACCAGGACCAGTTGGGGCCTTACAGGTTGGCGCCCATGTGCAAGGCACGAAGCGCGCCAGACCTCCGTCCGTCTGTTTGGGAGGGGAGCGAAGCCGTTGACCATACCAAAGCAGTCCAGGGTTCGAGTCGCGAAGTCATTCCCGCCTACATTTGAAAACCAACATCGAGGCTCGTTCAGGAGTTGTGTCAGGCCGTGTCAAGAGTGTTCTCACTAAATGTGTCTACACCTACGTATATGTTTCCCGTCACTTACAACTGCAAAGACTGAACTTCCAGATACTTCTCTGCCTTCCAGCTTCTCAGGAGAGCTGACGGGGTTTCCCAAGTCCTGAGAGGGTCGACACCGGACCAGTGACGTGGCGCCACTGAACAGAAACTATTGTCTATGGCGGAGATTGTGCACTCGACAGTAGCACCCTTCGATATGGGGGAAAATATGCCACACGTAACGAACATGGGACCCGATAACGTGATTGGTACCAAAAAAACACGTACGGTCACTGTATCGGGTTTCCTGACGGGTTTGGTAAGTGGGGTCACGGATTCAGTCACTAACAACAGGTGAAAAATCACGCGAATGGTCACACTTGTAACTCCCGCCAAAAATTCTTGAAACTCTACAATATTCCCGCTCGCGTCCAACCAATCAGCTAACTTCTAAAAAAAACTAAAACCCAATCGGAACTGGATGCGGTTTGGGAACGGATCAACCCTAAACACCTGGCGAATTGTGTTTAGGGTTGATTCATCCGAAAATGCATCCAGGTTCGTTTTGGGTATTATCTTTTTTGGGCGGGAGTTTCATGTGTGACCATTCGCGTTTTTTTTCTTCCCAGTTGATTGTGACTGATTCCGTGAAACGCTTTATCAAACACGTGAAAACACCCTTTCCGTTGACCGTACCCGTTTTTTTTTAAACCAAACAAATTATCGAGACCCTTGTTGATTACGTGTGGCATATTTTCCCTCGATATGGAGGCAGGGTTGTGCTTACACGTGGCATGAGCCAATGCGTGGCCGCAGAGTCGACACCTGGCACTATCAGGCCAGCGTGTCCGACCTTTTTCTCGAGATCAGTTTCGCAGTTCAGGCCAGCGATAGGTTACACTCTTCGCTAGTTCGTAGCTTGCCGCCAACCCACAGCAGAGGGCTTTTGCGAACTAAAAGGTTCTTCGCGAACACGGAAGTTCCAAGATTGTTGCTGATCCTTCCGCTCCTCCTCTCCCTTGCATGAATGTACTCACACAAATGTCTCCCTTCCCTTGTCATGTCAAGCACCTAGCATCCCTTTTCCCACATCCTTAGCCAAATTCCGTAGTGCTAATCAGTCCCCAGCTTCACCCTCACTTGCATGCACCTGAGTGCTTTAGCCAGGTCGGTCGTTTCGGGTGACTGCAAGACATTTATTGACGGTGTTTCCTCATTGTGCAGATGGTGTTATCACGCGTAATTTCGAAAATGGAGACCCCAGGCTTGACCCTCCCCAGATACCATTCAGCCACACCCAGACTACGAAATGCTGCTGTGTGCTTGAGAACGAGCGTTCCAGCATCCTCCTTCTCCCTACAAACAAAAACCAAGACTTCGCTACCTCGGTTCAAGCTCCAGCTGGTACGCTGCCGGTTAGCTGGTTATAATCGCTTTTTAGAATTCTCGAAAATGTGTCCAATAGAGTCATTTTATGTAAGCTGGCTGAACCTTCTTATTTACTCCGGTGTGTGTTGCTTTCTTGCAGGCAAGAGATCAGATTCGCTACCAGAGAATACCAGCAGGTATGCTGAGTCAGCATCGTTCCCTACCACCAGCGTACTACCCCTTTCATCCCTCCTCTGCTCAGTTCAAATTTCGTTTCGTGTCTAATTCATCTTGTTGTCCACGCATTGTCCCTGGTTGCAGTTGCTGTAGCTGCAACTGCGGAAAGTGCAGCGAATTCCGCTAAGGGCGTCAAGGTGCAGATTACTCTGGTCAGAGAATGCGGATTCGGTCAGGCTTTCGGGGTGGTGGGAGGAGCGCCGGAACTCGGCCAATGGGAACCGAGCAGAGCGCTTCAGATGGAATGGTCGCCTGGCCACGTCTGGTCGGCGCAAACTGTGAGTTGCTTTCCTCTCTCACACCTCTGGCCTTCCATCCAGTTCACCCCCCAGTGTTAAATTCCCGTCAGTTATCGTTAATCTTGATGACCTCGAGCTGAACCTACGAAAATGATCACTCGAAATAGTTTCCGCGACCAAACAGATTGTATCCAACCTAATCGTAAAATCCCCCCATCAATTCTGTCAGGTGTTGCCTGCCGGGTCACGGATCGAGTTCAAGATCATCATGGTGACAGAAAATGGAGATATCGTGTGGCAACCAGGCCCGAATAAGACAGCCGTGGTCTCCAACGCCAAGGTGAAGCAGCTTCTTCACCTCCCCTGGGACAACGAGGACCTTCCGCCTCTTCCGCGGACGGCGGACGTTGGCGCAGTGAAGGCAGGCGCGGTAGCGCTTGCTCCGGAGTTTCAAGAAGCGGAGCTCGCGAGCGGGAATCCATCATTGAAGGTACAGTATGAGGGTCTGTGTTCTTTGCTGTTGGTCCTAGCTTAGCTTCGCTGGTAGAAGCACTTCTATGCGGCCAAAGAAGCGGAATAACGGAAAGGGTCAGACTAAGACTGAGCGGTCTTTCACAATTCTCAAGTACGACTACCGTCTAGGCACTGTCAGTCACCTACGGCCGCCTAAGACCGAGCGATCCACTGTCACCAACGGCTTGCAGGGAGCGGGCGAGGAGAAGGCAGAGGCGGCTGAACGCACTGAGCCGGCGGTTGAGGCGGCTGTAGCGCCCTCCGCACAGGCGAAGGAGGCAAGTGGCGGGCAGGCGCAGGAGAAGGCCGAGAAGGAGGCCAGGGAGGAGGAGGCAGTGGAGAAGACGAGAGCTGAGGCTTCCCCTCCGGAACCAGACGCTAAAGAGGTGAGGCGTTGGCCGTTGAGCGTACCTTTGAGCGTGCCTTCGAGCGTGCTTGTAGGGATGGTGAACGGGCGAAAGGTGGGTAGCGTGGCGAAACAAGCAGCGGTTTATCTTGTGGAAGGCAGAATCGGAAAGGTCGACCTTGTAGCCAGCGCCAGATGGGTTAAGGTCGTGACTGTTACGAAGCTAGGATGGGCTACGGGTGCTCACGCATACTCTGAAGTATGCCACACATGCTCGGAATGTGGACGAATTTGTTTTCTCAACCCCTCCCCTGCCCCCCAACACAACTCCGCCTGGTGTTCCCCAACATTCCCCCCACATTCCCATACATCCGTCAGCCCAACTCCGTCCCCGCTGATGACCAGCCTGCCACCTCATCCATGCTGCCAGTTCAGCCCCCCATTGCATTTACTTGGAATATAACAGTACCAAACCTCCCACTCTCACACGATAGATACTGATGTAGAGCCGAAGCCCTACGCTGGAGGCAGGGAGTGGAAGGGAGGTGGGGAGGGGGGATCACTCACAATCTTCCCACATAGGGGCGTAAATCCTATGCCGAGCCATTATGTCTCTCAATCTTCCCCATCCCCCACAATTTTCCACACACCTTACAAGCCCAATTGCCTTCCATGAACTTTCCTATTTCCTACAGTCCACCTCCCCCTCCCCCCCTCCTCCTCCCCCTGCTCGAAGTTCTCCATTTATGACCTCTCCTCTCCACTCCCTTTGATTTTTTTTCCACTCTCACAACCAGGGCACTAAGCAAGCGGGTCAAGGCTCCAAGGAGGAGCCTGTCTCACCAGAAGCTCGAGTGCTGCAGGCAGATGCAGCGTGGGGCCAACGCGTCTGGGGGTTGCGAAGTTATCTTCCTCCTTCCCCGCCCTCGCAAAGTTCATCATTCACAACCTTTGTAACCCCCTGTGATCTCCCCGTTTTCACAACCAGGGCACCAAGCAAGCAGGGCAAGCCCCTAAGAAGAAACCCGTCTCGCCAACTGCTCGAGTGCTGCAGGCAGATGCAGCATGGGGGCAGCGCGTGTGGGGTTCGCTAATTTCCTCTTGGGGACGCCAATCGCTGATGGACGAGGAGACGGACCGGAATTAGGGTTTCACTCGTTCTGAGGAGTTTTGGGGCGCCTCAAAGCTTGATTTCGTCGTGGAATCGCAAATCTCTGATATATCGGAAGTGTTGGATTGGTATAAGGGTTTCACGTCATCCAAGAATTAGCACGTGTTGCTGGCTTTCCTCCCTGTCTCCTAAGCAGAAGATGGCACTGATATGTGCAGTTACTAGCATTGTGCATCTCTTATCATTTATTTTTTGCCTGAAAGGCCCCCAGCCAATGTCTTAATTTTCGGTTTTGCTGCCTCTTCGACTACTAAAGCACGACCATGTTAGTGCAAGCAGTTGGGCTTGGATTTCAGATTGCGTCCAACATCATGTCTATTTTGTAGGGTACCTTTGAAGTCATACACAGAATATCAAGCTCACACACTTGATACTGTAGTTTTGCCAAGAGGGTTGTAGGGTTGGTCTTGGGTAGCATTGTGGACAGTCATCTTATCAGATACTCCAATAGGTGTGACTCGGGTGATAGGGATTCAGATACTCCAATAGCTCCAGGCCATCAGCCATTGACTCAGGCCCTTTTATTGTTTGCCAACAAGGTGAGTAGAGAGAGCAGGCAGAAGCATGGGATTCTCATCGCACACCTTACCAAACCACATGGATTGAAGTCACGTAGTATGATATCATAAGGTCTGTACAAATAACAATTAAGATAGCTGTCTATGTGGCTCTGTTCGTAGTATGATATACTCAGGTTAACTCGATGGCATGGAGAAACCTAGTGATACCGTATTGCACTCACGAGCTTATATTGCACGATGGTGGCAACTCAGCCACCAAGGGATAATGTGGGAAGAAGTCCTACCAGAGCAGACGGCATCAACAACATCATGCCACTAAGAAAAAAACCCTTTTTGGATATACCTCTCCCACCGTAGCTTTGGAAGCACGGCAAGAAAGTAGTACCTAGGACTCTCCATATTACCCCAGTAAATCTCCGAAATTTTAGGCCTATTGCACGAAAACGTGCACTACACTTCAGGCGTGGTACCCTCTGCTTCCGCTCAGTCGCGAAGCCTCCATATCATAATCCGACATGGCAGACACGGCATCCACATCTGTCCTTTCAGGCGCCTCAAAAGTATAACTGCTTATCTTCACGCGTGGTACCCTCTGCTTCCGCCGCTCATCTGCGAAGCCTCCATGTCATAATCCGACATGGCAGGCGCCGCTTCGCCATGCGTCCACTGCTTGTACTTGCCCTTAAGCTTATCCGACATCTGATGCTTCGACGAAGCTGCGGCGCTAGCCGCCTCCGCGTTCGCGCGGCGATCCGCCTCCTCCTCGCGCTGCATCTTCGCGACAAGCTTCGCCGTCGCGACCGCTTCGAGATCCTCGTTATAGTCAATGAACCCGCACACGTGGATCATGGTCGCGAGCAGCAGGACGACCATCTGCGCGGCGAAGAGAACGAAGTAAAGCGCGCCGACGATTCTCACGTACTGCTCGCCGACAGCTTCCGTCGACATCGTCGGATCAACCGCATCAACGGTGTTGTTGAACAGGAGGAAGGTGCAGAGAAACGACGCGCATAACCCGGCGGAGCTAACGGCGAGGCAGAACATGTGGCAGTTGAAGCAGCCTGCTTGACCTGACGAAATCGTGCCGAAAAGCCCCGAGATTACAACGAGGACGCCGAGGAGGATGAAAGCCCAGCCTGTGAGTGTAGGCGAGGACCTTATAACGAACTGGAGAACGATGGTGGAGATTGCGCCGAGGACGATGACGATGTTGACGAATCGCAGGAAGCTCTTCGACATTTCCGAGATGTTGCCCTTGAGCGACTTCTGCGGCTTCGCCATGGCGACCTGCTGCGACGGCTGCGACGGGTGCGAGGGTTGCGATGCGAGGGCTGCGAGGGGAGCTAGAGTTGCTGCGTGCTGTGCTGCAAGGGAGCTACGGAGCTGCTGCGGGGTTCACGAGATAAATGATTCCGGAAAACGCTGTGCTTGATTACGCGGAATATTTAGACCCCTGTTTTAGGTCCTACTAGTAAGCTCGGGAACCGCCTACTGCAGCTGCGAGCCCGAATTATGTTTCAGCTGGTGTTTCCCTGAGCTGGACGGATCAAGCAATGTTCGTGCCGGAGCAATGAGCGAATGCTTTCCAGGACACAGGAGCAGGCCTCCAGACGCGAGCAGTCAGCAGCCACTTTTGCGGGGTATCAATCTTGGAAAGCCGTGGGAATGCGCGGAGGAATTGCAACCAACTAGGAGTCACGCATACTAGTCACGCGAGATCGAAGCAGCGGCTGAGTGAAGGCGGAAGGGAACTAGTCGAGGCGGAGCGAAGCGAAGCACAAATGGCACTCCTTTGTGTTGTTCGTTGGCACTCCCTGCGTTTCAGTGCATAAGCTGGGCTCCAGGGTACGAAAGTCTGACTGACTGCGCTTCCTGCTGCTCCAGCTAGTCAGCCAAGCATGGATGTTCACAGGGAACCTCGACTTGAAAGGTAAAACGCGAGGCGTGAGAGACGTTTTTCTAGGTTCAAAAACGTTTGATCGTGGTTCATAGCGGTGGGTCAACCTTCGACGCTGGAAACCAAACCGAAAGTTGCGGTCAGGAGGTGCGGCTGCGCGGGACTGTCTGTCATCTGTGCGACCCGGCGAACCATTTCAGGCATCGCCCATCCGTCATTCACCTTGATGCTTTCGCCAATCAATCCGCGGGGCTGGAAACATGTCCGCAGATGGGGGAGCTGGGGGCGGACTTGAGTGTGGGGGAAGGCCAGGGGGTTCGGGAATATCGCGGACACAGCGGAGTTGCGTGAAGAAGCGAAACGCGCTGACGCTCAGAGCGAAATCTGCAGCTTCTGTAACCAGCGTTCAGGTGGGGGAATGCGTGTCGCACTGTTCGCATGACCGTTTCAGCTTTGGTGAAAGGCGCTTCGAATTGTGTCAGCGACCCAGGAATTTGTCTTCGATAAGGCAAGGCACCCTTACTGTACAATACCCGTTAATAAAATCACTACAGCATTAGAAATGTCGATGTCGTTGAAGGATTTGTTCACACGAAGTGTGCGACGCCCTCGACGACGCAGTCCAATCATGCAAGATCCCAATTACTCCATCCGCTTGTCAAGAGTTGGTTTCAGGCGGTTCTGTAGGTTCTAGAAAGTTATAGCGTGCACTAAGTCCGGTTTCGAGCGAACTTACAGCCTCTATTTTTTTAACCTCCGCATTCTCATCCGTACGACCTGCGAGTATGCGACGTGCTGTGTGAACTCCCCGCTTGGTACCCCCCTGTCGTCCAGGTATCTTGGTTCGGCTGGCCACAAGCCACAAGGGCTTCAAACGAAACAGCTTCTGCGCAAAAACGCGTACACATCTGACCACCAGTGGTTCTACACCACACAAGCTGCCCAGTCCCCAACCAGTGGCAACACCAGCTAAATAGTATCCTCGACTCAACTGTCATTCCATAGAACTCCAGGGAGCCGTTGCATTGCCGGGTAGTTATGTCATAACCTAACTCTCTACGCCCAGCTTTAGCACGAGTCGTGACATTTTGCTCGTAGTAGCGACTCGAGTGTAGATGCCTACTGCACTTTCACGGCTCGGCTTTGACTACCCTGTTTATCATGCCCCAATATTAGCTTCGACAGATTCGAGCTCTTTTCCGTCTCTATAACCTGACTGTTTTAGTTCCGGATACGTTTCAACCTTCTCGCAACATTCCGTACGCGTTTGTTGACGACTCGTTCCGCAAACGCCGCTAACCGTTCAGGCTTCTCGAGAGCAGTGCCGTGCAAATCAGTGTTCCTCAGTATCATTGTGTTAAGTAGAAGTCGCGTTCTAGTAAATCAAGTTAATATTCACGAATTCATCGCTAGACCAGAGAGTAATAAGCAGATCTTGTTCAACTTCGTCGCACGGGACCTTATAGCAATATTGAGGAATACCATCGACAACGACTCTCGTATTTCTGCCTATTTGTTGAAGTGAAGTCGAGGCGAGATCTGCTGCAAGCCTGAGTTAGGGTTTGAAGCTTAAGAAGTTGGTTGTGGGACTACGTGGCGTGATACAATTGGAGGCCGAGGGAACGGGGTAGAATGACGTCAGGCTTGCGTCAGCAACGGCTCTGTCGGACGTCAGCATGACGAAGGTTTACCAGGCGTGGAAAGGCAGCAATGTAAGCATGCGTCGCCCTTCCAGCCATGTCCCCATGCACCATGCAGCCATGTACCCATGCACCATCCAGCCATGCACCCTGCAGCCATGCAGCGATGCGCACATACAACCATGTAGCCATGCAGTCATGCAGCCGTGTAGCCGTGTAGCCATGCACCCATGCGTCCATGCACCCATGCGTCCATGCACCCATGCGTCCATGCACCCATGCGTCCATTGTACCCATGCGTCCATTGTACTCATGCGTCCATTGTACCCATGTTCACCCTTTCACACATGCACCCTTTGAGCCATGCATCCATGCACCCATGCAGCGATGTTCCCATCCAACCGTGCATTCATCCACCGATTTAGCCTTGCACCAATGCATTCATGCGTTCATGCACCCATGCACCCATGCACCCATGCACCCATGCACCCATGCATTCATGCAGCCATGCACCCATGCACTCATGCATCCATGCACCCATGCACCCATGCTCCCATGCACCCATGCTCCCATGCACCCATGCACCCATGGCACCCATGCACCCATGCACCCATGCATCCATGCATCCATGCACCCATGCATTCATGCACCCATGCATTCATGCACCCATGCACCCATGCACTCATGCACCCATGCACCCATGCATTCATGCACCCATGCACCCATGCACCCATGCACCCATGCACCCATGCACGCGTGCAGATTGTAGACCAGCTCGCTCCCTCTCAGACTCACCTCCCACCATCTCATGACCACCACCCCACCCCACCCTCCTCCCCATCCGCCCCCATCCCCCTCCCCTCGCGCATCCCTTCCCTTCGCATGTCCCTCGCTCTCCTCACCCTTTTCCGATACCCAAGCCTCCTCCCACTCCCCCTTGCCCCTACCATTCCCCTCCCCTCTCCCCTTCTCCCCCTCTCCCTCCCTCTCCCCCCCCTTCACCCCTTCCATTCCCCACCCCGCCCCCTCTCCACCCGTACGCTTCCCCAGCGTTTCTTGTGCTGGGGGCGTTTCATCTTCGGCCCGGACGTACGGTCGCTGGTCATCTCCTTCGTCCTCATCCTCGTGCCCGGCACACTCTTCTGCATCTTCGTAGCCGCGCCCTACGCGGGGAAGCTTCCCGGAGGCATTGCCGTGCTTCCCGTTTCCATCTGCTTCGTCATCTGGGTATGTGTTTTAGGCTCATAGGTTCCTTGTTAGATTGAACGACCTGTGAAGGACCTTCTGACCTCCTTTCCCTTACAAGTTTCTCCCAATACAACCCAAGCTTCTACCCCCTTACCCTCCTCTTGCTCTCCCTTTCTCTGACTTCCCATCCCTCCCTTCCCTCCCTCCCCTTCCTCCCCTCCCTCCCTCCCCACCACCGTCCCTCCTCTGTCCCTCAGAATCTCTTCATTCTACTCGTGACAGCGAGCAGGGACCCGGGCATCGTACCTCGCAACCTGGTGCCACCGCAGCCAGATGAAGAGGCAGGGGGCGACCAACGCATAACATGCTGAGAAAAGTCGAAGTACCCTGCCCGCCCCTCCCCACCTTTCCCTCCCCGCCCCCCCTCCCGCCACCACCTTTCCCTCCCCTCCCCCCTTTGACCCCCTACTCCCTTCACCAGAATCTCTTCATTCTGCTCGTCACAGCGAGCAGGGATCCGGGCATCGTGCCTCGCAACCTCGTGCCACCGCAGCCAGATGAAGAGGGGAGGTGACCTGACTATCTCATTTCCTCCCTCCCACCCCCTCCCCTCTTTTTCCCTCCCCACCACCCCCATGCTCCCTCAGAATCTCTTCATTCTGCTCGTGACAGCAAGCAGGGACCCGGGCATCGTGCCTCGCAACCTCGTGCCACCACAGCCAGATGAGGAGGCAGGGGAGCAGGCAGCGGGAGGGGCGCCGAAGAAACTGCCGCGGGCCAAGGAGGTGGTGGTGAACGGGCATACGGTCAAAGTGAAATACTGCGACACCTGCCTGCTGTACCGGTGGGTGGGCTGGAGGGTACACTGTGTGCGTGCGCTGTGCTTCTGTGTGTGCTTACCTTTAGCGGACTCACGGCTTGGGCCAAGGAGGAGGTGGTGAACGGGCACACGGTCAAAGTCAAGTACTGGGACACCTGCCTGCTGTACCGGTGGGTGGGTGGGTGTGCTGGAATGTCTGTTGTGTGTTCTGTGCTCTTGTGTGCGCTGAGCTTCCCTTGAATACGGCAGCACAGCACGAGCCAAGGAGGTGGTGGTGAACGGGCATACGGTCAAAGTGAAGTATTGCGACACCTGCCTGCTGTACCGGTGGGTGGGTTGGGGAGTCTGCTGCATGCTATGTGCTCTCTTCTGTGTGCGTGCCTTGAAGCCCTTCAAGTGAAAGCACGAGGCAAGGAGGAGGTGGTGAACGGGCATACGGTCAAAGTCAATTACTGCGACACATGCCTGTTGTACCGGTGGGTGAGTTGAGTCTCTAGACCTCTTAAAATTGGGCGACTTGGAGTGATTGCTCTATACTTATGGGTGCATGTCTTGCGCTTGAACTGCCTGGAAGCAAGAGCCAAGGAGGTGGTGGTGAACGGGCATACAGTCAAAGTCACGTACTGCGACACATGCCTGCTGTACCGGTGGGTGTGTTGGGCGTGTTGTGTTTTGGTGAATCGGTGCAATGAGCAGTCTGCTGTGTGCTCTGTGCCCTTGTGTGCACTTCCCTCCCTTGAGGCGCCTCGAATGAAAGCACGAAGGTCTTGCACTCGTGTGCATTTGACGCCTCCATTTTTTTATTATTATTATGTTTTAGTTGCTTCATATGAGCTGAGTACCCCCTTCCCTTCTAATTGTCCTAAATCCTACTGTCCCGTTTCTTTTCCTTCAACCCCCTCTCCCGTTCCTGAATGGTGACAAACCAGGCCGCCCAGATGCTCGCACTGCAGTATATGCGACAACTGCATCGAGAAATTCGACCACCACTGCCCGTGGGTGGGGCAGTGCATTGGACGGGTGAGTAGTGGGTGTTTCGGGTTTGGGCTTGAAGGCAGTGCAGGGTGAACCGTGGGTGGGGCAATGCATTGGCGAAGTGAGCAGAGTGTGTTTCGGGTTTGGGCTTGTTGTTGGGCTTTAAGGTGAGTGCAGAGCAGATGCTCCCACTGCAGCACATGCGACAACTGGATCGAGAAATTCGACCACCACTGCCCGTGGATGGGGCAATGCATTGGACGGGTGAGTTGAGGGTCTAGGTGATGCAGAGGGTGGGGCAATGCATTGGCAGGGTGAGAGTAGCGACATAGACTTCTTGCAGTGTAGCACTTTCCCTCCTTCCATGTTCCATCCGCTTCATCCCTCCTGTGCTCAAATCGTACCAACGTTTTCCCAAACCACTGCCCTCACCCTACTGCCCAAGCCCGGAAGGGGTATACGCAACCCCACTCCGGCCATCCCCCTCCCCTTTAGCCCGTTACCCCTTTTCCTCATCTTCTGCTCCCTCTCCCTCCCCTGCCCCCCCTCCCCGCTCCCCTCTTTGCAGCGCAACTACCCCTTCTTTTTTCTCTTCGTCACCACCACCACGCTGCTCTGCATCTTCGTCTTCACCCTCTCAGCCTTCTACATCAAGCTCCTCGTAGACAACTCCTACCCGGGCGCCAGCGGGCAGAGCATCTCGCTTTTAGAGGCGCTGGGAAAGGGGTACATGGCCATCAGCCGTCCCCCTTCCTTATCAACCCTTGTTCTCATTCTCCTGCTACCCCTTTTCCCCCTCTGCCCCCCTCCACTCTCTCCCCTCCCGCAGCGCAACTACCCCTTCTTCTTTCTCTTCGTCACCACCACCACGCTGCTCTGCGTCTTCGTCTTCACCCTCTCAGCCTTCTACATAAAGCTCCTCGTAGACAACTCCTACCCAGGCGCCAGCAGGCAGAGCATCTCGCTGCTAGAGGCGCTGGGAAAGGGGTACATGGCAGCGGTGCTGATGGTATACACGTTCATCATGGTGTGGTTCGTTGGCGGGTTGACAGGCTTTCATTCGTTCCTCATCTCGCGCAACCAGGTGTGTGTGTGGCTAGTGGTGGGCTGCTATCCCCCCCTAAGGGGTTAACCGCTGGGAAAGGGGTACATGGCGGCGGTGCTGATGGTATACACGTTCATCATGGTGTGGTTCGTGGGAGGGTTGACTGGCTTCCACTCCTTCCTCATCTCGCGCAACCAGGTGGGTACAGGGTGCACTGGAGTTTACTAGCTCACTTCACCACCTGCTCGTGCCTCCCTGCTGGCCGTGCTGGGGAAGGGGTGCTTGGCGGCGGTGCTGATGGTATCGACGTTCATCATGGTGTGCTTTGTTCGTTGGTGGTTTGAGTTGACTCAAACATGGTGTGCTTCGTTCGTTGGTGGTTTGAGTCGACTCAAACATGGTGTGCTTCGTTCGTTGGTGGTTTGAGTCGACTCAAACATGGTGTGCTTCGTTCGTTGGTGGTTTGAGTCGACTCAAAACATGGTGTGCTTCGTTCGTTGGTGGTTTGAGTCGACTCAAAACATGGTGTGCTTCGTTCGTTGGAGGGTTAACGGGCTACGAGAACTTTCGAGTGCGCTACGAGAAGAAGGCCGACCCATACCCCAAAGGACCCTACTATCTCCATCCGTCTCCACCCTTTTCTTCCCTTCCTCCTCTCCTCCCGCCCTTACTTCATCAGACCACGTACGAGAACTTTCGAGCGCGCTACGAGAAGAAAGCCAACCCATACAACCGCGGGTGTCTGCACAACTGGCGCTCCGTGCTCTGCTCTCCCATCCCCCCCTCCCGCCACAACTTCCGAGCCGACGCCCCCGAACCTCCCCCCACCGTACCTCCCGTTACCGACCCTACCTCCTCTTCCAACCATGCTCTGATACCAACGGCAAATACCAACGGGCACACGCATGACGACGCGCAGAGGAACGGAAATGGGGTGCCGTATATGAATGGTCTGGTCCCATATGCCCCTTATGCTCAGTACAACACCACACCTTCAGACCCTGCTGCTGCTGCTGCTGCAGTGCCGGCAGGAACAGCAGCAGCGGTGGCAGCGGCAGCAGGTGTGGCAGGAGTAGCAGTCAATGCAGTATCAGTGCCACGAGTAGGATCAGGAAGAGCGGGAGGGCTAGGAGGAGGGGGGGTAGGGGGACTGGAGGCTGGGGGAACGAGCGTGATAGACCCAGCAGCAGCAGCCGACGAATCAGAAGCCCCCATTCTTCCCGCCATGCGTAACCGCAACTCCCGACCCAACTCCCGCCGAACCTCCCCAGCCTCCATACCAGGGTCTCGCCGAGCCTCCCCAGTAGGCTCGTGGAAAGGCTCCCCAGGGCACGGTTCAAAGCGGAATTCCCCCCACCACCACGGGTCGTCTCGTCTCAGTTCCCCCGGTCTATCCGGCAGATCACCAGTCAATAAGAGGCAATCAGAATACGATTTAGTAGAATCAACTCGACTGACAGATGATGAGGGAGGCAGGATTGCGGATCAGATAGTGGAACTGGGGAGAATGCCGGATGGTTACATGGCAGGTGGAGCCGGGGAGGAGAGTGTGGATAGCAGTGGTGTTCCGAGGAGTGTGAGTGGGAGGAGGAGTGGGAGTGGGAGGCGGAGAGGGGAGGAGATCGTGGTGCTGGAGGGGAGTGAGGGGAAGGAGCGGAGAGATGAAGTGGGTGGTGGTGAAGAGGTGGTGGTGGATGTGCCAATTGTAGGGTGATGCTTTGGCTGGAAATGAGAAAGGCGAACAGGATTATGCCAGTGAAGTTTATGAAATCTTGTCTCTTTTTGACCTGGTAGGGGGCTTCATCAATCCTTGTGTGTGTGCGTTGTGTTGATATTTTAGCTTTTACGGTTTCGCATTAATACCGTACCATACAGATTTATCAGACTATTGTACGATACAGAACGTGCTCTGCTCTCATACCTATGTACTACAATAACTTGTTTCGCTAGCACAGCTATGTACCGTACCGTAAGGGTCACAAATGGCTTGCTTGTAGGTGCAATACATTACACACAATAACTTCCACTAGCCTGTTTGCCAGATGCTCCAATCCAATCCAACATGCTCTGCTGAGAAGAGTCTGCTGAACGCAGGAGCACTTGTCACACAGTACACATTGCTCCAACACGAGTCTGTTAGAATAAGCACCAGTAGCACCTCCAGCACCAACAGCACCAGCACCTCCAGCACCAGTAGTACCTCCAGTACCTCCCGTGCCAGCAGCTCCAGTAGCACCTCCAGTACCTCCAGCACCAGCAGCACCACCTGCTCCGGCAGCTCCAGCACCTCCAGTACGAGCACCTCCGGGACCTGTAGCTCCAGCACCTCCAGTACCTCCAGCTCCAACGCCTCCAGCACCAGCAGCACCAGCACCTCCAGGGTCAGCAGCTCCCGAAGCTCCAGCACCAGTAGCACCAGCACCTCCAGTGCCAGCAGTTCCAGCACCCCCAGCACCTCCAGTAACAGTAGTACCTCCAGCACCAGCAGCTCCAGTACCTCCAGCACCGGCAGTACCTCCAGTACTAGCAGCTCCAGTACCTCCAGCACCAGCAGCAGCTCCAGTACCCCCAGCACCAGCAGCACCTCCAGCACCTCCAGGCCTAGCAGCTCCAGTACCTCCAGCACTCGTAGCACCTCTAGTACCTCCAGTAGTGCCTCCAGCACCTCCAGCACCAGCAGCACCTCCTGGACTAGTAGCTCCAGCACCAGCAGGACCGTACCCTCCACCACCAGGACTGCCTCGCCGAACGACCCACGAACGAATCGCCTGCGGCGAGAGCGTCTCAAGTAGAGCAGGCTGCGGTGGCTGTCCAGCTCCAGTACCTCCAGCTCCAGGACCTCCAAAAGGACTCGCAGCACCCCCAGAATCAGCACCCGAAGTCTCAGCACCCCCAGAGTCAGCACCCAAAGTCTCAGTACCCTCAGTCCCAGCACGCGCAGGCTCAGTGCCCTCAGTCCCAGCACCCGCAGGCTCAGTGCCCTCAGTCCCAGCACCCGCAGGCTCAATACTCTCAGACCCAGCAGCCGCAGGCTCAGTACCCTCAGTCCCTGCACCCTCAGTCTCAGCTCCAGTGTCCACTGCAGAAGGCTGCAGAGGCGGGAAACTGGGGGGGGTAGCCAAACGAGGAGAGCAGACACCCCCAGACATACCACCCCCAGGCCCAGCTCTAGCAGCCTCAGCTCCAGAGTCCACAGCAGCAGGCTACGGAGGTGGTGAAGACGGCCGAGGCGGGAAACCCGGGGGGGTCTCCAAGCGAGGAATGCGACGAGTGGTCGCCGTGTCATCGGCGGCGGTGTCACCCCCCTCAGCTGGGTCAGAGGAGTCAGAAGAGATCTCCACTGGCTCATCCAAGGGGGGGTCTACCTGAGACACACCTGAGGGAGCAGGACCCTGTGGGGGAAGGGGGTCTACCGGGGGGGGGACTGGTACCAGGAAGAGAGGCGCGAGGGGGACTGGGCGAGACGCGTGTGGGTGAAGTTGGTAGTAACAGACCGACTCGTCGAAGGTGACGTCCTGAGAGGACAGAACACGACGCGAGGCAGGGTGGTAGAACTGCCAGGGCGAGGCGTCGGTGAGGAAGCCCAGGAAGACACAGCGGAGAGTGCGAGGAGAGAGCTTGCTCGCTTTGGTATCGCGAACAAGGGAGAACGCGCCCCAGACCCGAAACGACGACGCGTCACCAGGCTGTCCCGTCCAACGGAGTGTGGGCGAGGTCTCTGGAGCAGAGACACGGGGCCAGAGGTTGAGCTGATGCGCGGCGTATCAGACCGCAAACGGCCACAGGAAATGGGGAGCAGCCGCATGGATCATGGAGGTACGAGCAACCTCCATGATCAGGCCAATGCGACGCTCAGCGATCCCATTTTGCTGCGGAGAGGCCGGAAGCGTGAACGACTGGGCGATGCCCTCGTCCTGACAGAACGTCTCAAGGACGCCAGAGGAGAACTCACCACCCCTGTCAGAGTGCAAACACAGGACTGGGAATTCCTGATGAAAACGCTCGTGCAGCTGGAGACGAGTAGCACGGATCCAGGGGATCAAAACACCGCTGACGTCCGCCTTGCGCCGCAAGGGGAAGACGGTGGTGTAGCGTGTGTAGTCGTCAACAACCAGCAGGAAGTAGCGCTCCTGGTCCGTTCCACCGACTGGGGCCGGGCCCCACACGTCCATGTGGAGAGTCTGCAGAGGAGCAGTGGTCGGAGGAAACTCGGAGGAGTGAGGAGCGGCGCGCTGCCGCCCCTCGACGCAAGGAAGGCACGGCGGGGCAAGCGAGCGCGGCAGGGGGGGCAGGGTCCTGGGGAGGCCAGAGACAAGGGGACGGGAGTGCATACTGCGTAGACACGGCAGGGAGGGGTGACCAAGACGGTGGTGTCAGCGCTGAGTCTCGTCCATGAGTACTCTGCACGAGCAAGACGCAGCTAACTGTCCCGACGCAGACGCCCGACTCGACGCAGCCACCTGACCTGACTCAGCCACCTGTGCAGACGCAGTGGTCAGTGTGTACAGACTAGACCCAGGCTGTCGAGTGAACGTAGCCAGGTGACGGCCAGTCTGGGAGCACGTACAGATCGCCACACGCTGCCCTCTAGGAATAAAGGTATCAACCCAGACATCCTGAATGGCAGCGTTGCTCACCAAGTTCGTCGAGAACGTGGGGAGGTGGAGACCTGACAGAGAACCGGAGGGGACTACTGGACAAGGGAGGACCGTGGAGGCTCTCGCAACTACTGGGCCCCCAGAGGGGTCAGCCAGTGAGACTGGGACAGGTGCTGTGAGTGGTGTGACTGTGGTGCAATCACGAAAGAAGCAACGTGACGCGCCTGAGTCAAGTGTGAAAGTGTGCAAGACCTCAGCGGAGGCAGGACCTGTGGCAGTAGATGCACTAGCATCTAGAGCGTCGGCAGACTCACGAGCACCTAGAGCTGCAGCAGACTCAAAAGCACCTGGAGCGGCAACAGACTCACTAGCACCAAGAGCAGCAGCCTTAACACAACGATAACCTCCACCACCAGGCCTGCCTCGCTGAACAACCCACTCACGAAGCTGCTGAGGGGTGGGGTCGTCCGGAAGAGGCAGTGCCCGCTGCTGTCCACCCCTGGCCGCAGCAACTGCCGCGTTAGTGGCCATGACAGACAGCGACGGTCAGGAGTAGGTCCAGCACCTCCAGCTCCTCCAGCAACAGCAGCACCTCCAGCACTCCCAGCAGCACCTCCACCAGCAGCAGCAGTAGCACGAGTAGCAGCAGTAGTAGTAGTAGTAGCAGCAGCAGGGCGGCTCAGTGGGGCTGGGCGGCCGCACCTCCAGCACTCCCAGCAGCACCTCCACCACCAGCAGCAGTAGCACGAGTATTATTATTATTATTATATATATATATATATGGTTTAGGGTTGCGCGCGGCCCACGGGCTGCAGGGGCGACGCGCTGCTCGGCAGGGTGGCGGGCGGGTTGCAGGGGCAGCGCCCACGGGCTGCAGGGGCGACGCGCAGCTCAGCAGGGCGGCGCGCGGGCTGTAGGGGCGGCGCGCGGCTCGGCAGGGCGGCGCCCAGGCTGCAGGGGCGACGCTCGGCTCGGCAGGGCGGCGCGCGGGCTGCAGGGGCAGCGCCCACACGCTGCAGGGGCGACGTGCGGCTCTGCAGGGCGGCGTACGGGCTGCAGGGGTGACGCGCGGCTCTGCAGGGCGGTGTACGGGCTGCAGGGGCAGCGCCCACGGGCTGCAGGGGCAACGCGCGGCTCGGCAGGGCGGCGCGCGGGCTGCAGGGGCAGCGCCCACGGGCTGCAGGGGCGACGCGCGGCTCTGCAGGGCGGCGTACGGCCTGCAGGGGCGACGCGCGGCTCTGCAGGGCGGCGTACGGGCTGCAGGGGCAGCGCCCACGGGCTGCAGGGGCAACGCGCGGCTCGGCAGGGCGGCGCGCGGGCTGCAGGGGCAGCGCCCACGGGCTGCAGGGGCGAACTCGCGGGCTGCAGGGGCAGCACGCGGGCCACAGGGGCAGGCACGGCTGCAGGAGCAGCACGGTCGCAGGGGCAGGCACGGCTGCAGGGGCAGCACGGTCGCAGGGGCGAGTACGGCTGCAGGGGCAGTACGGTCGCAGGGGCGAGCATGGCTGCAGGGGCAGCACGGTCGCAGGGGCGAGCACGGCTGCAGGGGCAGCGCGGTCGCAGGGGCGAGCACGGCTGCAGGGGCAGCGCGGTCGCAGGTGGAGCACGCGGGCTGCTAGGGCAGCGCGGCTGCAGGGGCAGCGTAGGAAGAAACTTTTTACGGTTAGGGCAGGGCGGAACGTTCGGTGGGCCCTAGGAACGATTCTGCTCTAATACCATGTTAGAATAAGCAAGCATGAATGATGGACTAGGTAGCATGCATGAGTACAAGTACCTAACCCTAAAGTGTTGTACCCCTTGTAGGCTTACCCACTATAGCCTAGAGATAACACAAACATACAGTTTGACAGAGTCATCCTGGTTGATTTAGGGCGTGTTCCTCCTACTACTCTTATCAGACAAACCTCTTGTCAGACTTGCCTACAATAATGTTCAATTGTGAAAGCTTGCGATTTGCCTTGCAAATGCAAGGTCTCATTTCAACTGGGTAGTACAGGATTTTATCGTCCAAGCACAGTACTATGTACAAGTTCTAGGATCAACAATCCGTACAAGGGTGGGAGGGTGGGGAACAGGGCTCTCGCTAGGTTTTGGGCCTGTCTGAAAGTATAACTAA